CATTAGCACATGTGATTTTTTCGCACAAAGAATTTAAATGGAGAAGAGAGAGATCCTGTTGATTTTATGATGCACAATTATTAAGTGGTTCTAATGTTAAGGGATGGGGTAGATGTCTCGCTCTGCAGACCATAATACAGAGGCGACATAAGCCTATACATGTACTTACTAATGACACTGTTAATACCAGAATTCTTTCAAAACACCCCTAATGGAAAGCATAAAGTTAGATAAGAGACATATTATCTTCAAACCCTATTAAAATTTGCGCAAAGATCTCCCATAGTTTGAAGTTGGAAGTACGATACATACTGTCACAACAGAGACTTCAACACAATGAAATTTTCAATGAAAGCGTAAGCGTATCGAACAGCAGAATGTCATGTGAGTAAGGTGATTATAATATCAATCGCTGATGCTCGGTGACCGGTTAATTTAGTGCTATCTCGACCCTAGTTTGTGAGCCGCAACTTGGCCAACATTGTCCTTTGGATATGTATAAGTTTTAGTTAAAATACACATTCTGTGCAAATAAGAAAAATGGCCAAGTTGCGGCTTGATGTAAACAAAGTCGTTGAAAACCGGTATGCATATGAATAACAATAGAAATGAGACAAAACTGTTAGACCATCGTCTCAAAAGCTAGTGTCGCTCGGCATTGTTTAATACTTTCATGTAAAATAATATACCAAAACCTGCTCTTAAGATGTTGTTTAATACCTATAAAACATAAATTTAATGAATTTTGGAATTTCATTTTGCGCAAAACATCGGGATCCAACTCTCATAGTTTAAGTGCAGTCATTCTTTGTTTTCAAGGCCAGTAGTTTTTAGCTCACCTGAGCCAAAGGCTCAAGTGAGCTTTTCTGATCAAAATTTGTCCATTGTCTGTTGTCGTCGTTGTCGTTGTCATCGTCGTCGTTGTAAACTTTTCACGTTTTCATCTTCTTCTCAAGAACCACTGGGCCAATTTCAACCAAACTTGCTACAAAGTATCCTTGGGTAAAGGGGATTCAAGTTTGTTCGAATGAAGGGCCACGCCCTTTTCCAAGGGGAGATAATTATGAATTAGAAAAAAATTAATGGCATTTTTAAAAAATCTTCTTCTCAAGAACCACTGGGCCAGGAAAGATTAAACTCATGTGGAATCATCCTCAGGTAGTGTAGATTCAAGTTTGTTCAAATCATGACCCCCGGGGCTAGGGTGGGGCCAAAATGGCCGATCAAAGTTTTACATAGAAATATATAGGAAAAATCTTTTCTTCTTCTCAAGAACCACTGGGCCAGGAAAGATGAAACTCATGTTTTCAAATTTGTTCAAATCATGACCCCCGGGGGTAGGGTGGGGCCAAAATGGCCGATCAAAGTTTTACATAGGAATATATAGGAAAAATCTTTAAAAATCTTCTTCTCAAGGACCACTGGGCCAGGAAAGATGAAACTCATGTGGAATCATCCTCAGGTAGTGTAGATTCAAGTTTGTTCAAATCATGACCCCCGTGGCTAGGGTGGGGCCAAAATGGCCGATCAAAGTTTTGCATAGGAATATATAGGAAAAATCTTTAAAAATCTTCTTCTCAAGAACCACTGGGCCAGGAAAGATGAAACTTATGTGGATTCATCCTCAGATAGTGTAGATTCAAGTTTGTTCAAATCATGACCCCTGGCGGTAGGTTGGGGCCAAAATGGCTGATTAAAGTTTTACATAGGAATATATAGGAAAAATCTTTTCAAGTACTTCAAAGCCATGATTAGTGATATTTATATGGAATCATCCTCAGGTAGTGTAGATTCTAGTTTGTCAAATCATGGCCCCCTGGGAGGTTAAATTCAAGCCCCCCCCCCCCCCCCCCCCCAAACTCGGTAAACTTTCAGTTCTGATCTGGTATGTGCTTTTTCCTAGCAAATTGCTCAGGTGAGCGATGTGGCCCCTGGGCCTCTTGTTTTTGGTCTGGAGAAGTTTGTTGTCAAATTATTAAAAGGAAGTCCATTTAAAGATTGTTGTATTTTTGGAGCTTCGGTACTGTCCATTTTTTTTAAATTTTAATTTGATATGAATTGAAGAAGATGAAAATTGTGTAAATTGCCTGTCAATGGGATTAAGTCTTTCTGATCTTTTGTTTGTTAATGCTTGTTTGAAGACGCAGGCAATTTAGTTTTTTCCCCCCTAGTGATTGTGTGTGGTAACTATAGTGGGAGTTTGTAAAACATGTTTTAAACCGAGACAGAAACCTCTGTAGTTAACAAGATGTAATGTAAATGTTGACCTGGCAGGTTAACAGGTAGAAATTCAGTGTGTTAATTACAGGTGTAGAACAGCTGTAGGAACGTACTTAATACATGTGTCAAAATGTTGTATCTCCTTAATGAAAGAGCAGGTACATGGGGTAACTTTTATACAATAGAGAGTGGAATTCCAATCTCAGATCTGTTTGTTAGGCCTAGAATTCAATCAGTTGATACCGTTCTATCTATACACCTGAGTTTTCCCTTAAAAGCTGAAATTGCATTGTGTGGTTACTTGTGGGCCAGAAATTTGTCAGAATGCAGTCTGCTGTGTAGTAGTATTGATTTAGATAAACCATGCATACAACACTGCTGCAGGGACTGTTTGTTTACCATTATTGATGAAAACTCGTCCTCAATTATCTCTTACAAAATACATAGCTAACTTAAGTTTGCCAGACTCTGCAATATTTAATTTACAATTATAATGCTTCATGTATCCAAGTTTGTTTCTTTTTCAAATACAGTAAATATACTTTCTAACTGTTGATCAACTGAGCTGGTATGTTTCTATTTCTGCCTCAGGGAACATCCGTTTTACCTGGTGGGTAGATCTATGAACCAGAGCATTGATTCTGAACTAATGCTCTACCAGCCAATGTTCAAGATTTACATTACTTTAATTTTGACTGATGAATCTTGAGTCGGGATGACCTTGAACCAAAGTCTATTCAGAATATTATGAACAAATGTTAACTTTTTTAAATTGATCAGTCTACTAGGCCTTCACTTCTCTGATCATGCTGATGGAAAATAATTACTAATAAGACCTTGACTATTCCTATTCCAAGGTCAAAGCAGATCTTTGTACCTGTTTTCCACCAAGATAAGATTTTTTAAAAATGTTTTTGTAGAGTTTTAATTTATTATTACTCAAAAATCATTATGATCTCAGAACATTTTTGATTTTTGAATCATATCAATATCAACTGATCAACAACACAATTATATTTTGTTTCAGCATCAAAAAGTTTGGATAATTTCCCAGATCAGTCATTTCATTGTATATTTTACATTATTGTAACCTCGGTGAGAAAAAAAACAACACATTGTAGCTTGAAGTATAAGGACAAAATTGATAAAAACAATGCCACCAAAAGTAATTATCTTGTAATTAATGTAGACAAATAAGAGGATCACCTTGGAATTAGTAAATGTGAAGTTTTACAAGGTGTCTCTAATACAATAACAAGTTTGTTAATGTTTAATGCTTGTTAAGGCATAACTTGGTAAAATGTGACTGGATGACTCACATTGGAAGAGCTAGACCATTGTGTTAAGTAGTCCATTAATGGCTAGCAAATGTCTTACAACTCCTATCATCCCAGATTTTTATCAGTACTTACTGCAAGTGTTATTAATTTTAATTTTTGGAAAAACAATTTTTTTATGCAATTTGAAACTGAAGTATAGTGAAAAACCAGTATATAACTTCTCAAAGTACTTAAAACTACAATCTTGGACCTTGGAACCATTTGGTGGGAAATTACATCAGGCCCAATAAGGGAGGCTTCCTAGTTCATTTTTCTAACAAATCTTTTTAAAAGGATACTAAAATGAAAAATAAATTCAGCAGATATCAGAAGGACAGCGTATGCTAGAGTTTGAAAAAAAAAATGAAAACAGTTTGTTAAATTAATTAAAATTCTACTTTATTTTATAAAGGCTAGAAACATGTTTTTTCTGCTTTGAAAATTGTGCAACTTTTAGCATTAAATTTTTTTTAGAGTTATTTCAGTGACTTTATCTTGTATAATATGTTAGGATGTCGTGGCTGGAGGTTGTATTGATTTCTGGGTGCTACATGATCTCTGGTATGTTATCTCTGTGATAGAAGGGGGAGGGGAATGTAGGTAGCATCACTGACATCTCATCTGACGACCAAACTAGGTTTTGTTTTCCCCTTTGTTTCAGACTTTATACTGTTACGATGACATAATGATAAATTTTGTTATTATTGTGAAGAGGTATTATCCCTGCAATCATAACAAGACTATGAAATAGTACTATGAATCCAATTAGCTTGTAGCAATCACTTGAAATAGCCCGGAGGGAAATTGGGATTATGACGTTTATACCATTCAATGTAGTAGGCTGGGTTATTTCTATATAGCAGGCATTTAGGAAAATTAGATCATCGAAATTTGAAACACAGTGGTCTAAGTATAAACTCTAAGTATACCAGATATAGGTGTATTCATGTGCTCTAGTTGTATAATTATATATTCATCTGAACATAATCATTTAGATCAGTTCATTTTATTATCACCCGGACCAACCTATTGGTATATTTAGCTGATTTTAAGTCAGTTTATGAATTCAAGCAGGTTAAAGAAAAATATAATAGTTCACATAATTTGCCAATTAATGTACATAATACTGTAGATTCCTTATTTTTCGCGAGTACTTATTATCGCCAATAGGCTCTTCAACGGCAAATCGCGAGAATAATTATTCGCGAAGGGATGGTTGATCAAGAGATTTTACATTGATTTCAGCATCATAATAATAATGGCAAGTAATTTTATTTCGTGTACAGTGCTTCTCGCGAAATTATGCGATAATTAATTCCACGCGTATATTTAGGAATTTACAGTATGTATGATGTACTTGAATCTTTAATGTACGTACTAGAAATTGATTTTTTGCAGATGAACCCAGGACGGAAGGAAATATTTGAAAATGAAACCTTTTGATGTATTTATATTTTACAGCTGGATACAGGCCTGTATCAATGAGGAGCTCCCACCAACCACTGAGTTAGAACAAGGGCTGAGGAATGGGGTCTACTTGGCAAAACTGGGGCACTTTCTGGCCCCTCAGGTGGTGCCCCTTAAGAAGATCTACGATCGGGATCAGTCTCGATACCAGGTAAACACCTATCCCAGGGTTCTTTGTATGTCTCGTAATGTGATTGGAGTAAATTTTCCTTTGTGTATATAAACATCAGGCTATATTTTTAATGGGGTATATGAATTATTTGTGTTCTCTTTTTTGTGCTAGAAGTTAAACACAAATAATTTATGAGAGTAAACTGCTTGATGTTGCCTTTCAAAATTTATTTCCTTGTTTAGGTAACAAAAGAAATAGTAGATCATATTTAAACAATGACTCACTTTTGATAATATAGTTTTTGGTACATTCTTTTTACAGTCCAGGGGGCTGCATTTCCGGCACACAGATAATATCAATCATTGGTTTGTTGCCATGGAGAAAGTGGGGTTACCACAGGTTTGTATTGAAAAATAAAAAAATATAGATAAAATATTAAACAGGTCTTATCAAACTACAGAGACAGATTTCTAGAAGTAGGTCTACGTACAGTCTACGTACAGTCGGGTACTGACATCTTGGTCCTCTGTCTTGCTTAATATAATTTTGTAGCCTCCTCCCCACCCCCCCCCCCCATCTTCACTTAGACACCGGGAAATACGTTCAGAAGTTGAAGTTAAGATAAGCACATTTTTACAGGTTTAAATAACAGCCTTTCAGTATTCTTGGATTTAAGTATGCAGATTCATAAAAAAAGTATTGTACATGAAGTCGTCCATAGAAACAGTTATTAAAATCGTTGGTTATATAAGAAGAATTGACAAGGATTTAAAAACAAAAACAAAATGCTATTTTAAGCTATCACAGGCTTGTCTACGGAAGTCCAATCATGGTCAAACGACTTTTTCTTTTGAAGATATGAGGAGGGATGGATGTTGAGTTATATATCTTCAAATATGGCAAAACAGAAAATAAATATTTGTTGGCATGCATTTAAAAAACAACCAGAAAATTGGTTTTAATTTTAGGGGACATTTCCCAAGCATTTGTCAGAATTGATGTCTGGCCTGAACCATATGAATGTGAATTTGCTGAAGCAATTAAACCCTAATAAAACCAGGACTTTAAAAATGATTTTACGTGAAAATGAATTTTTGTGTTGTATTCTGAATTCTTTTGCTTTGATCCTTTCAAACTGCCAGATATGAAATAATTTAAATTTAGTAGATTTCTGTTGTGCTGTGATAAATCGAGACGTGGATTGTGGTGTCTAAAATAATTTTAATGTATTCAAAGACGCAAAACAATACACAGTGACAAGTGTAGGCAACGCAGGAGGCTAATGAATTATTCACACATTCTCTCCATATTTATAGTAGGAAATATTGCATTCCTGAAAGGTGTACATAGATCTATCGATCCCTTCTTGCCATTTTCTACATTTTTCTGTTGAATGGTTTTTCTTTCCATTCTGTGCCCATTCTTGCATACTTTGGGTAACATTACAAAGTCTCCATAGACTTTTTGTCAAACACAAAAAACTGGAAGTTGTATTTGACTTGGTGTATAAAATTAAGGTAAATTAGGCACAACTGCCCACCTAGAGATGCAGGAGCTTAGCTTGGGTGGGGGTGGTCTGGTCCACATCTAAACGTAAACAAATTATAGGGGGATTCAATGTGTCAGTACAGCTGTACCAATGTTAAATATTCTTCTTTACAGCCATGTATTATGATTGTCTGGTTTACTTTTATTATAAAACATAGTTGATGATTTAATCCTCTCCAAGAAAATTTTCAGTATTATCTTCGGGTTATAAATATGTTTTTGAGCTTTCTTATCATACCTTTTTTTGCATAGACTGATAAAGCCATTGTGTTTGATAGTACCTTTGTGTTTATTGATATTTCTGTTTGTTTTAAGATCTTTTACCCAGAAACAACAGATGTGTACGACAGAAAAAATATGCCCAGGGTCATCTACTGTCTCCATGCACTCAGGTAACCAATCAAAACAAAATGGGTCAATCAATTTCATTCATTTGCTATTGTTGTCCATTTCTTTGTTTGTGTGGTTATGCCAGACCACAAATATTGTCATCAACAAACTACGAATTTTGCAAATTATACAATATAGATTAAGGTAGATATTAAAAAAGAATAAAAATTTACACATGAACAATTTTTTACCCCCAGAGCATGAAATGTTTACCCAGACATCAAAAATTAAAAACCATATTATATCACATCTGCTGAATCAAACATATTCACATATTATGTACCATATCTTATGATAATGGACACTAACTGATGCTTAAAATGCTGCAACTGGCCTACATTGTATGCAATAATACTTTGATCTTTTTGTCGTCTTTTTTCAGTCTGTATTGTTTTAAGCTGGGTATAGCTCCACAGATAGAGGATTTGTATGGAAAAGTTCAATTTACAGGTAAATTAGCTGACAAATTTTGAGATTATAAATTCAGGTCAGAGAAGACCTCTTTGCAGTAATTAAGCCTGGCTCCATATCCTTACCCCTTTAAATTGTAAATTCATTAGATACCATTTCTTTGTTTTAATACAAGTTTGATACTTATAAAAAGTTTCATGATTAAAAAAGTAAGAACTAGACTTAACAAATCTGATTTTTGTTTGTAGAAGAGGAAATCAGTGCTATGAAGCAAGAGCTGGAGAAATATGGAATTCAGATGCCAGCCTTCAGCAAAATTGGAGGAATTTTAGCTAATGAGGTACTGAATTAGTTACATTTGAATCCCCTCCCATGGAAAAAAGTGTATTATCTGGGTCATAACCTCTGAGTGTAAAGTGTATTGTCTTGGTCATAACATCTTCAAGTGTAAAGTGTATTGTCTGGGTCATAACATCTTCAAGTGTAAAGTGTATTGTCTGGGTCATAACCTCTCCAAGTGTAAAGTGTATTGTCTGGGTCTTAACCTCTCCAAGTGTTAAGTGTATGATCTGGGTCATAACCTTACCAAGTGTTAAGTGTATTATCTGGGTCATAACCTTACCAAGTGTAAAGTGTATTGTCTGGGTCATAACCTCTCCAAGTGTAAAGTGTATTGTCTGGGTCATAACCTCTCCAAGTTTAAAGTGTATTGTCTGGGTCATAACCTCTCCAAGTGTAAAGTGTATTGTCTTGGTCATAACCTTACCAAGTGTAAAGTGTATTGTCTGGGTCATAACCTCTCCAAGTGTTAAGTGTATGATCTGGGTCATAACCTTACCAAGTGTAAAGTGTGTTGTCTGGGTCATAACCTTTCCAAGTGTAAAGTGTGTTGTCTGGGTCATAACCTCTCCAAGTGTTAAGTGTATGATCTGGGTCATAACCTTACCAAGTGTAAAGTGTGTTGTCTGGGTCATAACCTTTCCAAGTGTAAAGTGTGTTGTCTGAGTCATAAACTTTTCAAAGATAAAGTTGTGTTTAGCATATATTCTTCCAATATAAGGGTATCTGATTTCAAATAATTTCTTATTTGTAGTATTTATTTTTGTTTTGTAGATGTCAGTTGATGATGCAGCATGTAAGTTAATTACAGTTATTGTTAATTGTTAATAATATCATCTAATTAAGTCAATCACTCGTAACAGAATATTCCAATTAAAATACCCTATAAGTGGAAATTTTAGTGAGACGCAAATTTAGCGATTTGTCCTTTAAAATTGGTATCTTACTTTTAGCGAGATGTAATTTTAGCGATTTTAAAAAGCTCACTAAAGAAACTATTACAAATAAAGTGCAATTAATTTTTAGCAATATTCAATTTTAGCGATCTTGGCACCCTCGCTTATATTGCCAAAATTAAATCCTCACTAAAAATTCTGCTTATACAGTAAATGATAGAGAAAAACACATTCTCATACTTTGTAGAAAGTAGTGAGGGATTAAAGCTCTGTGATTATTGAATTTTGTTGTGTGTAGATAAATGATACTTAACAGCTCTTCTCATCTCGGTCGTGTAAATGTTTGTCAAAGATAAGATGTTTTCTCTTCTGTGACACCTTCCCTTTAGTATGATAGAATGGGGGACCTTACATTGCTAGATAATCTGAAACTCTCAGGGCAATTTGTATTGTTTCCTTGAAGTGAAGGGGGATAATTACTTAGGTACACAAAGGAAAGTAAACAATCACCTCTCCTAAGAAATCTGTTGGATCTTTTGTCAGTCAAAGCTTACTTGTGGTGAAGATACTATGTCCTATAAAAATGATATATTTACAGTTTTTGCATGAATATTACTCTGATGTCATATAAATTTTGAGATTTTTAAATATGTATACAATGTCTCTTTTGAATGATTTTTTACACCACAATCATTTGTTTGTGTCAGGTAAACTCTGGCAGAATTCTGTATGCAAAACAGAATAATAAGTTACGGCACTATTCAAACCAATCATTCTGTAAGCAAGTCGTCTGTCAAAAGAAAATGAGCTTAAGAATTGCATTACATCTAGGGCGATGAAGAATTAAATATCCACCATCTGCTTTTAGTGCATGCAGCCATCATTGCTATAAATGAAGCAATAGACAATGAGGATTCCGAAGAAACAATGAAGGCCCTTCGGAACCCCTCTGCCATGTTGGTGAATCTGGCTGAGGATATTCCCGAAAATTACCAAGTTACTCTGTATGAGGCCAAAAAATCAAAAGCTGAAATCGCCAGAAACAAGGTACATTGTTCAGATGTCAAAATGTCTTCAGTGTTTGTCATTGATGAAATCCTAAATAATGAGTAAAATTATATCAGAATTTTCCATTTTGATATTTTGCAGAGTATGGACCCTGAGACATATGAACATGATGTGTATGATGAATTACTTACACAGGCTGAAATTCAGGGCAATGTAAACAAAGTCAATAGTAAGTCAGTCTGTCTAAGTCCTAAATACAGGGCAATATAACAAAGTCAATATTAAGTCAGTCCAAGTCAGAATTACAGGGCAATGTAAACAAAGTCAATAGTAAGTCAGTCTGTCTAAGTCCTAAATACAGGGCAATATAACAAAGTCAATATTAAGTCAGTCCAAGTCAGAATTACAGGGCAATGTAAACAAAGTCAATAGTAAGTCAGTCTGTCTTAGTCCTAAATACAGGGCAATATAACAAAGTCAATATTAAGTCAGTCCAAGTCAGAATTACAGGGCAATGTAAACAAAGTCAATAGTAAGTCAGTCTGTCTAAGTCCTGAATACAGGGCAATATAACAAAGTCAATAGTAAGTCAGCCCAAGTCAGGAGTACAGGGCAATGTAAACAAAGTCAATAGTAAGTCAGTCTGTCTTAGTCCTAAATACAGGGCAATATAACAAAGTCAATATTAAGTCAGTCCAAGTCAGAATTACAGGGCAATGTAAACAAAGTCAATAGTAAGTCAGTCTGTCTTAGTCCTAAATACAGGGCAATGTAAACAAAGACAACATTAAGTCAGTCCAAGTCAGAAATACAGGGCAATGTAAACAAAGTCAATAGTAAGTCAGTCCAAGTCAAAAATACAGGGCAATGTAAACAAAGTCAATAGTAAGTCAGTCCAAGTCAGAAATACACTGCAATGTAAACAATGTCCACAGTGAGTCAGCCCAAGTCAGAAGTACAGGGTAATGTAAACAAAATCAATAGTAAGTCAGCCCAAGTCAAAAATATAGGGCAGTGTAAAAAAAGTCAATAGTAAGTCAGAAATACAGGGCAATGTAAACAAATTCAGAAATACAGGGAAACAAACAAAGTCAGAAATACAGAGCAATGTTAACAAAGTCAATAGTAAGTCAGCCCAAGTCAGAAATACAAAGCAATGTTTAAAAGTCAATAGTAAGTCAGCCCAAGTTAGAAATACAGGGCAACGTAAACAAAGTCAATAGTAAGTCAGTCCAAGTCAGAAATACAGGGCAATGTAAACAAAATCAATAGTAAGTCAGTCCAAGTCAGAAATACAGGGCAGTGTAAACAAAGTCAATAGTAAGTCAGCCCAAGTCAGAAATACAGGGCAATGTTATCAAAGTCAATAGTAAGTCAGCCCAAGTCAGAAATACAGGGCAATGTAAACAAAGTCAACATTAAGTCAGCCCAAGTCAGAAATACAGGGTAATGTAAACAAAGTCAAAAGTAAGTCAGCCCAAGTCAGAAATACAGGACAATGTAAACAAAGTCAATAGTAAGTCAGCCCATGTCAAAAATACAGGACAATAAAAACAAAGTCAATTGTAAGTCAGCCTAAATCAACAGAAGGTCAAATCAAATTAGAATAACTGTAGAATGTAAATAAAACTACTCTAGACTAGTCAGATGTCAAAGACAACGTTAACAAAGGTTATAGTAATATAAGACAATGCAAACAAAATTTGCTCAGACTAAGTTAAAAATTTCAATGGCAGAAACAATATTTCAGTCTTAAAAGTATCAAAGTGAATTCAGCCTCAAGTCTTTGCCTTGTTATTTTAATGATAACAAGGTTGAGGCCAGTGTTCCTGTCAAGGAGGTGTTATATTTCTTGTGTATAAGTAATGGCACTGAAGAGCTTTTTCCAAAAAAGGTAAAAGAATGTGTAAACATATAGGATTCGAAAGGGAAATGAGTCCTTTTGAACACAAAATTGGTAAAAAGTTAAGTTATGTACTTCAAAGAAACTTAGATTTGTCAAGTGAAGACCTCAAATTGATACTCAAATGTATATGTAAACAGTCTGAAAAATGTTAAATTTCCCACTATCATTTGAGACTTGTTTTCATTAACTATCCAGTATTAATTGTTTATAAGGCTTTTTGACAAAGTTTGGTGATTTTCAAAAGTGACAAGTGGATGATTAGTATACATACAGGTGACTCTCGATGGCTCGAACTCCGATCTCTCGAAGTTCTCTATCTCTCGAAGTGAACCTCCGGTCCCGTGTTTTTCCTCTATATAACTAAGCAAATTTACTCCTGATCTCTCGAACTTCCATCTCTCGAAGTTCTCTATCTCTCGAACCAAAACCTGGGTCCCGTTACACATATTTCATTGAATTTTACTCTCTATCTCTCGAAGTTTTGATTGCACGTGTATACACACCAATCAAGCGTAAAATTGATGCAGTCTAGACTTACCTGGAAATCGTGAAGGCCATGGGCTGGCATGGAGGTGTTTTTTGGGTGTTTACATAGATGACACTACACCTGGGTTGTCCTTGTGTTGTTATAATTATTTAGCTATTGTTCACAGGGTAAATTAGAAAAAAAATTCACAATTTATTTTGAATTGAAACCGAGACGATAATTTTTTGAAATTAATTTATAGATGTTCGTTTCATTAAGTTCCCATAGACTATGAATTTTCGTTATGATTATACAGAGTCTACATAATTCCAGTATGGGGAATATTACACAAGAAATTCTTTTCTCGAGGAGAGAATAACGATTAAGAAAAATGTGGTGGACACTTGTGAAGGACCAGATCAAGCCACGGAATAGCCAAACCGACAGTAAAATTGCTATTCGGGTTTCATGTAATCATGAAATAGGAACGAATAAATATTGAATCTTTAGGAATTCATTTTATTTATTCGAAATACAATCATTGTTGTTGATATCAAGTAAATTACCTGTAAAGTATGATTAAAAACGTGCAATGACATTATTTACATATACTTCTGGTATCTGTAAAAGTAGAAACTCGACGATCGGAACTGAAAATTCCGGATTTTTTTTTTTTTTTTTCATCTCTGGAACCCCTCGATCTCTCGAACTTTTCTCGCGGTCCCTTGAACTTCGAGAGATCGAGAGTCACTTGTATATGTTGCTAACAATTCTTTCGAATTTTTAAAAAAGAACAGTTCCTTATAATAAAATTTGATCGATACTCTCGTTTCAGCTGTTGTGGGGTTAGAGAGACTGACGGATGCTCTAGTCAAAGGAGACCGGAATCTCATCCTTCAGAATCTGAAATCCTCGAGTCTCGGCATTAAAGCCGTACAGGACGACAACATTGACTACTATATACAGCGCCTAGAGGAATTGAGGGATTTTAAAGAGGTAGGCTTAGCGAAAATTTATTTTGGCAAGGAATACCAGGCTAGAAATGAATTTGAAATTAAAATATTTGTCAAATTTACAATTTCAAACCCCCAAAAAACCTGACATCCTTTTTTTGTGTGTCAGAATAATAACAGCGATGAAGTGGTAACCTTAGAGAAAGAAGAGATACAGCAGGCGGTCAACCAAGCCAACCTAGATGCCGATAAAGAATACCAAAGTAAGAATATACATAGTAGAGTCGTATATACAATGTACTCAGGCACTACATACTCCTAACAAAGGGTATTTCATATCAGTACATCAAATAAAACCATCTCTCCATACTATAAGATAAAATTTTTTACTATTACATGATGTTTTTTTGTGATTGTCTTTTAACTCCAAATTGGCACAAGGAGGAAGCAATTCCTCTCATATTTTGAGCCATTCACCAGAATCTTTTAACAATGTTTTATCAAGTATTATTTAATTAAGTTTTTATCCAGTATTGTTTAATTACAGGAGCCCGAGCTGTAGAGCTGATTAACGAGGCTATAGACAGCTGTGACGCAGAACAATTACTGAAGGCCCTCCAGAATCCCGGGGCCCAGCTGCCTCCCGTGTACGACTATGCCTCGGCTCTCTATTTTGAAGAGTTTCACAATATGCGTGATGAGAAACAATCGGAGTTAGATTATGACGAGATTGCTGCAGCTGTTAGAGGTGATTTCTATGGCAATGAAGAGTAAAGGATCATGCTATGTGTTTTATTTACATTCGCAATACATACTGTCTTTTCTGTGTAAATGTGGTGTCAATGACGAGACTGTCTTCAGTTTATTATCTTTTCTTCTGAAGCTTTCTGTGAAAAAACAAATTTCCACCTTCCATATTTATTCATCAGTGACCATTAATTAAGCTGCCACCCCATAACATTTTGGCATAGGGCTTGGGGATTGAGTGTCTTAAGTATGCCTTATGATTTCTTTATTTAATCTTCCAATAATGAATTACTGTTTTTCTCCTTCAGAAGTTATAGAATCAACTATGATCAACTAATGCAGATCACAAATATCTCCATGGGCCTAAATGGCCTCTGGACCCGTAGTAGGACTGTATTAATAAAAATTTTCTCAGCTTCATATAATTCCTTTTTGATTTTCAGTGCTGTCATCGGTAGCTAAAATTAATGAAGCTATAGACATAGGGAATGCAGAGGGGACCTACGAAGCTCTCCGTAATCCAGAGACCTGTATATCTAACCTGGATGAGACCAATGCTGATAGGTACCAAATCCTGCTCCAAGAGAGTAAACGAGCTAAATCCGATGTAAGTTATCTCTAGTAGGTTATTGTGGTTGTATGTCTTAAATTACGTACATTCATTTAAAATTTCTATTTATAAATATTTATACATTTTGTTATGCTAAAGAATAAGTTTACAGTGATTTAAAAAAGGGATATGATTGCAGGTATTTGCTTTTACATTATTTAGTGTGCAGAAAGATAAAAGGTTTTGTGTTAATGAAAAAATACACAAAGATAAAAGAAATTAAAATGAAGTAAGGGATGTTAGGAATATTGAAGGTATGTTTGTTTTTTAGAGTCCCTGTGACCTACTGACCCACTTTGAGATTTGCTCATGTATAGATCAGGTCAACCAGCAAGTCACTGAAGAACACCAGCGTAAGCATCATGCTTATTTCTGCCACGGAAATTTTTTGGAATTTTGAAAAGCATATTTAAATGAATTTTGTATAGACACAAGAAAAATTTAAGGGACATTATGAGCTCTTATGGAATATGTTCTGTTACAGGAATTGAAGCGGTGAGACACATAAACCAAGTGATAGAACAGGGTGACCCTAAGATAACCTTGGAGGCCTTGCAGAGCCCCGAGGCCAAGCTCGAGGAGGTGGTGGAGGCCCAGGATTACCGCTATCACGTCCTCCTCGTACGGGAGAAAAACAAAAAGACTGAGGTAACAGTCCAGTCCAAAGTTCGGCAAAACTTGTCAATGTAGTAACAATGGTCTGATCCATTATTGGAGAGAATCCCTTGGTTTTTTTTTTTTGTCCTTTAGATTTATAATTTTATTTCATTATAAATGTTGTTTGCCTTATTTCAGAAAAGTCAACATGAAGAGATGGAGTTGTGGCTAGAAGAAATTCAGACTTCAGTGGACAATGCCAACAAAGATGCTCAATTTGGAGTTAAATGTAAAAAAATGAATATGTTAAGGGAAAAAAAAGACTTTTCAGACCATTTTTCCGCTTCTATCTAAGGCATTCAATGTACTTGTCATTTACAAATATTTTTAGATGTCAGCATGTATTGAACATGGTAACTATCTTTTCCTTTTCATCAATCGAGCTAAATTTTTGGATGTTTTCTGTTCCTTATCAGTATCTGAAGGAGTGGAGAATGTTAACACAGCAGTAGATGAAGTTGATGGAGACAAACTCCTAGAGAGCATGGCTTCCCCGGAGCTGGCCATCCACAGTGTCATCCCAGACTGCAAGGGAACATACCTAGAAAAACTACAGGAAGCCAGGCAGAAGAAAAAAGAGCAGGGTAAATAGGGGAGGGTCAAGTAAACCCTGAGAAAGCTGGGAAAGAGGAAAAAATAGCATGGTAAATAGGGGAGGGTATTTAAAGGTGGTGAAGGTCAAGATAAGTATAAATTGAGGCTAGGGAGAAGTAAAGTTACTTCAGTAAATAAAGTGTTTTTGGTAAGAAGGAGAAAAGAAATAAATTAAACTTCGAAATGGTGGGATGTAGCATGTCAAGCAGGGTAGGGGTCACAAGAAGGAAAAAAGGAGAATTAGTTGATATCTAAAGAAAATGCAAGAAAGCTTATAAAGAGGAGGGGGGCTCAGGGTAATGGGAGAAGAATGTTATGGTATTTCATGAAAAAATATAGGATGCTAGAAAAGAGGAGATAGAATTTCAGCCTAGGTTATATGAGGGAGGAGTAATTGAGGTAAAGGCCATTTGGTTCAAGGTTATAGGGAATAAAGGTTGGGAATATTTTGTCAAACAGTTGCTTTCAAAAGAATGATTGATCATGTTTACAGTAGTTGATATCTCTTTTATAGTCATGATAAATCTGTAGTATTTAGTTACTGTTCAATACCTTTTGTGACATGTGGTAAATTAAGATTGATTTTGTTTGCAGGAGAGAGTGGAAGTGGTTGGATGATGAGCAGACTGAAGGATGGGTCCAAGTTCTACTACAATACACACACAAAGGAGTACAAATGGTCCCGCCCAGACAGTGTGGTCAAAGACCATGGGCTACTCAACAAGGAAGATATACAGGTAAGCTATACAGGACTGTAAAAAGGAAGAAACACAGGTTAGCTATACAGGCCTGTAAACAAGGAAGAAATACAGGTAAGGGCTGTAAAAAAGATGGAAACACAGGCAAGCTCTATGAGTCAAGTACACAAAGGATGTACAGTGTAAGCTTTACTGTGCTGTAAACAAGTGAGAAATACAGGTAACTACACAAACCGGTAAACAGATAGGAAATAAAGGTAAGTTTTACTGGGCTGTAAACAAGTAGAAAATAGAGGTAAGTTTTACTGGGCTGTAAACGAATAGAAAATAGAGGTAAGGTTTACTGGGATGTAAACAAGTAGGAAATAGAGATAAGTTTTACTGGGCTATAAAACAAGTAGGAAATAGAGATAATTTTACTGGGCTGTAAACAAGTAGGAAATAGAGATAATTTTACTGGGCTGTAAACAAGTAGGAAATAGAGATAATTTTACTGGGCTGTAAACAAGTAGGAAATACATGTAGAGGTAAGTTTTACTGGGCTGTAAACAAGTAGGAAATACATGTAGAGGTAAGTTTTACTGGGCTGTAAACAAGTAGGAAATAGAGATAAGTTTTACTGGGCTGTAAACATGAAGGAAACAGATGTAAATTTTACTGTGCTGTAAGCATGAAGGAAATACAGACAAGCTCTAAAGGACTGTTATCTGAAGGAAATACCTGCATGTTTTTTTCCCAATTCATATTATGAAGATTGTGTAACATTCATTCATATCATTAACAATGTGTAGATAATTCAAGCAGCCTCTGATTTTGCTGATTTATAGCGAGTCATTTCTGATGTGACAGCGGCACGTGACCGAGAACTTTTCTTGAAATCAAACGAAAATCTGGTTGTTAAAATCCAGTCGACATACCGTGGCTACCAGGCCAGGAAGACGTATAAAGAAAGGCTGGACTTCATGAAGAGACAGCTGCCCCTTATTCTAAAGATTCAGGTATACATCATCAAAATAGTTGTTAAAGGAGAAATTTTTAGATAAAGAAAAGAAAATAATATTTGTGGCATAAGTTACACTTTACTGAACAGCTTATTTGAAACAAATGATTCAGGATCCGAACTTGGAGAAAAAAAGGATTGCATCAAGTAAATGTTTAGTAAAAACTTATTAGATTAATTGTGTCAGTTTGATGATAACATTTCAGTCCAAATGGAAGATGGTGCTGCAGAGGAAGAGATACCAGGACAGGTTAAAATACATGAGAGATAATGAAGACGCTGCTATAAAGGTATTAACTACCTGTAGTTAACAATTAATAGCTCACCTGGGCAAATTCTAAGTGAACAGAGGTGTCTGTGAACTTTCTGCACTTACGAGTTTAAGTACTTTAGAACCACTTGATCAATATTACCTAAATTTGCTTCAAAACATCACTGCGAAAATTTGAATTAATAACTGAAATTTAATGTTTTTGTTCGCAGTATGGGGACTACTGTAACCCAACTATTATTCGTGTCATCTTTTATTCGCAATTGGTCATTTTGAAATCAATCCATAAGGATTAATTTTTGCGACTGAGGAAATATTGTCTACATAAAAAAAAAAGCAAAATAAATGGTTCATGATGATAAATATTTTTGAGTCAAAGTTTGTCGCGGAACTCAAGGATATTTCTCGCTCAAATAAAACTTGGTGGCCTTTCATACAACTTAAGAGTTGTACTATACTCCCATGGAATGTTCCTAAGAGTAGTCAGGTACACCTAATTTATTAAAGCTTCACTACGTATTACATGTATATCTGATATTTGTACTTTTATTATTTTTTTCCAGCTGCAAGCTCAATTTAGAGGATTGAAAGCTAGAAAGGCATTCCAGGCAAGGAAGAAGTTCTTCAATGACAATGTAAGTGTGGTTTTTATCATAGACTTTGATATTAACCTGGAACCACATCAAGAGAAAAATGTATAGAATGTCTCGCATTTGGGGTTGAAAATAATAATAAGATTTCTTATTAAGCAATTGTTTGTGTAATCTGAGAATTATACAAACAATTGAAATTTAAACAAATGGAGTAGAGGGAATTGAAAGATTCACAAATTTAGTAGGTATAAATTGAATAATAGATTTGATGTTTGTATTTTAGGTTGCAGCAGTTATAAAACTTCAATCCTACTTCAGGTCCAACAAGGCCAGACATGACTACATCTCACTCAGTAAGTCACTGGAGCTGGGGTCTACAGATCACCAGAACCCAGCTCCTTAGAACAGTCTCTGTACAAAAATAATTCTATGTAATGATCAAAACTTTTAATCACTTGATAGCATATAGGACTTTGAATAGGATTTTTACCATGTTTTTTAAGGATAATGGTCACAGATACATGTACAGACTTCTTTTTTTAAGGTAGATAACTCCAGACTGTTCTTCTGGCTCAATAACTGTCATTTTCTCTTGTTTTTCAGTGAACGAAGCCAACCCACCATTACCTGTTGTTCAGAGATTTGTACATCTTTTGGAATTCGGTGATATTGATTATGCTGAAGAAATCGGTAAGACTCTGACTTCTCTCGGGTTACAGTGGGCTGCAAGAATACCAACAACTTTATAGTGTGCATAATTTATAGAACTCCATCATAATTTTGAATGAGGATATTGCATAATGTGAAGTTTTTAACCCAACTCAATTTTTTTCAGACTTGTAAAGGAAGTTGCCCAGAGTCCTTACTCAAAATCATTTTATGTAAATTAGCTCAGATTTGTTGAAGCTTGATTTTCAGCATTCCTCAGTTTAAATAAATCACAAATGGTGATTCAGACCTTTGTCATTTACAAGTAGAAAAAGTGGGAGCTAAAGATTGATATGTAACAGAATTGTCTTCTTTGCTTTAGAATTACACAGGACCCGTCAGAAGGTGGTGGCTGAGATCAAGTCAACTAAAAAACTGGAAGATGATCTCGACCAAATGGATATCAAAATCGGTCTACTTATCAAAAACAGGGTCACCTTACAGGTAAACTCATCAAAAACAGGGTCACCTTACAGGTAATCTCATCAAAAATAGGGTCACCTTACAGGTAATCTCATCAAAAATAGGGTCACCTTACAGGTAATCTCATCAAAGATAGGGTCACCTTACAGGTAAACTCATCAAAAACAGGGTCACCTTACAGGTAATCTTATCAAAAACAGGGTCACCTTACAGGTAATCTCATCAAAAATCGGGTCACCTTACAGGTAAACTCATCAAAAATAGGGTTACCTTACAGGTAAACTCATCAAAAACAGGGTCAACTTACCGATTAACTCATCAAAAACAGGGTCACCTTACAGGCAAAAATAGTCAAAAAAGGGTCATCTTACCCGTTAACTCATCAAAAACAGGGTCACCTTACTAGTAAACTCATCAAAAAGGGGGGTCACCTTACCAATAAATTATATCTCTGTGGTTTTAAGTTTTTTTTATTAGAGCTTTGAAGATTTTAAAAATTTATAAATTTGAAAGATGGTGATTATACAACATTGTTGTTAGTAGGAGAATTTAAAGTAAATTACATTTCAAAACTGATTTTATCACAATGCTTCAGTGAATAAAGTAAATGTTTAAAATTATTGAATAAATCCCATCAATTTTTACTTAATAGTTTGCTTTATTTTATTTGCTTTATTTTGTATAAGATTACTTTGTAGATATAGTATATTTGTGTAATAACCACTCTAATACACAGGATGTAGTTACCCATGGCAAGAAGCTCTCTAAGCACCGAGAGGACAGCATACAGATGCCTAAAGGACTGAAGGGGCTGAGTAAGGCATGTCACGACCGCCTGGAGGCCTACCAACATCTGTTCTACCTCCTACAGACCAACCCCCTGTACCTCGCAAAACTCATCTTTGAAATGCCACAGACCAAGATGACCAAGTTTATGGAGGCAGTGATTTACTCGCTGTTTAATTATGGAGCCAATCAGAGGGAGGAATACCTGTTGCTGAAGTTGTTCCGTAAAGCACTGGAGGAAGAAATTGAGTAAGTGTTTTGGAGGGGGAGGGGGGTCAGAAAGGTCAAGGTCAAGCTAAATGTCACAATAAGAAATGAGTCTTTTATTAGGACATCATGCAAGTTCATCTTGACCAGTTTAATGCTGTGTAGACTAGCCTATAGAGATTTAACAACTGATCTGAATGTTTCAATGTCAAGGATTTATGTCAGGTCAAAGTGATATTTAGAAGTCACTGGTTAAATAACACCCAGAAATATTGTGTCTTGTTGAATTTGAATGCTTTCTTTTTTTGTCTTGAACATATTACACTTTATCACAACATAAATGTTTTAGAATGATGCAAGTAACATGAAATCAAACTTGTAGGAAATGTTCTATATGATCATGTCAGGCACCTATTTTCTTTCAAGACTAATTAATTCAATAATGTCATGCATTTTATATGATGTCATAAAATTCATTTGTATTTCCTTTAATTTAATTTCATTTTTTACTAATAGCATGACACAAGCAAGATGCATGTCATTCATTTTTTTTTGTTGATGTATTTTGTGTATGTCAATTAGACACTGAAGTTTAATCTTTGGTAAATGTTTCATTTGAATGCTACAGTCGAATGTAAGTATCAACATGCCTTGTGGATGTGTTTTACTTTCATACTTCATTAGACAAGTCAACTGATTTCTGGATACCATATACTTAGATATCAAGTGATTTTTTTGAATTTTGTATTCCTAATGGATGCTGAAAGTTTGAAGACTTTGATTCATCATAATTTTGAAGACTTTAATTCATCATAATTTTGAAGACTTTAATTCATCATAATTTCTTTCCTTGGGATTCATAAATATTTTTAAACAATAACAATACTGTCGCTGTTCAATAAATGTCGTGGTTGCATAATGAATAATACATGTAAACAGAGATTTATTAATTAAGGACATTAGATCATTCATTTTGCCACATACTCCTTATTAAATAATTTATAAATTTTTAAAGAAGTCTTCCTACTCTCAGACATTTCAGGCATGGCATTGAGACCAATATATAGACTTGATAGAAGTAACATTCTCTGATAGTGGTCACTTCTTCTGTTCATGCTCTAGTTCAGCTATATCTTGTCACCAGAGTATTCCTGATTAAGTCCTGATGCTTAGCATGCCAATGTTATCTTAATTCAAAGAGAGAAGAACAGCAATAGTGCACATTAGCCAACACCAGGTTCAGATTGAAATCAAAACAGAGCAGTTCAAATGTGCTAGTCCACATAGAAAAGCTTGATTAATTGCATGATAAACGGGACATTTATATACTGGGATTTCATGATTATTTATTGAACACTAATTTTCATGTTGAGTCTATCCACAAAATCAATGTTCAACAAAGTTTGATGAATCCACTTAGATTTATCATAAAGAAATGGCTCAACACCCACCCAACCCCCCTCCCCCAACACACACACAACACACAATAGATTTTCAACATCAAAACAAAATACTTAAAAGAAGTTATTTAATACATCTGGTATTTGGTGAAATAAATAAATGAAACAGAGAATATTCTGCATTGAAATAAACAAGATTTAAATAATAAATTGAAGAGTATCCTAATATTGAACTTGACAAAATTTTGAACATTTTGCTGAAGCATAATTTTCATACATAAAGAAAGTAAAAAATGTTACAAAATACATTCTGTTATGACAATTGTATGTATGAAGTTACCCTCAAAACAATTACTAAATCCTCAAAAATTGATGCCCAGGAATATCAGTGAAAGTACTTGGACAAAAACCTGCGAAATCCTTAAGGAATAAGATGTGTTACATGTTCACGTATTTCACTTAATTTGCAATATTTGTACTTGTAGTATTTTAATTCATGTACTTTGTTGATAACTTCATATATACAAATATATAAAAAGAACAATAACAGTTACACTGACAGTAAAAAATGACTGGTGCCCTGTGTGATTGGAACTCTTGTACAAGACTGGCTGACACACACTGATAGTCAATCTGGAGGCACTATGGTTCAGAAGTCATGGTTTCATTACAACTTCTGTCATTTCACCATTATCTTACTGATGATAGAAAGTCTATAAGAACTTATGCCTGGGATTTAAACCTCTGATATATTTTCTCTCTTTCTATATTAGTGTGTGTGTGATTTTTTTCTTGGTGTTGTTTTCGTTTTCTTAATCTATATACACTGTAGAACCTTTGGATTTTATCAAGCCTGTCCTGGCCATGTTGAATTTTTATAAACACAAAAAAAGATGGGGAGGAAATTCAGTGAGAGATTTTGTGTAAAAATGTAGCACAGATTATGAAGTATATTGTTTTCTTTGTCTTTTCTGAGGCAGCCCTATAAATTCGTTTTCTTTGTGTTTGGTGATATTCTATCCATGTATTTTTAACGTAATTATAATATGATTGTTAAATCTTTATTTTTCCTTATCAGAATTTATATTTAGTAATTTGTTAATTGATATTTTTCACGGAAATATTATAATTTTTGCAGCTAACCATTGTATATGACATATAATTATTCTTTTACCTAGGTAGTAATCAATTGAAGCGTATTTCCCTTTTCATGTCATCTATTTTTAGCATCATGTTTTATTTCTTTTTCAGATCTAAGGTAGACAAAATGAGTGATTTTGTCACTGGAAATCCTCTGGTTGTTAAAATGATTGTTGGATTTAACAGGTAAATTATCATACACCAGTAACACTCCTTTTATCTTGAGTGCAGTTTGAAATTGCTTCCAACATGTTAATATAGATCACATCAGTGTTGGGCTACTCTCCTGATCTTCCTGATAAATATGATGGTGTTTATTTTGCACGGGTAAAGTTTTAAGCTTAACTTCTCTTTCTCTTTAAAGGGTTATATGCAGTGACTGTGTATATATAAATGAGTAAATTTTTCTTTTAAAAAAATATGGGTTAATTTTATTTAAACATTATTTTGATCCGTCACAAAAACTTTAACCTTGCCCATAACTTTTGATTTAGTAGAGCTATGACTTTCATATTTCACATGTGTATTCCTTGTGACAAAACCTTTCTTTGGGTACCACCAAACTTGACCTTTTGACCTTGACCTTGGAGTTTGACCCACTTTTACACAGAAATTTCAAACTTTTACTTTGGCCATAACTTTTGAATGGAAGGTACTAGGACTTTCATATTTCACAAATATATTGTTTGTGGAAAGACCTTTCATTGGATACCAACATCCTTGACCTTTTGACCTTGACCTTGGAGATTTTCGTATCTATGAAAAAACTTTAACCTTGGCTATAACTTTTGAACATTAAGTACTACAGCTTTCATACTTCACATTTATAATCCTGATGAAAAGATCTTTCATTGGATACCAAGAACTTTTACCCATTGACCTTGACCTTGGAGTTTCAACTACTTTTTAAAAACTTTAACCTTGGTCACAACTTTTAAACAGTAGATACTAAGAGTTTTATATTTCGCATATGTATTCCTTGTTGCAAGACATTTCATTGGATACCAACAACCTTGACTTTTTGACCTTGACCTTGGAGATTTACTTACTTATGGAAAATCTTTAACCTTGACCATAACTTTTGAACGTGAGGGCTAGGGCTTTCGTACTTCACATATGTAATCTTTTTGAAAAGACCTTTCATTGGATACCTACAACTTTTACCCTTTGACCTTGACATTGGAGTTTTAACTACTTTTTAAAAAAAATTTAACTTTGGTCACAACTTTTGAACGGTAGATACTAGGACTTTTATATTTCACATATGTATTCATTGTGACAAGTCCTTTCATTGGATATCAACAACTTTGACCTTGACCTTAAAGATTTACATACTTATGTAAAAACTTTAACCTTGACCACAACTTTTGAACGGTAAGGGCTAGGGCTTTCATGCTTCACATATGTAATACTTGTGAAAAAACATTTCATCAACATCTTCGACCCTTTGATCTTGACCTTGGAGTTGACCTACTTTTAAAAAACGTTAACTTTGGCCATAACTTTTTAACGGTCAGGATAAGGGTTTTCATCCTTCAAAAAAATCAACTTCAATGATAATTTCTATGAAATGACATATGATAGGATGTTCATATTAGACACAATATGTCATAAAAAATAACATCTCACCAACAAAGACACCGAAAGTGGGGGACCACAATTCTTTGAATTTGCTTGTTTCTTTTAAAAAAACATGGGTTAATTTTATTTAAACATTATTTTGATATGTAAAAACATAACAGGATTGGACAGCTGAAGTCGCATAGAAATATATGGGTTAAAGGGTTTCAAGAGGAATTGCTGACGTGGGGGTAGGGTATCAGTGTGTGTTTTATGCACATGTTTTGTTAGATAAATTCAAGGGGGGCATAGTTATCCATGCATGGAAGACTTAGACATTAATTGGAGCTGCCATTCTTAATTATAATTTGTTAAGTACTAATCTGAAATATCTGACATTTTCCTGGCTTTTTTCAGGATTTTGATATTTTACGTACCAAGAAAAGAACAGAACTGGCACCATTACGAAAGCTGGGAATTTCCTCTTTTCCAACTGGAGTTGATTTTAGATACTTGCAAACTGAATTAATGCCAAACTCACAATTTATCAATAGCTCAGTGCTTCTAGTATTTACCAATATGGATCAAAAGAAAACATCTTGGAGATGGCGAATTCAAAGTTTTTGTAATGGTGCTGGTTCTGACATTTTTCTGGCACGTAAAGTATCAAAATCATGAACAAAGCCTGGAAGAGGTCAGATATTTTAGACTAATTAGTTGCATGTAGAATATTTTTTTCATGTTATTTTGTCAAGACAGCAAAATGATATGGAAACTTGTAAAAATGGCATTTATTTTCTGGTTCTTGTAAACCAGGATACATGTTCTGCAGTAGTTATTTCAGGGTTGTATTGTGCCAAGTTCTGTTGCAGATTACCTGAGATCTATTCCCCTAACACAGCCAGGTGGAAATAGTCACATATTTGAATTCTTCTATCAGCCAATACTATAAAACTTCTCTGTTATATATAGATACTTACAGATTTCTGAATCCTAAGGTACTATAGTTCCTAACTTTCAATTATGATAAGATATATAGATTATCTTAACAACAATTCACCACAAAAATTGATCCCAATCACATTAACACAACTGTCTGAAGCAAGACAAATCTGATGCAGAAGGGTTAAAAAAAAGATATGATTTTGACATCCTACCATCAAGGATTTTGGAAATTCCTACAATCCAGTTTTGCAATTTTTGTTTTGTTTTTGCAAATAACGGCATTATTATGGCCTTATAAGCCTTAACTTATGTACCATACATTACAAGACAATATTTATATGAAATGTGACACACTGAAAGACACACTGGAATTTAACATTATACACTTGGGGGGGGGGGGGGGTTAGGAATGTACAACCTTAGTTTACACTTATTATTAAATGTACACACAACAATGTAATCTTTGTACATATTTATAATTCAACTATCTAATCTTTCAAAAATTATGTGTATAAAAAGTTAAAGGGGTTGTATCAAAACATATTATAGTTTGAAAATATTGCATACTGATTATTTAAACCATTTAAGCAACTACATGTAATAAATACGAGCACTAAATTTCTTTACTTATCATTTTAGTGCTGTGTTAAGAATTTTTTTAGTGTTTAAAAAACATTTAGCAGGATATTATTTTAAGAGATAAATAATGTTGCAGTGACTTATCAATTTAATTTATCAAATTCATCAAATTGAATAAGCTTATTTGTTTTAATATTTTTTTTTTATCTGAATAGTTGTTAAAATTTTAATGACTTGTTTAATTGACATTTAAAGAAGGAACCCCAACATTAAGATTATTTTATTCTTACAGAAATCAAAGGGGACAGAACTCTTTGAGGGAAATGTTGAACCCTTTGATAAATGAAGTGATTGAGGATAAGCACATGAAGATAAACACCAACCCAGTAGAAGTGTACAAAAGCTGGATCAACCAGACAGAAACTTCTACAGGCAAAGCCAGGTAAGGCCACTACAGGCAAAGCCAGGTAAGGCCACATATAACGAGTATGTCTCAACAGGTAGAGCCAGTTAAGGCCACATATAACAAGTATGTCTCAACAGGCAGAGCCAGGTAAGGCCACATATAACGGGTATGTCTCAACAGGCAGAGCCAGGTAAGGCCACATATAACGGGTATGTCTCAACAGGCAAAGCCAGGTAAGGCCACATATAACGGGTATGTCTCTACAGGCAGAGCCAGGTAAGGCCACATATAACGGGTATGTCTCTACAGGCAGAGCCAGGTAAGGCCACATATAACGGGTATGTCTCTACAGGCAGAGCCAGGTAAGGCCACATATAACGGGTATGTCTCAACATGCATAGCCATGTATTAAATTACACAAAATTAGGTATGTCCTCAACATACAAGGCAGGAAAGTATGCACTATTTAGTGCATATAATTTGTGTTATAAAGGCCTGTCACATTGGTTGTCAATGGCCATTTGGCCAAGGTCAAAGTTAAAGGGAATCTTCAAAATACTTCTTTGGGGATGGGGAATAACTTACTTACCAAGGAACATCAGCAGTTAATACATGTACTTTTTTAGATTTTTTTTAAGATTGCTAAAATTATGTTATTGTCACCTTGACTCAATATCAATTTGGCAAGGTCAAGGTCTTAAGAAGTCTATATGGATAGTAAGATGGAAATACAACAATTTGAGAAGATAGTTTATAGATCTAATAAGAATATGTAATTTTTATTTCAAAAAAGTTTCATATTGTATCTGGAAGTGTATGTATCTGAAGTGTTTGTATTTCAGTGGTTTGCCTTACGACGTAACTACAGAGCAGGCTCTAAAACACGAAGAAGTCAAAGCATTATTGTCTGAGTCCATCACACGACTGATTGAAGTCACAGATAAATTCCTGACCGCAATCTCTTCTTCTCTAGATAAAATTCCGTAAGTGTGTCTACATTAGTACTGAGCAGGTTAATACATACAGGTATGGTAAGCTTCATATTATTTTGTTTAAGTATAAAGAATACTGTAGATTGGCAAATATTCACGATGGTTTTAATTTCACCATGTTTGCGATTTATCATTTTCCCACGAAATTAAACCAATCGTGAATGCTATCATTGGTTTTTAAAGATGTTTAAATACTTTTACGAAACTTAAATTAATTTCTTTCAGCGTGAAATTAAAACAGTAGTGAATGGTACTTTTTGAGAAATCATGAAATTTTGACACCATGGAATTTAAACGACTTACAGTATTCCCACAAAGATGATATACCAGAGCGTATTTTGTGATCTGTGTTGGATGATGAAGTACATGTAGTGATATGGTCATTACTTCGCCCTTTTCTGATTAGTGCGTTACATTTACAGGTACGGAATGCGATACATGGCAAAAGTATTAAAGGCAGCTCTGGAGAAGAAGTTCCCGGAGGCTGCAGAAAAAGACGTCCTCAAGGTCAGCCTTCTAGTATTTTTATTGTTTATTTGAAGATGTGGGAAGGGGTGTACCTTATGCATCAGGTCCATGTTTAGTAGATTCATTTTACTTTAAAAGGAAAAAAGTCTGTTTATTGTATTTGAGGAATACTTTCATATAAATGTTTGTTTTTATTGTGAAATAAAAACTGCAAACACGGAACAATTCTTTGTAGATTGTGGGTAACCTGTTGTACTACCGATACATCAACTCTGCCATTGTGGCCCCTGATGCTTTTGACATCATCAATGTGGAAGCTGATAAACAACTCTCTAATGACCAAAGAAGAAATCTGGGCTCTGTGGCCAAAATCCTGCAGTTTGCTGCATCAAACAAAGGGGTGGGTAGTGTAACAAGTAACTACTTTATATAGTGTTCAGGGCAGATTGCTATGATTTGTCTTCACTTTTCATAACTCTCCCTGCAGCCTATTAGGATTTTTTTACTCTCTCTCTCTACATGTTGTTTATGTTTGAGAAAAAAATACATATATCAAGTTCTGGATCATGTAACTTAATTCTTATCAATTTTTTCTGCTTTTTTTTAAATACATTCCACTGTCTGACAGATTAAACATTGTAAGAAGTATTTATTTGATGTAAACTTTTTTTCATCACTCTTTTTTAAAAATATAAGAATCATACTGAACACAATAGTCATGTTACAGTGATGATAAGACTTAATGAATCTAAAACTTTTTAGCTGTAGGATTCTGGGGAAAAAGATGTAAAACCCAATTTTACAGAATATGACCCATATGAGAGAATTTTGATTTCATGTCTGGGATGGGGGTGAAATAGATTACACAAAACCAAAACTTTTTAGCTGTAGGATTTCCATTTCACTACCTGTATGAATCCGTAAGGTCAAACTGACTGTGTAAAACCCTGAAGACCTTTTTCAATATAAAAAAATATTTGTGCATATTATGAAAAAATTAAGTTTTAATCCATGCAATAACAATCAACATAAAATATCAGGGAGGTAAACCGAGCCCCCATTTTTATTTACAATAACAACGCTTTGAACGGAATCGCGTGCCCGATTTTCATATTACGCCTCGACGGAGACGTAATACGGAAACGGTGACGTAATACGGAAAATTTTAGGGCATCACATGACTCGCTTTTATCCAATCGGTAATCAACAAATTTGTCTGAAGCTGGATAAATGTATATATATGAAGGTTATCGATCTACTAAATTTTCTTGTAGAATTAACTCCTTTAATTTCAAAATTCTAAATGATCCTGACAAGTTTCATTAACTTTGACAATTTTAGACATCATTTGAACATTATTCAGAAGTATGTATTTTTGCTCGTTTTTGTTCACCCTCTCTATTTTTTGCTTTGGTCATGGCCACAGGAAACAAAACTTAACCACACAGGCATCAGTTTGTAATGCTAAAGGTTGAATTGCATGGCAATAATATCTGAAAAATCATTTCCTTATTTTCTTTAAGCACAACATTTATTTTTTCTTCGAAGTATATTACTCCTCTGAATATAGAATTGCACTCAACATATAATGAAACTGTTCTATCTTTACATATTTAAAAAACCCTGATAATTAGTAGCAGAAATGTATGTGGAGATGAAAGTTTTTATTCTCTCTGCTTACGAGAGATTTTGCCTCGGTAGAATTTTATTTTCAAGTGCTTGCTTACTTTAGGGTGATATAGTATGCTCAATCATAATTTATATAAATTACCCAATTGTAAATCGTGCATCAAAGCAATCTGGATTTTCCTGGGGAAATTGCAATATATATGCTTACTGGATAGCTCTTATATATCTAAAAGTGACTTGGCATGCCTCAGTATTAGAGAATTGACTTACAATTATTTTCAAATTTTATATTTACATAAAGAGAGACACATTTAGTATTTTTTGTTCAAACAATGAAATAAAAAATTTTATTGAAAGTAAGGATAGGTAGATAGGTAACATTCTCATATCTTTTTTAAGTCTCATTTGAATTTAAACAGGTATTGCATGTTTTGGTGTTTTTTTTTACAGTTTGGTGGGGACAGCTCTTATCTTGCTGCAATGAATGACTATATCCGACAAGCTCATGAGAAATTCAAGTATGTCTTTATTGAAGCATAATTATTCATGTTTTTAACTTGTTTTTTCCTCATATTTAACAGTTCTTGATTGAGTTTTTTTCATGTAATAGCATTAAATACATAAATGTAGAGATGCACAGACTAAGTTTTTTTGCTGTAAATATTTCTATCCTGGTTTTCTTTTTTAGGAGATACTGTGTAGAAGCGTGCAGTGTCCCAGAACCTGAGCACTACTTCAATGTGGACCAATATTCAGATATAGTTACCATTGCCAAACCTTCTATTTACATCTCTGTCCAAGAAATCATTGACACACACCAGGTAAGGCTAGGAATAGTCAATACCAACTTATGTGTGGGATAGTTTCCCATGTTATTTGAATAAACTCAGCTTGAAAAAATCACTCTCTCCATGAAGTAAAACACAAGATCTAGGTATAATCTGACCTGAGGCTGTTTAAACACTGCACACCCTTAATTCAAGGAATGCCGTGGGTGTATTGTCAGCCAAACTCTTCAGTGGACTATAATTTTATGCTTGAGACAAGGTACTCTTAACCTGACCTCTGACCTTAAATTTTGACTCAAGGTTACAGTATTCTTTTATCCAGCTACACACTTTAGGTGAAGCTTACAAGTGATGAGATGAGTTAAGTTTGGATAAGAATTTACACAGGCTTGTTTTGACCTTGATTTTTAACTTTGATAAAAGTCATTGAGGAATATATTTAGCAAAAATTATTCCAATGGCATTTGATAGATTCTTTTCCCTGAATAGCAGATGTTCACTATGTTAAATGTTTGATTGCAAGTCTTTGTGAATCATGTTTTGCATATCTTCACTGTGTATTGTAGTTATTTATAGACCTTGCCTTTGTACGTATCATGTTTTCTTGCAGCTTCTTCTTCAACATGAGGACCAGATCGCCCCTGATCCTCAGGATCCGATTCACGAACTTCTGGAAGATCTCAAAGAAGCTCCCACTGTGGATGAACTTCTTGGTAAGTGTTCAAAGGTTAAACATCTGGGAGGGGGATATTGACCAAGGTGAGGTTTTCCTATATTATCTAGTCAGGTTTATGGTTTTAGTTTGGTGCTATGATAAGAGTCTTTGTAGTAAATATTTGTGTATGATATTGTCCGGTCTGTTGTGTAGGTACGGATCTTCCGGAGGACGAGGACATGAGGAAGATGTTACAGACTCAGTTAGGGAAGACGGAGATTTCACTGACTCTCAGTAACAAGTTTGAGGTTCCAGAGGATGACCAGGCAGATGTCAAACAACTCCTTGTCAGGTGATCATCATACAATGTTATAAACACTGAAGTCTCATTTTCTGTCAGAGAATTGTCATCTTAGAGAAAATACTTCATTTTAGAAAGCAAGAAAATTCTTAAAATTTATTGCTATTGCCTCTGATGCTAAGTATAGTAATTATTTTTCTTGTACAGTATTATATCTATGTAAATGATGTACTCTGTAGGACCAAGCGTCTGGTGGTGGACGTGGTGGCCTGTCAGACGGGGGACACACTGGTACAGATCCTAGACACCCCCGCCACCGAGGAACAGGTCAGTCTCTATCAGTACAAGGGATCTCAAGGATTCAGTACAGATTTAGTCTCAGTCTATCAGTACAAGTGAGCTCAAGGATTCAGTACAGATTTACTCTCAGTCATTAATTAAAGGGAACCCAAGGATTCCGATCTCTCAGTATCATTTTCTCATGCTTATACATGTATGAAGGGAAATGTAAAGGTTTTTTTTTATCTGAAATAAAAGAGACATTTGCATGAGATCATTGCATACACTGTTGATATTTCATTAAGGTCTTCCGTCTTCAGCGGAAGACCTTCTTGTTATTCTTAGGTTTCTTTTCCACTATTTTTATTATTTTTATTGTTTTTTTTCTTACCGATTTTGTGTACACGATTTCTCAAAAACGGCTCGCTTGATTTTCATGAAACTTTCAGGACTGATAAAGCATCAAACAAAGTTGATATATAATTTTTTGTTTTGATGACGTCACTTCCGGTTTTGAGATTTTTGCGATTTAGTGATTTTCAGGGGGTCAACACAAAAACGGCTTAAGATATAAACTTGATTTTTTTAGCAATGATAGAGCAGTGTCTGTAGATGTGGCATACGCATTTCATTTTTACCGGAAGTGCTGCACGCCGATGCTCGCTATGGTCCGAAAAAGGGCATATCGAGAATTTTAAAATTTTTAACACTTTTTCTTCGATATCTTTTCATCTACAAATATTTTGTTAAGACATATAGAACAAAAGTTGTAGAGAATGTGACGATCTTTAAAAGGATATGAACGATAAAGGGCTGGCCCCTATAATAAAGGGCTGAGAGGGGCCGAAAATTTTTCCTTAATATCTCAAAAAGTTTTGAGAATTTGTAATACCTCAAAGAAGCAAAGTTGTTCAAAATGTCAAGCTTCATCTAGAGTCTTCAAAATACGTCCAAGACTTCCGGCCAAACCGGAAGTAGTCGTATTTTTGCCGTTCTGACAAGTTTTTGGATAACATATTCTTTGGGAGCATAAAAATTAACGGCGTCACTTCCGGGGAAGTAGCCAAAAATAGCTTATTTTGAAGGCTTTTGATGCAAAATTGAAATTATAAAGTCACTGGAGATGACTCAGCTCATTGCTTTCTTTTTTTATGTCATTTTCGGCACTTCCGGTCAATACTGGACGGAAGACCTACTCGTTGCTTTGCAACGAGCTTTGCTCTAGTTTTACCTATTATTGTTCTGTAGGAGGAAATGCATCAGGCGCTTGTCAAAAAGAGAGATGAGCGAGATCAGAAAGCTAAAATAGACAGCGAGGGGGGACTCATGAGGCAACAGAGCATGTCAGGGGACACAAGGTAAGAAAAGGGGTCGGGCAGATTACAAAGTAAAACGGCCCAGGATAGCAAGCCTTGACCTGGATTAACTACCATATCTGTGGAGATCTTAAGGCCTGGATTGTCGTTGTTATGTTTTGACTAAACCTCCTGGGGAAAAAAATGAAATAGGAATTTGCATAAAATATTACAACTTATAAATAGCAATGCCAGTTTTTTTTCCTTTACTTAATAATAGTTATACCCCCCGCAAACGAAGTTTAGGTTGGGTATATTGGAATCACCATGTCCGTCTGTCCGTCTGTCTGTCTGTCTGTAGACGAGATTTTGTCCGGATCATTACTCAGAAACTATTGGAAGGATTTGTCTGAAAATTTGTACACATATTATTCACCATATGAAGTTGTGCACCTGATATTTTCATCTTGATTCGATTATTATTTTGAATTTTACAGGTGTTTTTTCATTTTTATTTTGTGGTTTTGTCCGGACCGTTTCTCAGAAACTATTGCAAGGATTAATCTGAAAATTTGTACACTTATTATTCACCATATGAAGGTGTGCACCTGGAATTTTCAACTCTTTTTGTTAATTTTTTTGCATTTTACAGGTTTTATTTTTTATTTTAATTGACTAGTTCATTTTGGGCTCATGTATAAGGTTTGAGATATAGAATCTAGAATACCTGTTCAAAAATACTACAGCTTAAAACTACTCATAAAAACTTAAAAAAAAGAAACATCATCAAGTGTTAAAAACAGTTTTTACATTGCACAGAAGATAATGTAATTTCATTTGTCTTTTGGGAATAATGACGACATGCATCCAGTTAAAGATAAATTAATGAGTTTGGTGTTGGAAGTTGTTAAGGCATATCTCTTATCAAGCGTGTGTGTGTTATCTAATCTCCAGGGAATAAGGCACAAGACTTAAAGATCTCTCTTCTCTTATTTTCTTAATTGTAATTTATTCTCTGTCAAAGCACTTCATTACTGGATGACCAGCTCTTTATTTTCAAAATGCATTTCAAATTGATATATCAAGATTAATTTGATTTTGTATAATGGGTTTTTTTTAACAATCAGTTTGCAGAGTGACATAACACATAATTGCAATATATTTTTTTAATGCAGAAATAAAAAAAAATAAAATGAAAAAATAAAAAAAATTGTTACAATGGAATTACAATGTATTAGTATTGATGTTTCATCTGGTTGCACCTTTGTTTCATTCATTAAGAAACATGATGAGCAATTATATTTCACTGCAAATTTTTGTAAGTAAATTGTGAACACCTCTAGATCCATAAAGTATTTTTGAATTGGCACCTTCTCTGAAAAACCCAGCGGGGGGTATTTGTCCCTATTGGACAGTTCTAGTTTAAATAGTAGTTTACCTTTATTTTTCAGTCTTAATTGAAATAATAGATGATACATTTTTGTTACAATGTTTAGTATACAGGTAATTATCTTACTGACAACAAACTTTATCTTACCTTAATCAATTAAATGATTCACAATCCAGCCACTCCTGTATTGTGTCTTACCTCCTAGGCTGCCTCTTGGGATAATGAAAACAAAAATCAAGAAAAACTTACAAAACTTGGAGCTGAATGAGATGGTAACCAGGAAGAATGGCTACCAAGATATGGTGAACATGATAGCACAGGTAAGTATCATGTAACTATAGGTTTATAGTAAGGCCAGGTTATGGTTACCAGGAAATGGTTGATGTGACTGCACAGGGAAGTGTCAAGTAGAGTTTAAGGAAAAGAAGTAAAACTTGATAAAACACACAGGTTCAAAAATAGAAAAAAAAATTTACACCTATGATGAAGAATTATGATATATATTTACAGTGTTTAAAAGATGACAGTATTCTCTAATGCAGAATAAATTTTTAGCAATATATAATTGTAGCAATTTCAATAACCTAATGTTTACAGTGCAAAATTTGAATCTTCTGTAAGATTTATTCTTGCATACTAATTATATTTTACATGGGTTGAATGTTTAACAGGACATCCGAAACCAAAGACGGTACAGGAACAGTCGTAAACACGAGTTGATGAGAGTTCGAGAAACCGTAAGGAGCTTACAGGCCAAGCGGGCCTTTTATGAATCCCAGATCGACTACTATAATCGCTACGTCCAGAAATGTATTGAAAATCTGCAACAAAGGGCAAAGTAAGAAAATATCATTTAGTCAAAATTTTGATATCGTCAATTCCAATTGATGTATTATCTTAAAAGTTTGCAACTGTGCAAAATACTTCAATTCAAACATATGTTGAAAATTTTATTTTATTATTGAAATTATTTCAAAAGTTATATCAATTTGAAATTTTGACTCAAGTCTGTTCTCACTTTATGATTTGGGGGCCTGGTTTATAAAACTGTTAGCTCAGGTATTGATTGATAGATTACTCCTATAATGTGACAACTAATGTTCTTCAGCAATAGAAAGTCAAAGGGATTATTCAGAAGAGGGGATGGGGAGAAGAAGGTACATTATGAATCTCTGAAATATAGTGCAGCTAGGCTTCACGAGAAAGGAGTCATCTTAGAAATAGGAACCCTGCCAACTAATCAGTAAGTCATGCAGAAGTTAATTAAATTATAACTAATCAGTAAGGTGAGAGGTTAATTAAATCATAACTTATTAGTAAGGCAAGAGGTTAATTAAATCATAACTAATCAGCAATGCAAGAGGTTAATTGCATCATAACTAATTAGTAAGAAATGCAGAGATAAATTACATTTTAATTAAGAAGTGCAGACTTTAATCAAGTTATCAATATTAATCTGATAATATGAAGCAAACTGAATCTTATTTTGTAGGTTCAAGAATGTGCAGTTCGAGATCAAAGAAACAGCTGATCCCGGGGTGTTTGAGGTCCAGGCCAAGTTCATGGGAATGGACGTCAAAAAGATTGATCTAGTCTTCCAGGTAGCCCTTCATATTAACTTTATATATACTCCTGTACATGATACAGAGGAGTCTGGTAGAGACCTTTTTCTATTGATCCTGTCCCCGCTTGTGCTCTCATCCACAAGTTACTCTGTATTTATGAAAGTTTTATTCATCTTCTCTCAATGACGTTGGAGCCGAGGGGGGTGATTTTTTTTTTTTTGTCACTTGAGAACATTTTTCACTCATAAGGAGACACCATAATTTGTTGGTGGACGGCTAAAATTATGGTGTCTCCTTATGATTGACACTTACGGCCATTGAGCAATAGGGGATCATTTATCATCCCAACACCTTCTACGACATGGAACCTTGGTTCAAATGTCTCAGTCTAAGGACTGGTCTCCAAGTCTTGCTGTGGATTCGAACCCAAGGTGTAAGGATCAGCTCCTTACTCTGTGCCACATGGATAACTGGAAGCGATTAAGTAACATGCTTGTGAGTTTGTAAGTGGGTGTGTGAGTTTGTGTATAATGGAAATAACAGTTTATTTTGGGATTGATTTTGTCTTTTGTGAGGGGATGCTCTGCTTGGCAGTGGCTTTTCTAAGATTGTAAAAATGAAAATTCTGTTTGTATTTGTCTCACAAAAGTTATGACAGAGTTTAATGATTTTTTGAAAGAAAGTTAGTAAATCAACATGCTAATGATCGATAGCAAAGAAGAGCTACATATTTTTTATTTTATATATTTCAGGATTTGTTACAGCTTCAGTATGAAGGAGTTGCCGTTATAGAACTATTTAACGACGCCAAGGTTAATGTAAACCTTCTCATTTTCCTCCTCAACAAGAAATTCTACGGCCAAGGGAAGTAATTCTACAGCTAACAAGGGGGAATTACTCCAGACTCTACCATAATTGGTGCACTGCATCAAATTCTTGTTGACTCCAAGTGCAATAAAGTGTTCCTTTATGTTTTTTATTTACATTTATTCATTCACTTTTTGCTGTATTTGCCACCACAGAAAGAGTAATGTGTTTCTATACACTGGCTTTTGTCAAACTGTGTGGACAAGATTTAATTGTAATGTTTTTTTTTTAATGTTACTGCTGATTGTGTGTACATTTCCTAAGGATCATGGGTTAAATATTCACCTACACCCTGTGCTTTTACATCAGTGAAGATCTGGAATTTTTTTTTATTTTGTATTTGTTTATGAAAAGTTTTTTTTAGTGTTTAAAGTCATAGTATTGCTAGAAGATAATTGCCTTCAAATGCCTTCCGGACAAGAAAGTATACTTATTTATTTCTAATGGAGGGATTTTTTCCATGAATAGTTCAATTAAATTCACAAATAAGTCAACAGGTATGTCATGTTTCAAGATAAAAACTAAGGGCTATATATATATAGCTTTTTGAATTTTCACTTTTATTTCTTACTCTTTGAAGTACATGTGATTATGGGACCAAAGGTAAATGAACATTCCTGTTATTTGTTGCACAAGAAAAAAATATTATTTGCATATTTAAGCCAGAAGCATGAATGATCTGTTCACCCACAGAATTTATTAGTCATCTCTTTGCTGGACATTTTTTTGAAAAATTCAATGAGGTCCTCTCACATTGAAAGATTAATATTAAAGTTTATCCATAATACAAGTGCTTAGAAAAAGGAAGGACCCTGAATATCAATACAATGTATCTGATTATATGGTTTTTGTACATCCATAAAAAGGGCCAAAATTTATTAGCAAGATGACATGACTTTAGGCCTTTGTGCTTAAGAAAAAGATGAGATTTTTTTTTTTGAGGTTTTAATCATCATTTATGTCACTATTTTTTTGCTAAAACTATATTTTATTGCTGTAAGCATTGTTTTTGCAACAATTTTATGTGCAAGAACTACAACTCTCCTACTGCATTTAATAAATTGAAGTTATGCATTTTTACTTGTACCTAAGGTGTTTTTTTTTTACCTGTATGTTTGAGATAGTAATTTATTGAGATCTGATATTCAGTCTCACGATAAAGATTTTAAAGTACCACAATAAGCATATTTCATAGATATATAGATCTGATGCGTTTTTGTAAATCACTGTTACTATAAATTCATTTGTTTATTGTCCATACCAATTTTCTGATTGCAAAACTTGCTTCTAAGTCATATTCTAAAGCATGTAGAAGAATGTATTCACTTGTGCATCTCTGAGAGACTTTAAATGGTGCTAAAAAAGGGATGTACATATATCATTTTATTCTACAATAAATGTCAAGGTGAACATTCTTGTATTTTTATTTTTGTTGTACACTGTATGTGGTCAAAAGCATCTTGAAACCAAAAGATACCAACATATATTAGGCTAAATAGTTCTCTGTATATTTGACAAAATATTTAAATTGCAAGAGTTGCATCCTTGCAAAATACTGATTGAATTTCAAGACTAAGGTTTGTTTTGATTCCTTGTCTTTGTGGCTTATATTGCCTGATAAAATTGGCATGAACAGCCTCAGGGATTGCTGGTGAACACATACATGTAGTATATTGAGCAATCCTGGAGCAGAAGACACTGTATGTAATGAATTTTTTGCCCTAGACACAATTTAACAACTTTAAAATGGGATGAATGTAAGGAACAGTATACTTAAACAGAACTGTGTCTGGGTGAATTTAAAATGGGGCAATATTTTTTGCAAGTGTGAAAGGGCAAATATATAGAGGATATTCAATGTTTTGCAGTTGAATATGGAATTTATTTCACGAGTGGGACAGGATTTTTGATATTTTCACGAGTGCAAAGCACGTGTGAAAATATAAAAAAAATCCTGTCTCACGAGTGAAATAAATTCCATATTCAACTACAAAACATTGAATTTTCTGTTTATTACATTTAAAAAAATTTTTTTTATTTTTCCTTTGCCTCTGTCTCTTTGTATTTACAGTCATAGGCTTGTGACGTCATAGTTGAGCGGTTGAGACGTCATAGCTATGTGAAGTGAAAACACTGTAAACATGGATTTAGCAACATATTTTGTTAATTTTGACAGTTTTATTCGCTGTCAGAATGGTTTATTTATTTCCATCTATCTTATTTTAGGTCAAGGAAGATTTTTTTTACAGCAATATTCGTTATGGGAAGGGAAATCGAGTTTTCCCGCACTTCTGATATTCGTCACCTGTGACAGGATATCATTTTGATATCCTTTCACACTGTGACAGGATATCATTTTTATTCAATGAAAAAATTACAGTATTTCACAGGTAAAAATGTAATAAAACTCTGTATACAGTACCTTGCATCACTCTGCAAGAATCACAACTTTCATACGTCGATTGTTTTTATTTAAATATTTTTTTTTAATTAAGATTTCTATTTTACACTGTTTCATTTGATGATGAAACAATTCAAAAGGTTGGTTTTTATAAAATAGAAATGGGTATCTAACTTGGGGTCCAAATCTAAATAAATTATATACCAAACTTGACTCTAAACAAACCTGTGCACAGTATTTACGAAAGCTTAAAAGTGTGTACCTGTCAGTGATTTCTTTTGATATTCATGAAAATCAAAGGACCCCAATTTCAACATACGTACAGCTCTGTATGTTGCGTATATCTATTATTTGACATTTTTAGATGATGACTCATATAATAAAGACATTAGTTAATAATCAGATTTAATTTTTAAGTTTTTGATATATGTTCGAAATTTGACGAGTAACCGGGGACCACAGATACGCCTTTTGAGACTTGTCCTTTTAGAAATTAACCACCACCAAAGTTTTGCTTTTATTAACGATGTATGAAAATTAAAGCCAAATTATCAACATCTACATTGCTAGTTACTGTTATACCCCCCACAAAGAAAGGTTAGGAGGGTATATAGGAATCACCGTGTCTGTCTGTCTGTCCATCCGTCAGTCCATCTGTGCAAACATGTCTGGTCTATATCTTTCTTATGGATTAACTTGAATCTACTACTTCACACAAAGATTGCTCATGACCTAAGGGCGTGTCATGACTTATTAATTCAGAAAGTTCAAGGACATTGAAAGAAAAATTTCAGAATTTGTGTCATGTCCATATCTTTCTTATGGATAAACCTGGTGAGTTCCCATTTTACACAAAGAATGCTTACAACCTGAGGGTTTGTCATGACCTTGAGCCAAAGTCATATGGGCAAATTCAAGGTCACTGAAAAAAAGTTCATAATTCATGTTTGGTCCGTATCTTTCTTATGGATTAACTTGAATCTACTTCACTCAAAGATTGCTCATGACCTAAGGGTGTGTCATGACCTTGACCCAAGGTCATTTGGGCAAGTTCAAGGTCACTGAAAGAAAAATTTCATAATTTGTTTCCGTCCACGTTTCTTTAGGATAAACCTTGTGAGTTCCCATTTTACACAAAGATTGCTTTGACCTGAGGGTGTGTCATATCATTTTGACCCAAAGTCATTTGTGCAAGTTCAAGGTCACTGAAAGAGAAAAATTCATAATTTGTGTCTAGTCCATAATGCATATCTATAGTATATTTTTTTAGGCTGCACCTTGGTTTCATTCATTTAAAATGTAATGAGTACTTATATTTTCACTCTAAATTTTCAGCAAATTGTGAACACCTCTTTGTTTCATAAAATATTCGTATTTGGCACCTTCTCTGAAAAACCCAGCAGGGAGTAATTGTCCCTTTTGGACAGTTGTTTTAAAAAATTGCTGAATATTGACCACAATCAAACACACCCTTTATTTATCATTCAAATTCAATATGAAAAAAAAACCAGAAGAATGTTTTGAAAAGGAAGAATTTAATAGTATATAGATATAATTATATAGTAACACTGGGAACACAATCAGACATTGCCATATCAGACCAAATACACTCACTCAACTGATTATAATGTAGGCTGCTTCCAGAAGGGCTAGAGAAAAACCACAACAATTACAATTAAAAAACATCCTCCTTAATTAACAATCTGATCTTTTTTTTTTGCTTGGGCTTCTCGTTTATCAAATGTTATTCTGGATTTTTTCACTTCCTCATACAGTAAATCTTCTTATTTTTTCATTTTGCTACAATATAAAGCTTTTGAAAATTAGTTATAATCTATTTATAATATCAATAAAAGGTTTGCATTTATTTAAAGCAAGCCATTGTGTAAAATTCTCTATGTTGTACATCTCTTGAGACATATTTGGAATACGAGAAAATAAAAATGGCGGTCCTCCTGATTTAACTGCTACACTGGGCTGTTGTAAACAATAATGGGACAATATTCCCATTTAATTAATTGAATGTCTATTTTATCTTGATAAAAAAGGCATACATTGATTTCTTAATTAAGTATCTTTATAAAAATTCTCTCTAATTAAAGACTGCTGAGTATCCATTGAATGCAAGAAAAAGATGATTCCCAGAAAATATGACACAAATTACTGAAACAAAGTGCTTTACCTTCAATATAATCTTTTTGGATAAAAATTAATGAAAAAAATTCTTGTTCAACTGATGCATTTACAATTGTAACAGCTAGGATGTTTAAAAACGATGTACATGCATTATGGAAAGTTATAGAGAGAATTCTATAATGATCTTCCCTTTTGTCTTCTCAGGTCTACTAAATACAACTTACATTGGATGTTTTCTTTTAGAGTTTTGATTGAATATATTTTACTTCATTTATGTATCAAAAAATAATGCTTATATGTAACATACTCTGGCTTAAAATAGAAATAAGGCCAGGTAAAATTAATCTTTAGATTCTCATCCTAATATGCTAAAAAATTGGGGCGGGTGGGCGGATTTTATTTTTTATTTTTTATAATTGTTAATTTATATATAGGCCTAAGTATCAACAAAACAATCCGTACACATTTTTTTTCATTACCTTAATGGAAATATGAATATTTTCATATTCTTTTAAATATTTAAAGAAAATTTTTGCTTTAAAAATTAAATATTTATTGTTAATTAACAAGTTATCAAGTACATTATACGGCACACCCTGAACTTCATGACTTTTTATTTTGCAAAATCTATATAAATGTTCTAATGAAAATTTCTGTCAAATTTTGTTTATTTCAAAGCAAAGTCACACAGCTGGAGATCGTTATATATAACTTGACCAGGTGTCATTTTACTCGTCTATTTTTACTTAGTTTATTAACATTACAATATTGTTAATTCTTACTGAATAAAAATACATGAAAATAACATAAAAAACATCGGGGCGGGACATTTTGAGAGGGGCGGGCGGGGATGAGAATCTAAAGATTAATTTTATATGGCCTAAAGAAGAACCAATCCGATTCTGTTGTGGCTGTGTTCACAGTAGTTATGCCTTACTACTTCATGTTTATATGGGTTCAATGAGAATTTCAATCAAAACTTAATAATCAACATTACAATATTGTTAATATCATAACAGCCTAAAATAAATTTTATGAAATTGTTGGTTAATAGAGGAATTGATGTAGTTAGTGCGATAGAGGAATTAAGTTAGGTGTAACAGTGGAATGTAACATTTTGAGATTCATTTGAAATCAGTAATGCCCTCTTTTAAATAATTATACTGTTTGTTTGCCTTCTCCAAACTCAGGGTTAAAAAATTAAGTCAGTTGCTAGATGGGAACAGTTTTATCATAGAAAATATTAGCATACATAATTACACATTGACAGGATGAGAAAACTAGGGAAACAGGAAAAAATATAATTTCCTGGAGGTTTATAAAAACAGTTTTGGGACAGGGCGTTTTTAACCAGCTAGTAAGGAGAGGGCAAACAAACATAAAATATTTCAAAGATGGCCTAAATAAAATTTATAGTCCAGAAACAGCCTTCAAATTGATATGTTGATAAAAAAATTCTGGTCCCTGGCAAATACCCTAATACTTTGCTTCAGTTAAACTGTACTTGTACAAATTCACTAACTTGCAGATAAAAGTTCAGAAGACCTGATGTCCTCTTTTACAATCTACTTCTGAATCATGGTCTTATTGAATATCATCCATATTTCCATAAAAAATGCAAATAAAAAAATTGTTAAACTTGGTTGAAAACAAAGTAGTTAATACATCTCTGCCTGTAAGGTCTTAATGTAAAAATTACAAAATGAATCTATATATAAACAGAATATTAAGTGTGACTATACCAACATCACAACAACTGGTTATATATACACAACTGAGAAACAAACGAGACGTAAACAATGCCTCATCACCATGGCACCAAATAAATATTCAAATGAGATCACTGCTTGTAACACATCCACCACACCAGTTCACTTCCCACTCAAATTTTATCATTTCTAAAGCCATGTTTATCAACTTTTTTTCTGCTTTCTGATGAATTCTTATGGTTATAGATTTTTAAGCTGATCACAGATTGAATGGTCCGGTTTTGTCATTGTGGGAGAAAAAGTACCCATGATGCACTCAGGTTAATTTGTGGAATTTTCCTGTAATGTGGTATTGCAATCTTTAATGGAAAATCACCGGTTTTTTTCACTTACAGAAGATAATAATATTTTAATATACTTTTCTGGATGTGAAAGCACAGCTTAATTCAACAATCAAAATGCGTTCTGAAACGCTTTTATCTATAAACTTTCTAAATCAACAACAGCTAGTATGTCCAGTCTTCGATGTTTTCTCCAGCACATAGAAATGCTTTGATAACCACAGTATTGAGAGTTTGGAATGGATCGTTGAGAGGGACTTGTGGTTCCCTGAAAAAAGCCTTACGCTGACTGGCTCTTTCCAATAGGAGCTCCCATAATGCCTCTCGGTCATGATGGATTGAGGGAGACATTGGACAAACGAGATTGCTTGGGTTCTATTTCTAGGGAAGCTCGATACGTTTGGTCGTCGTCAAGGAGACGGTTTGTGTCCAGCAGGTAGTTGGTTACCTAGCAAAAAAATTTTAAATTGCTTTTAAATTTAAAGTTTGTTCAACATTTTACAGCTATAGTGATTAAACATGTCACTGAGGATTAATCTACCCAAAAACATGCAAAAAAAAGAAAGCACTTTCCCATATTCTCTTTCAATTTTCTGAAATAGTACCCCCTGGTAGTTCTTCAAAAAATCTTTACATAATTTAAAATTGATTATCTAAGTGCCAGTCCAGACCAAATCTGTGTCACTGTTAATAAACTAAGAGGTACTGAGCACTGAGCTCAGTAAATGATACCCCTGCCTCCCGTATGATTATAATGGTGAAACTCATGTTTTGCTCTGAGAGACCCAAAACAAGTGACACTTATCAAAAAGTAAAATAGGAAATGCACTATGTAATAAAGATTCTGTTAAAGTTTCATCAAATTTCATTTAGTGGTAAAAGAGGAGTTGTGGATAAGAGATGGTTACCCTTCAATATTATAGAAAGAAACTTCGTGTCCATGATTTGCTCTTGGAAACCCAAAATATGTGTCTGATCACAAAGAAAACCAGAAGGAGCTCAATGATATAATGTTATAAAGAATTTGTGAAAGTATCATTAAATTTTATTCAGTGGTGTATGAGGAGTTGCGGATTAGAGATAGGTACCCTTCAATATTATAGAAATAATGGCAGTGACAATGTTGTTTGCTACTGGAAACCCGAAATATGTGTCCTATCAAAAAAGTAAAATAGGAGGTCACAATGGCACTATGTAACAAAGATTCTTTGAAAGTCTCCTTAACTTTCATTCAGTGGTATAAGAGGAGTTATGGGTACCCCGAAGCGTAACAGACGGACAGACAGATAGACAGACTGACGTACATCCCGATCACTGTATACCCTCCTACTTTTCAAGTGGGGGTATAACAATACATGTACTGTTAACTTAGTCAAGGAAGATAGGAGAGGTCTACTTACTCTAGGAATATGTTCTATTTTGTAAGGTGTTTGTTGAAAAAGACGTATCTCCCTAATCACATGAGCTATCTGAAAAAAAAGGTTTAGCATTAAACTCTACAGCCTAACTGAAAATGTCTAATTTCCGCTCTATTACAATGTTAATGAAGAGTAATTTCCCTTTCATGCCCATAATTTGGCCTACCGTTCTCATTTTGGAGAAGTTGACGAGTCCTTCGTCTGTATTTCCCGGTATACCTTCCTCTATGATTGACAGGTCGGTCAGGTACATGCCCAGGTAGGGGATGCAGGGGGGATCACACCTGTAGGTACACACATAAAGCTACATTCATTCTGTGTACATCAAGAAAATTTGACATGACAATGCTTAGTGGCTTACTGTTTTATGTTTTATAAAGCCATCTTTATTGTGAATTTTAAGTTCATCTATAATGCAGTAATGCTTCCCTTGCTCTGACACTTACCTGTGCAATGCATCCCTCATGTTTTTAAATCTTCCATTGGAAGACACTAAATCTTGCAGCTTTTCTATGGTTTGCTTTGTCTGAAAGAAAAAAAAAACCAAGTATGATCTAAATGAACTTTAAAAGAAAAATAAATAAAAATATTTGATACTGATAGACTGGCTTTATGCCAAAAAAATCCCTCCCAGGCAACTGCCAGTTGTAAATCTCCCCCACCCTTTTTCTCCAACCAAACAAGAAATATATTAAATAAACATAACATGTTTAGAGGGACAAGAATTATCTCTACCATACTCATTTTTTATGCTGCTATAAGTTACTAACAGATTTGGGGATTTTCTCCCAGGTCTTCTTTAGTCGATACACAGAGCTGTTGACAAAAGCGGCACATATCTGCAGGACTCCGTTGTAGTTGTTCATGCAGCGACAGATATCAGCAATGGCCGCCCATTTCTCTATACATGCTACCCGCTCCTGTTGCACGGATCGTCTCACGATTTCCGATACCACCAATCGACTGACTTCATTAAATCGCTTGCTCACCAACAGAACATGAGGGGCTTTGGTTGATTTCTCTGCCTTCATCCAGGCTTGACTCAGTAACTCCCTGTAATATATGTATTAAGTAAAAAACATTTCTTAAAGTAAAGTTTGTAGCATACTTTATATTCTCTTAGACAAAGAAATTGCATGATCCAAGGAATTGTTTATTTTGAAATTTAATGAATCTTTCTGAAGTTTTTATAAACACCTATATTTAGTCCTTAAAATTTTACTATATTAGTATTCACTGATAGATAAAAATGTAGAGCCAAAATTAAAAATATATATTGTGGCTAATTGGTAATTCATCTGCTTAAAACCTAGGAGAAAAGAAGAAAATCTTCAAAGAGCAATTTTTTTATATCATATATTCTGTACACATAAAATTCACAATTTTGGCAGAGGCACTTTTGCTGATCATGAAAATCTTATGGTCCAAATAAGTTAGCTGTTCAGCAATGTCCATGGCTGATAAGGTGTCAAAGTTCTCCTTTGTTGAAATCTGATATAAAAAGAAGAAATTTTATGTGCACATGATATAGGCAAAACCAGATAAGGCTTTTATAAAATTCTATCAAGTTCTATAAAATACACATATTATTTTAAATTCCATTATTAATTAATTTAAGTGTATAAGTTTTGATATTTTCCTAGAAATTACTTTAATTTAAAAGCCCCCAGAAAAACATGCTAAAAACTAGTGTCACTGTAGTTGACTTCAATATATATGAGATCACTTGTCAATGAGCAATCAAACAAAAAAAATAGGTTTTAAGCCTTTTCAACCCAAAAATTGGATTCTATGGTTTAAAATATTTTAAATCTCATTCTCTGGAAGAAGTAATGTATAGTTTGTTCAGTGAAAATGAGACAAATTAAAAATGAGGCAATAGTTTTGAACAAAGTACAATAGGTCACCTGAGTGCTGCCTCTCTTAAAGTAAATTTTGTAGCATACTTTATATTCTCTTTAAGTCAAAAAATTTGCATGATCCAAAGAATTGTTTATTTTGAAATTTAATGAATCTTTCAGAAGTTTTTATAAACGCCTATACCAGGTATTTAGTCTTTAAACATCAAATTTTTATATATAATTAATCTAAAAGAACAAAATTAAAAATATATATTGTGACAATCTCTTGGATGGTATGCAAGGACTATTTATGAATCAAAATCTGCTGATGAAGATCTTATGGTCCAGATAAGTTAACTGTTCAGCAATGTCCATGGCTGATAAGGTGTCAAAGTTCTCCTTTGTTGAAATCTGATATAAAAATAAGAAATTTTATGTGTACATGACATAGTGATATAAAATACACCATATTATTTTAAATTTCATTATTAATTAAGTGTATAAGTTTCATAGAAATTACTTTTTTGCTGTTCCAGAAATATTGTATAATAAAACAATATGTATATAGAATCAGTCAAAAAATTAAGTAGGAGGTTCCTGACTTACCCCAAATTTGGATTCTATAGTTGAAAGTATTTTAAATTTCATCAAAGTAATACATGTGTATGTATTGTTTGTTCTGACAGTGAAAATGAGACAAGCAATGATTGTGAACAAAGTACTAACTTAGTGCCGTTTATTTCATACTTATAGCCATTCTTTTTTCATGTAAACAAATCAATGAGATGTCGTTGAAGCTGAGCTTTCAAAAAACACAGATGCTACTGAATTTTTTTTAATGAATTAATCTAAAACAAGGCACTAACCCTTATAATTCTCTAGGATGGCATGCCAGGACTAACCCAAATCTCCCATACGGATGCTATAATAACCCATGTATGAAGACAGTTAAACCCTAATCTCTTGAATGGATGCAAGACTAGCCCTATATCATCTGTTAAAAATATGAAAGACTAACCCTTATCGGTTCAGTGACTTAAATCTATGGCATAGTGCAATGAGACATGTATTATATCTCTGTCACACCAAGCTGTGTGTCATTACGGCGTTTTAAAAAAAATACAGAGGGAAATTGCTCAAATTTCTAAACTTTTCACAAAAGATGTATGACGTGTTTCATGGCTATTTGATTCACAGCGTTCTCAGTGCGCTGGCTGCATTCACAATACGTTCACAATACGTTCACAATACGTTCTTCACCCATGGACATATATTCAGAAGGATTGAGAAACATTTTTGTTTAAAGATTCAAGTTACATGATGGGGAAATATAATAATATAAAAATTTTGTTAGTACTTTATTAATAGGCCATGTTCATTTTATGATTTTTTTTTAATTTCATTGTGTGTCCAACAATTTGAGTTATTGATGTCCAGAAACAAATACAAGTTATAGTGTAATTTTATTTTCAAGATTATACAAGAATTTGATGGTTTTAGTCTGTAAGCTACCCATCTAACAACGCCAGAAAGCGCGTTGTGATCGCAACGGACGTGTAGAAATGCTAAGGGAGGACAATCGAAGTTCACATTTTTGTTCAAGACTATTGATCGCTTACAAGCGCCATATATGCTATATGATAAAATTGGTTCAAAGGTTTCAAAGAAGATGAAAATGTTCAAATGTTAATTTGCACAATGGATGAGCTGCCACAAAGCACTGTTGTCAAGGCATACAGCCTTGGAGTGATGGGCAATGGAAGTATATACATGTAGCATAAACAATGTCTTTCTAACTTTTATTGCCCCACAGCCTGATGTATAATTGTGACAAACCCTTAAGTCCTTGAAGCAAGTGTGGGACTATTTGACTACACTAATGTAACTGTTATTACCTTATGTTCAGCTGGATTCAGCATGGTGTTGCAGGCCATTTCCTGTTTAAAATAATACATGAAAAACTTGTTTTGCAGTTCTTAATCAATTAATTCCTTGTCACATTCAAAGTCCTGACAATAATTACATGTATCATTAATGACCCAAGTATTGTGGTCATTTTGTTCCCCTTCACCCATATATGCTATATGATAAAATTGGATAAATCTTTTGTTGGATGTTGATACCTATATGTTGATGCTTTAAGATGCATCTCCAGTGTTTGATTATAGTTGGAAAAGGACTTGCCTGGAAACTCAATTGTAAAAAGCAGCTGTAATCCTGATGACTGATTTTCTCATTTTACGTTTTTTCACACTGTTCAATCCGACTGTGATTGTTCTAAAAATTACATTAGAAGCTAAACATTTATCATCTGTTATGTTTGGATAGCATATTTTCTTTAATCACATATTAAACAATAAAAACATATTCTTTCAGATGAAATAAATGCATATTTTTAATTTAACGAATTTAACTTATCATTATTTATTTAATATGATATTCAAATATAGTATAATAGCGATTTATTTTTCTTCCTTCTCACATGTGCTCTAAAAGCATGTTCACATTTTTCTATAAATCCTAAGCAGTATGTGTCTAACCTGAGGTTAGGAAGCGAGGGGAGGACTGCGTTTGTTTCTGCTGAGTTGTCTGCTGTCCGCCCGTTGCCGTGGTGACCTGTTGCTGGTCCTGTGAATTGACGGACCCTGCAGTTGCTGCAGCAAAGGCTGCCACTGCTGCTGAAGAACTGGACCTGAAAAAAATCAAGCAGAGCGTTGTAAGTCAGGCTTATCACACAAATTATGTTCTCTGTTATGTATAATTATACAATCAAACTTTGATTGGAACATGGGAAAAATGATAGAAAACCTAATAGAAGTCTAAGTTTGAGGATGCTAAGATTTAGGATGATTGACTCAATAAGACATATTCCCTGTATGGAATTAATCGGGGTTATCAAAGTTCTACTGTACATACCTTTCATATTTTTTTTACCTCCTTTGGACAACTTGGTATTTAGTGTCAATTTAAATCATCAATTTTCAAGTGTGCAAACGAACTTTATTTTCTATGCTTTTGTGTTGGTGAAATATTTTAAACAATATCATTTCAAGTACATCTTTATAAATTCAAATTTCATAAATGTTAGGTTAAGTATTCATAACAGCATAGGTATAATCCTTGGTTAGAACGTCTTTTAGTTTGTGTGAACTAATCTTTTGATTTCAGTCTTCTATAATGATACATACAAATTCCATTTAAATAATAAGTGAACAGATGTGGACAGTTTCACAAAATGTTATTCCTTTTGGTTATTTTTGCTAAATGTACAATTCACAGTACTCTACCTGTGTACAAGAATTTATGTGAAACTTAAATAAAACATATTTCAAGAGTTTAGATATTAAACAGAAAATAACTTTTGTAAAGAACAACATAACAAGTTTACATACAAGAAATACAACACATAATCTATGATACTTTACAACAGTTAATAACAGTTGAGAAAGTATTAGTTGTCTGACTACCATTACTCAGTTAATAGTTAGGTCACATGATAAGAAGAAATGGCTACCTTGGTTAGTTCTCTCTATGTTAGTTTTCCTACAGATTACCACAATAAAGCGGGTGCATTATTAACTATTGTTTTGTGACTAGCAAGCTATTTGACTGACTCTAACTTTATATTCTTGTAGCTAGTCTATATCTGTCCCTCATACCTACCAAAACATCGGACTAAAACTGGTCCACGTTGCTCTGTAAAAGTAGGTCAAATACACACGAAAACGTTTAGATTCAATAGCAAAATTAAAGTATAGACTTGTGTTGCATATGGTTTCCAGATCTTTGACATTTACTGATTTAGCGAGTCAAATGTGAGATGATTAATTGTCAAAGGCAAGGTCAAGTATAGCACAGTTGAAATGTTTTCACAATATTGTACTGTTGTTAGGGAAATACTCTCTCACTGGTAATGTAGCAAATACAAATGAATCCTTCAGTATATCAAAAAATATCTTAATATATTAGTTTATTGAAAACAAGTGCAATTTATAAAGATTTAATGTAAGGAGTTTCATTATTTGACAAGAGAAATCTGATACAAGTGAGCTCTGTGGCCCATTGTGAATGGTCTCTCATTGCAATATTGTTATCTCCCTCAGTTTTCATTGAATAATTTCACACACATTTTACCAGTAATTAGAATGAACTGTAATGAAAATAAAGCAATCCAACTACAAACATCTAATGCTTGTTAAACAAGAAATGCATGTAAAAGTCTCTGGGCTCAGTTAGACACAAAATTGACAAGCCATAAAAAGAGCAGCTAAATGTCTGGAAAAAAATAACTTTCAATCAAATCAGAGAAAGAGAGAATTGTTAGAAAAGCAGCAGCACAATCATAATATCTCTATCAATATTTATCTCATAGAAATGTTTGTCTATTGAGCACACACAGACTTACTAGAAGAAGAATGAACAGGAAGTTTAACAACAAGTGCTGAGGAGTTACCTTCTCTTGGACTTGCGATGAGAGCTGACCACCACACCCGCTTTAGCTGAGGGTGGGGATCCCTCAATCTGGGACACCAGGCTACAGCTGCGGGTGTTTGTAATGAGGGACTCCGCTTCCAGGCTCCCCCGCGTTCCCAGGACTGAAAATACAGGGGACATACTCAGACTTCTAAAGTCATAGACATATAAACAATATATTTCCTTCCATCACTGACCTTATAAACATGAGGATTCAGAAACACTGACTTACATGGCTGCTTGACTTTGTGCGACGTCATGATGTTTGGGGATGACATACTGGGACTGATGGGGGATGGTGTGCGTCGTGGGTGCTTGGGGCTGAGACTTGGGGACCTGGGCGTGTGTCGCAGCAGTGGAGAAGTACGACCGTGGAGAGGTGAGGGGGGATTAAACGTTGGAGAGGTAGGGCCACTCCTGGAAGAGGGAGATGGGATCCGGATCGGTTTGGAGGACATTTTTTTAGGAGATGTTGGAGATACAATCTGGGCCAATGATTCCAATAAAGACTCTCCTGAGAATCCAATCTTAGAGCTTGGTCGAGGGCTTGGTGTTCTCACCCCATTGGTCTGACACGATTGGTCATTGACCATCACCCTGGGGCTTACCCTAGGTGACGGTTTAGGACTTGTCCCTGGGGTCAGGGTATCAGAGCTGGCTGTAGATTTCAGTGTATAGGAGCTTGTGGATCCAGAAGACGTGGTTAGTGGGGGTATTGTAGTTTTCGGTTTATACAGCTCATCAAAATTATCTGCTGAAGACTCTCCCTGCAGAGAGTCTGGTAAGATTATTCCTTTCACGTCATGTTCTGTTAAGTTTTCAGAGATAGCCAGAGGGGCCAGGGTCTGCGCCCCCGGGATGACTAGGGTAGAGGTATCAGGGGCGTCGTCACTCTCCCCTGTGTCCCCCGATGACTCCTCCTCTGATTCAGCTAAAAATAAACCGCACCATATTTAGCATGAAGAAATAAATGTTTAATCTTTTTTTCTCTAGAGGATCAACTTTAGATATGCAGCTTTTTCAGATGTCTGAATATTATGATAATTATTGACTTCAGCATTTATTAATAGTCTTTGGATATACAAAAGAAAAAAATTTATCTCAGAGCAATTGCGTCTTCTTTAAATCATCAAATCATCTGAGATTTACACAGCTACTTACCAAATGATTCTTGAGTTAACTTGGGGAGTCTGGTCTCGTACACAGACATACATCCCGTGCTGATCCTGCGGCTCTCGGGTAGTGGCTTCACTAGGTTACTGAGGTTCTTAGGAAGCTCCCCAGATATATCCTGTGGTGGGCTTCCCTCGCCGTACAAATTTGTCTCCGACTGCGATCTTCAAGAATGGAATGAAAATTATAATAAAATATATTAATTTTTATAACTAATTCTAGCATTTTGTTGAAACTTGCTTTATTTAGAGTGTCTCTTAATGTACAGTGAGGCATACATACTGACAAGAAGTGAGGGAAGTCTCTAGATTGCCGCTCTCAGGATTCTTGTAAACTCGCTTCAATGCCTCGAGTACTGTCTTACCATCCGTAAACACGCGGTAGGTCAGGAGAAACGTGTTCAGGAAGTCGATACTTAGAAACCGCAGATCAGTCAGGCGGTCCAAAATACGCTCTACACTGGCATGTCGAATCTAAATTATAAACAATTCTCTTTACTTAAGCTTTCTCACTTGACAAAAATCCTCTAACTTAAATCAAGAACAATTTTTTTTTTCATATTTTCATACCTTCATCACCTGCATACAAGGTATATCTCTCTCATTTGTTTCAATATGTGAGAGCATTCTCTAAGTATGAACAATTTCTAAAACAAGTTAAATTACTGACAAACAAGTTGCTGAGAAAACAATATCAGCAGTCTTGTTTAAAGTCATCATTTTGTACGTTCTATGGTCAATAGAATGACCTTGTCAGCACATATACTGTTAATTTATCATTAATTCAAATGCTGACTAATGTTCTTCATACTGATTGTTAGGCCATTATTTACACACTGAATTGATTTTCCATCATTTCTCAATCATGACAAAGAGCACACAGTGAGTGTGACCCAGGGATGCTCAATCCTCCATGGCATCTGATCCCACCTCTGCTGTTTTGGAGGTCTGTGTTTGCTCTGCTCCAATATTGTATATTTAATGGACTTTTGATCTTCAATACTGTTTGTTATTTCCATATATTTCATTGATAACTTAACAATATAAAATAATTTATCAATAGAAATATCCCATTTGATGTCTTGTAATAAAAATTCAGGAAAGCCAAATAATGTACAACTACAGAACAGTGAAGAGTTCCCACCTGCGGAACTTTACAGGAGTTAAGGGTCCTGCTGAACTTTATATCCACATCATCCGAAAACAGTCTACGATCTGACCTGAAAGTATAGAAACTTCAGAAATACACAGTACAATTATTCCACATCTAACCTAAAAGTATAGAAACTTTAGAAATACACTGTACAGCTTTTCCACAATTTGACCTAAAATTAGAGAAACTTTTTCATTCAATTCAAAATGCTGCCGAATTGCTGCTTAAAAAAGAATTAAAACTCTAATCTTAAAATGAAATTCTGTGTGGTTTTTTTTTCTCTTTAATCCTTTATTAATCTAACATTCTTATTTGTTTGTAAATTTTGAATTACAAACACACCTCTCTACATATATGTGGAATACCAGGTGGGGACCTTTAGACCCCACTGAAATACGCAGAATTTAAGGCCCTTTATTAGTAAAGAAAGTAGAATGTTTAATTAAAAAGCCCTCTGTGGTTAAAGTTTGGTGATGACAGGCCTTGTTGAATTTGACCTTAAGTTTTAACATGGTTTATAATACAAGAGAAATCTGAAATACAAATCGTGAAATGTGAAAAGTTTACAGACAACAAACCACAAAGGTAAGGAAAACAGTCAAATAATTTTGTAATGCTAGAAAATTTCAAGGACCTTTAATTTAAATATATCACTACATGTAAACCAAATTATGACATGAATCCATTTTTTTATGCACATATCATATGCACTCTTACTTACACAATTAACACATTTTCACTATAGAAAATTATGCTCTATAAATACTAGGGATGTCAACAAATATTCTAGTACTCGACTATCGTTCGATCATACCAACTATCGACTAAAATTTCTTTATTCGGTTATTCGTTAAAAATGTGTTTCATCAAAGTAATTTTGAATTCAAGGCAATAAACTTATATTTGCCCATTTCATTTATTTACAGATTATTATTTTCATATGTAAAATTAAGGGTATGATATAACTGTTCAAAGGAGATTAATTATTTGCACGTCGATGTATGTTCGGCAAACATGTATTCAAAATATACAGTTTTTGTATAGTTTAAAAAAGGTAAACAGTGTTATCATGGTCTTACTGTTTTAGTTTAAAATATATTTATTCATAGAAATGGATTGAACAGCAGGCATGACTGCCGATGATCATTTTCTGTTTTAAATGGAGAGGACATTTATTTAGTTTTATAGATTCAAACTGAGATCTGACGTGATACAACTATTCAGAAAGAATATTTATTAAATGGCTATTACAAAATTGTAAATACAAGTAAATTGAGGTCAATTATGAGACTAATTAAAACGTGTTTTTTTTCTGATATAAATTTCATACATTACAATCATTGATTGTTTGCACAAAATTTTATAATTAAGATTTATCCCAAGCTCTCGCTCTCTCTTTGTTTTTATAAGAGACACACTTAATTGTTTACCTGTCATAGCTGCAGATCTGTAGCTCTCCGAAAAAAATATATTGATAGACCGGAGAGCTACAGTGCCACCCATTGAAAAAACTGTATATTTATTGCGCACAAAAAAGTGCGCTCGGTTCTTAATTAATTCTTCCAAATTCTTACCTCAATTGCAAATAAGGAAAGATTTCAAAAAATTCCTTTATCTTCTATCAAGTACTCTCGTAGTTGACATCCGAACGAAGCATATTGGACCGAATTATCTTTGAAACCAAAATGGCAGTATAAATAAGCGAAATGTTTGATGATTACAGTATCAGGGTCATGAGGACTATTAACAACAATTATGAGGAATGTTTGGTTGTGGAAACAGCGAAAGAATATGTTAGGAACACACGGTTAGTAATATTTTGAGATTACAGTTTTAAAAACATGGAGAAATAAATCGAGAACCGAGCGCACTTTTTTGTGCGCAATAAATATACAGTTTTTTCAATGGGTGGCACTGTAGCTCTCCGGTCTATCAATATATTTTTTTCGGAGAGCTACAGATCTGCAGCTATACCTGTCAAAGATCATTGACGGACACGTACAAATTGGTTTCAATTATGGGGTACTAGTACATGTACTAATGTTATGTAAAGAAAGGATAAAATACGAGCGTTTGATATACTGTTCTTAGATAAAATGTGCAGCTAATCTATTAATTTTGAAATTAAATACATTGGATACATACTGATGAACATTTTTTTTAATAATTGTACTACGTATATGTTTACAATTCAGAAATTCGTTGTATAATCTAGATAGTGTAGGTTAAATATTGTAATGTAAACTAGTCTGTAAAAGACAAACGATGAAAATGATATGAAAAAATAATTAAAATTAAATGAATATTCGACTATCGTTCGATTAAAGCATCCGACTATTCGACTAAGCTGTCCGAGTAAAATTGACATCCCTAATAAATACATATATCAGGAGAGGTTTAAAAATGGCGCCGGTAGTGAAAGACGCATAGAGCTCAGCTCCGCTGTCGTGGGTCGAAAAGGTGCAGAATTTCATATTTATTCAACATATATAGACAAAATATAAGTTGTCCATCAGCGTCTGATCCAGGAGAATTAAAAAAAGAGTTTTGAAAAAGTGTGAAGAACGGATTATTACGGATTTTGTCTTCAACCTGAGTTCTCGTGAGTAGCGCTTACGGGTCTGTGTTGTTGTGTTACTATTAATAGACTTTTGATCTTAGTGTATTGTGTCAATCGTATTCTTGAAAATTCTGTGACAATGTCTGAGAGATCAACTAGACTAAGTTCTAAATCAGAATCGAGTCCCCAGAATAAGGAGACAAACAAGTCCTTAATGGATGAGATCAGACGTTTGAAATCTGATATTATCACGAAAAAAGATCTCGAAAAGGCTGTTGAAAACATTGTGAAAAACGTTGTTTCTCAAATCTTAGATGATAAAATGAAGGAATTCAGTAAAACATTAAAAGAAAATACAGAAAGTTTGAAGAAGGTATTAGAAGAACAAAGCGAGACGATAGATAGATTAAGTGAGAAAGTTAAAGACCTAGAGGCAGACTTGAATGACACAAAACAACTCGCTCGGGAGGCATATCTGACCGCTAATCGTAATGAACAATATTCGAGGAAAAATACTTTTAAGATCAATGGTGTTCCTCAGGAAGAAAAAGAGGATGTCGAAGAAGTGGTTCAGAATGTGCTACTTAATGGGTGCGGGGTTGGAATTCAGGAGAAGGACATCATAGCAATTCACAGAATTCCGGGAAAAGCAGACGGACCAAGGCCAATCCTGGTGAAATTAAAGAACAACGTAGCAAAAGCGAATATAATGCGCAAGAGGTCAGATATTAAAAAGAATACAGATGGGAAGATCTGGCTGACAGACGATGTGACGAGACTGAATGGGATCCTCATAAACCGATTAAAAGACCACCCAAAAATAGACAATGCGTGGTACTTTAATGGAAGTGTTTATGGACTGGTGAACGATAAACGAATGAAGTTTGACTTGTTGGACAATCTTGATGAAAAAATCAAATAGTGTAAAGTGTTATTTAGACAACCCGGAATTTTAATTTCCATCCATGTGATTATTCCGGAACTTTGAGGTCCATTGACGTCGAAGTTTTTGCTATTACTTTAAAATATTAAATTCCGGTTGTGACTTTTTTGCCTGTACGCGAATATGGCCCATTGACAATTTTCGAGCTAGCCAATTTTTGAACTGTTTGAATGCTTTTTACAAACTTTTTCCTGTTCTGCTACTTCTTTCCTTTCTACTCTATCTTTCTCTTTACAACTCAATTCTGTGTTTATTCAAGATTCGTACAGAAGCTCCAGGTTCCGTCAGAGGTAAATTTCTTAATTATCCATCATGTCTTTGAAAATATTATCAGCTAATTGTCAAGGATTGGGGGATATCAGCAAACGAAGAGATGTTTTTAATTATCTTAGAGGAATGAATTATAATATTTACTGCCTTCAGGACACTCATTTTACAACTGAAATAGAAAATGAAATCAGAAGCATGTGGGGTTTTGACTGTTACTTTAGTTCTTTTTCATCAAATGCAAGAGGTATAGCAATTCTATTCAATAATAATTTTGAGGTTAAAATGTCTAAGGAAAAAGGAGACGTGGATGGTAATTTTCTTCTTTTAGATTTTACTGCTGATGAAAAAAGGTTTCTCTTATGTTGTATATATGGACCAAACAATGATAACCCTGATTTTTATGAAAGATTACATGAGTACATTAATGATTTTAATTGTGAAAATGTTATATTATGTGGTGACTTTAACCTTGTTTTAAATCCTGAATTAGACTACTATAATTATAAACATATAAATAACCCTAATGCAAGACAGAGGGTTATAGAGCTTATGGAAGATAACAACTTAGTTGATATTTATAGACAAAATAATCCAGATGCTTTGAGATATACTTGGAGAAAAAAAAGTCCCATTAAGCAAAGTAGATTAGATTTTTTTCTTGTATCGGAGAACTTACTGTCAAGTGTTACAACAAGTTCTATAGAACCTAGCTATAGGTCCGACCACTCGATTATTACTTTATGTTTAAAGTTCAATGATTTTAAGAAAGGCAAAGGATTATGGAAATTTAATAATTCTCTTTTATATGATGAAGAATTTTTAAACTCAATTAAGGGGGTGATACAAAGGGTTAAAGAGCAGTATGCAGTTCCAGTATACAATATAGATAACTTGCAATCTATTGAAGATGAAAATATTGCATTTTTAGTCAATGACCAGTTATTTTTAGAAACACTTCTTATGGAAATTAGAGGGAAATGTATTTCATATTCGTCTTTTAAAAAAAAATCCAGAATTTTTAAAGAAGAAAAACTTATAAAAGAAATAAGTTCCCTGGAGGAATTGGCACAGGGGTCTACAAGCAATAATGAAACTCTTGAAGAAAAAAAGAAAGAGTTGGAAGATATTAGAAAAGAAAAAATGGCTGGTGTATATATAAGGTCAAGGGCAAGATGGATAGAAGAAGGGGAGAAACCGACAAAATATTTCTGTAATCTCGAGTCAAGAAATTTCATAAGTAAAATTATTCCAAAAATTAAATTAGAAAATGGAGAGACAGTTTATAATCAGTCAGATATCTTAAAAACAACCAAACAATATTATGAAAATTTATATAGAAATGTAGATGATGTCATTGAAAATGTTAACCTTCAGGAGGAAATGAATTTTTCAGATATTGAAAAGCTTTCTAATGAAGAGTCAAGGTCATTAGAAGGTCAAATTACAATGAAGGAGGCAGGAGAAACACTTTTTAGGATGAAATCAAATAAATCACCTGGCTCAGATGGCTTTACCTCAGAATTTTTTAAGGTCTTTTGGAAATTTATAGGCGTTTTTGTTGTCCGATCATTTAATTATGCATATGATCATGATATCTTAAGTGTAACTCAGAGACATGGAATCATTACCTGCTTACCGAAGGGTGACAAACCTAAACACTTGTTAAAAAATTGGAGACCTATCTCTCTTTTAAACACAGTTTATAAAATTGCATCTGGTTCAATAGCAAATAGAATTAGAAGGTTTCTAGATAAAATTATACATCCTGATCAAACAGGCTTTATACAGGGCAGGCATATAGCTGAAAACATTAGACTAATCTATGACATTATGCAATACACAGAAGAAGAAAAAATACCAGGTCTTCTTCTTCTTGTTGACTTTGAAAAAGCATTTGATTCTGTCTCTTGGGCTTTTATTCAAAAATCACTTAAATTCTTTAATTTTGGAAAGTCTATGAGGAAATGGGTCAGTTTATTTTATTCAAACATTACATCAGCAGTAAATCAGGGAGGAAATTTATCTGAAACATTCTCTTTGCATCGAGGGTGTCGACAGGGAGACCCACTATCCCCATACTTATTCTTGATATGTGCTGAAATCCTTGCTATTAAGATAAGAAATAACAAAGACATCAAAGGTATATATTTTATTGATGGGGAAAAGAAAATCTCGATGCTCGCTGATGATACTTCTCTTATATTAGATGGCAGTGAGAAATCTTTACAATCAAGTTTAGGTACCCTTAGAGATTTTGCAAAAATGTCCGGCTTACATATAAATTACGATAAAACACAAGTAATATGGATAGGTAGCAAAAAAGGTAGTGATGAGGTTTTATGTAAAAATCAATCTCTTGAGTGGGGAAAGAAAAACTTTAGGTTACTTGGTATTGAATTTGATATAGATTTGCAGAAGATACTTTCGAGGAATCTCAGTTCAAAGTTAGAAAACATAAAGAAAATGATAAGACATTGGAAACATAGGAATCTCACACCACTAGGACGATTAACAGTTTTGAAAACACTTTTATTGCCAACATTGAATCATATTTTTGCCTCCCTTCCAAATCCCACTGATTTATATATAAAAGATTTAGAAAACACCTTTTATTCTTTTGTAATGGGGAGTAATGCTTTTAGACTAAAAAAAGGAGTTTGTATTAAAGATCTTAAAGATGGCGGTTTCAAGATGATTAGTATTAAAGAGTTTATTATGTCTCTGAAACTTGTATGGATGAAAAATGTCATACTGCAAGGTAAATATTCATATCTAACTTTAGATTTAAAAAAAACAGTTTTTTGTGGAGAAGAATACATTCTCAAGAAAATTAAAGATGTAAAAAATATGTTTTGGAAAAATGTTTTAGAAGCCTGTCTATTTTTTTCTAAAAAATTACCAGAACCAGAAGCAAGTGCCTCTATGGAACCACTATTTTTTAATAAAAATATACTGATTGGCAAGAAAACAATTTTTTATAAGAAATGGTTTGAAAATAATGTATTTTTCGTAAATGATCTCTTAAGAGAGGACGGTTCCTTTATGGACATTAATATGTTTAAATTGAAATATGGAATCCATACAAACTTTCTTGAGTACAATGGACTTATAGCTGCTATCAGAGAATGGATGAAAACCAAAAATATAATTTCTATGCCAACTGTGTATATGCCATATATTACACAAAAAACATTCCGTTTATTAAATGCGAAGAAATCAAGAAATTTATATGAAATTTTGAAAAGCAATGATATCAAGCCTTTAGGTCAGACTAGTTGGAATAGAATTTTTAACTTGAATGATAGTGAATGGGAAAAAGTTTTTTCATTTCCTTTTAAGCTCACAAAAGATACAAAACTTCAGTGGTTTCAGTTCCGCATTAATCATAAAATATTAGCAACAAATTCCTTTTTACATAAAATTAAGAAAATAGATTCATACAAGTGTTCTTTTTGTGAAACTGAGACAGAAACTATTGAACACATCTTCTGGGAATGTGAAGTAGTACAAGACTTATTGAATAGTTTTGATAGTTATTGTTTTAGAAAGATTCATATTAATGTTGTATATTTGAAAAAAGAATTCATATTGGGATCTTTTGCAAAATTAGACAAAATAAAATATCTCATTGCTCTTCAGATTAAATATTTTATCTACAGAATGAGATGTAGTGGTAAATACCTCTCCTTGAATGGACTGATATCCTCCATCAAATATATGTATGAAATAAACAAGTATATTGCATATAAAAACAATAATCAGTTGACTTTTGACGAAGCCTGGAAACCCTGGAAGAATCTGTTTTTGTAATTTTTTTCTTACTATCCCTTCTCTCTCTCCTCTCTCTCTTGCTCTACTCTCTCTCTCTCTCTCTCTCTCTCTCTCTCTCTCTCTCTCTCTCTCTCTCTCTCTCTCTCTCTCTCTCTCTTATAAAAAATTTACAGAAAATGTATATTTGTATTGTATAAGTATATAATAGAATCTGTAAATAAATAAATAAAAAAAAAAAAAAAAAAAAAAAAAATACATATATCAGACAAACCAACAGATTTATAATATATCATTTGGAAAACTCAATTTAATGTCATAATTTAAGCAAAGAGCCATAAAATACAGTTAAACTTGGCTATCTCTAACACTGATATCTTGAATAGCATGGATATATCAAAGTGATTTGAAAGTCCCCAACTACTAAATGCTTTAATTAAGCTACTTTAAGTATTTTACCCTCTATACTCTGAATTAATCCTTGGATATTTCAAACTTCTAAGGTTTGACTAAACTCGAATGTACTGTCAACAGGAAAAGTAACACTGAATCAGATGTTCTCTGTCCCACTGATATCAAAAATTTGATTTCTATATATTAAAATGCCTGACTTGAAATACAAGATTCTAGAAATATATACTTGTACAAACAAAACATTCCTACTCTTCCAACTCTTTGGTTCTCATTATCAGCCTAATTGAGCCATTGGTAAAATTTAAATTACTAAATGTTTTCTAATTGGTTCTTGAGCGGCTAGTTTTAAATGACCTTTCTATAAATGTTGCTGTGGATTGCAAAAAGATTTGCTATATCTGTAAGTTTGCTTAATTTATGTGTATTTGTTCTAAATGAGTTTTAGGTAATTAGAAAAAGTCAAAAAGAGGACTTTTAAGCAGTGCAAAAAATCTCAAAGTGGATTAAAGAATTGAGAATCTAAAAGTTAATTAATCTATCAAAAGCAGTTTTAAACGATGTCTATTAAAGTGAAAAACACCATATATGAAATACAGAGATTTACACTAACACCTGTGAAATTTATCATTTTAAAGGCTGTGCCACCTCGACAGTCCAGCTAAACAGATGTGGGTTAATTATGCAGATTCAGCAGCGTACAGACAGATTTATAAATAAAATTAATGCAGGATACATATAATGAAACATATAATCATTAACTTTTCTTATAGTTGTATCAGGAACATTGAATCAAATTTGAACTACATTTAATTTTTTTAAAAAAGGGAAATAACTTTTCCAAACATGTGCATCTTTTTATTTTGGCTGATTTTAAAAATCATTTATGTATCTTCTTAAAAACTTATAGATTTATATGTTGATTTACTTTCCTTTTCTTCATTTTTTTTTAAATATAAAGCTGTTTGGAAATGAAGAGTTTACTACAACTAACCCCCAACCTGTAAAACAACAAGAACTCACCATATCTGAGTACTGTGGATGTATCTGAAAAGCATGCAAAAATCAAACTAGTGAATTAAACAAGGCTTGTAGGCCACAGTGCTCACCTGAATCATAATGGTTGCTCAGATGAATTAAATCAATGATAATCTCTCTCTCTGTGTCTCATGCACTCTTTCTTTCATGGTCATTGTGACATAGGCAACCCAGGTTATACAATTTAGATTAATTTTTTATCCAATCAAATGACGTGTTACAACTAAATTAAATTATTTTAGCAATAATTAACTTTCTTGATGTGTTTCAAGTTCAAACTTTTCATAATATCCTTAACTTAATTCCTAACTTCTTACAAATTAAGACATATGTGTACAATAGAATCTCAAGGTTAATATTCAAGAAGGATATGAAGATAAGGACCAGTATTCAATATCAAAGTCCATAAAACAATACAAAACTAGTGCTAATTGTAACGGGAACCGTTACAGATGTTCCCCAAACGCTCCCCAACTCCCTTTCGGTGCCATGTTCCCTGTAAGCTTCATTAAATAAGACAAACTCTGTGCATTTTTGACTTTAACATCGCTTTCCCAGAAGGATGCCAATTATATTCAATTTTTAGCATTGCACCCAAGCGCATGTGAATGCATGTGCGTTATGACCATATCATCTTGTCTACACTATTAATATTTTAATATACTATATATTAAAGCATTCAGTCCAAAAGTAATAAAAATCACTCATTCAAGAGTATTTTTAAATATACTCGTTTCAAATGCACGCACGTGTGTGCACGTGCATGATGATCATACCTTCTTGTAGGAGTCCCTTACATCTATCTATGTTCTAAATCCCATCCTGTTTGGTTGAAAAACAAGGGAGTTATAGCCATTTAAAATTTCAGCTAATCAGATTGCAGCACACGTGCATGCACGTAATTTAATGATTTTTTTTCTATTATTTTGTAGGATATCCTAATGCATGACTTTATTTTAAATTTCAAAAAATTTCGTGAAAAAACACAGGAGAAATAGCAATTTAAAGTTTCAGCCAATCAGATTGCAGCACAAGTGCATGCGCGTGATTTCATTTTTTTTAATATCATTTCGTAGGATATCCTAATGCATGATTATATTTTAAATTTCAAAGAATTTCGTCAAAAAAACAAAGGAGAAAAAGCCATTTAAAGTTTCAGCCAATCAGATTGCAGCACACGTGCATGCGCGTGATTTCATGATTTTTTTTCTATATCATTTTATAGGATATCCTAACGCATGACTATATTTTAAATTTCAAAGAATTTCGTCAAAAAACAAAGGAGATATTGCCATTTAAAGTTTCAGCCAATCAGCTTGCAGCACGCGCACATGCGCATGCTTTCATGAAAATTCTTATATATCATGCGGTAGATCTTCATAATGTAGGACTATGTTCAAAATTTCAAAGGATTATGACAAGAAACAAGAAAGTTATTGAGACTTTAGTTTCAGCCAATCAGAGCGAAGCGCACGTGCATGCGCGTGAGATCTTGCTATTTTGATCATGCTATCTTGTTTATACTACTAATGTATCCTTACATTATGAGTTTCAAAAAATTTCATCAAAAAATGGAAAAGTTACGGCAATAACCATTATATTGGTAATTTCACCTATTGCACGTGCGCGCTCTTGCAAGCACGTGCGCGCAAAATGACCTTTGTTTGGCAACTCTACATAACATGCCTACTAACCCTAAAAAGGTTTCACCTAAGTCGGATGTGTAGTTTACAAGATCTCTCGTGGACAAAATTTTCCCAGGAAGAAGAAAAATAATAATAATAATAATAATAATAATAATAATAAGAAACAGAGTAAAAACAATATGTTCCCCAACTTCGTTTGGGGAACATAATAAGGGGGAGCAGAGCAAACAAAACATCAGAGGTGGGATCAGGTGCCATGGAGGAGTGAGCATCCCCTGCTGACTGGTCACACCTGCCATGTGCTCTTTGTCATGATCAGGAAATAATGGAAAAATCCATCGTCAATTCAGTGTATAAATAAGGGACTGACAATTAGTATGAAAAACATCAGTCAGCATTTGACTCAATGTTAAATTGTATTTGCTGACAAGGTCATTGTATAAACCATGGAACTTATGAAATGATGACTTTAAACGAGATTGTTGATATTCTTGTTTCATTAACTTAAAATTATTTAGAAATTGTTCATACATAGAGCATGCTCTTGCATATCGAATCAACTGAGATTTACCCGGTATACACTCCGTATGCAGGTGATGAAGGTATATTGCTAAATAAGTAAGGGAAGTTGATGATAGAAAAGTTAAAGTCATCACGTTTATCATATAGCTTGGTTGTTAGACTATCATTAATGTCTTTTTCAAGTAAAATATCCAAGTATGAAACAGATGTGTCAGACTCTGAGGTATCTTTTATCTCAAGCTCACCGGGATATATCGTATAGACGTAGGAATGGAAATTACCATTGTTAATTGACAATACGTTGTCTATATAACTAAATGTCGAGTTGAAGGCCACAGCAAGTGTTTCATTCTTTTTACGCATAAGATTTTGCACAAATTCTGCTTCAAATGAATATAACTGACAGACAAAACTTTCTCAGAAAACAATCTCTATTAATATAAAGCTATGTTAGTAAGCTTTGTTAATGTGCATAACCAGCAAACAGTGACAGCTAATAGTGCTAAAACAAAAAACAATTAAACAGCCTGGACATCCACAAGCTTGAAGAATCGATATTACCCTGGATACCCAGAAGTAATGAACAAAACATGGATATAAGGCTGAATACCCACAAATAAAGATCCAAGCATGGATATTAGCCTGAATATCCACAAATAATGATAAAAGCCTGGATATAAGCCTGGATATTCACAAGTAATGACCAAAGGATGGATATAAGCCTGGCTATCCACCAAAAATAATCAAAGCATGGACATTAGCCTTGATATCCATCAGTAATGATAAAATCCTGGATATTAGCCTGAATATCATTCAATAATGATTAAAGCATGGATATTAGCCTTGATATCCATCAATAATGATAAAATCATGGATATTAGCCTGAATATCAAAAAGTAATGACCAAAGCATGGATATGAGCCTAAATATCCATCAATAATGATCAAAGCATGGACTTTAGCCTTGATATCCACCAGTAAAGATCAAAGCTTAGATATATGTCTGGTATCCAAAAGCAATGACCAAAGAATGGATTTTATATTTTTTTACTTTATGGATATCCATAAATAATGATTATAGCATGGATATCAAAAAGGATATCAGAGTGTTGATACATGGCTATAAGGCTTCATATCCATAAGTAATAGGCAAAGTATGAATATTAGCTTGGATATTTACATGCAATGATGCATAGATAATATCCATTAATTATAATTCTTGGATATTACCCACAGAATTGATTCAAGTATGCATTTTATTATCTCATACATTTTGGATATTGAAAAAAAAATTTGAAATTAAAATGTCAGATATTTGCAACATTTTGTTTAAAAATTACCTAGCATATGTGATTTATAAAGGACGATCACAGCTGTTGTCTTGCTTATTCAGTAATAATGGAGTCTTAATTGAAAGAAATACAACTTTTTGATCCAGATTGGCCATTGATATGTATAATATTGTGGATGATGCATTTCCGATTCCCAAATGATATTGGGCATTAAGAACACAATGAGATGATTCATGTATCTCAGAGATGATACAAATATTGACTGTAGATTAAGGCAACACTCTAGATTAGTATGACCTTTATACTCTATCATCATGAAACAGAAAGGGGGTGGGGTGTTTTTCTTACCTGACAGATTGAGGCATGGTGACGGAGGATGATTCACTCATTGAGGTATTCAGGAGATCACTGTAGTGCAGGTCTTCTATACACTATAAACAAAACACAGGAAATGTAAAAACACAACAAACAACTTGTTAAGACAGCATAATCCTGCTACAATATCATATATGTAGTTAAAATGCATGCAAGTATGACATTGATAAATGATTTTTTAAAACACATTAGTTAGAGGACCATGTGCCTTATTGATCACCAGAGATCACACAGAAAATTACTTGAGACAAAACTTAATTCTGTCTATTCTTATTTATTTCTGTGTAAAATTATTCTTATTCTTATATATAATGAATGTACACTAAATGGGACTGCAATGTATATCTTGCATTCTTTTTCTTCAAATAATTTCTGAAAGAATCTTAGTCCCTCATATGGATATTATCTAATGCCCATTATCCCCCTGCCTTCTAGAAGAAACATTCTGTAAAATTTGCCTATATGCTCTGTCCAGAACAGAAAAACATTGACTGACAGTAACACCTCAGACCTGGGCTGCTTTCAAGATCATAAGAGTTTAGAATCCAGGTCTAAAAATACTTGAATGGTATGCTACAAAAACATTTACTGTAAATCACTTTTAATTCGCGAGAACTTTATTTTCGCCTAATTACGCGAGACAGTTTGCTCGCGAAAATTTAATTCTCGCGTATAATAGTATTCCTTAAGATTATATAGAGCAATAACCACAATTCGCGAAAATTTTGTCTCGCTAATCAAGAGTCAATGACTATCTCGCGAAAATAAGGTGTCGCGAAAATTTAGTGATCTACAGTATAAAAGCTTTAGCTTGGTAAGCCTAGATATCTAGCCTAGTAGCTATGCTAGCTGCTACAATCTTGAACAGCTAAATCACACCGCAGGTTCAATCATAATATCTGTGTACCAGGCCTAGCATAGCAGCTTGAATCTTGAAAGCTCAAATCATACTTTAATTGTTCAATCATCATAAGAGCTAGATAATTAGCATAGCAGCTAGGTAAGCTGCTACAATCTGGAGCGTAGCACTGGGTAGAGTCACCTAGCTAACTGATATAAAGCATTATAAACAGATTTCTATAGTATAAGTTTGGGCTTTGTTTTTACACTGAGATAGAACAAGTGGGACTATTGTTACAGATCTGAGTAACCACCTGACTGATGTCGGAGCACCACGCCAGTTTTTCCTGGCGAGTGGCTGCCACTAAAGTTATGGATGTCCTGTTTCCACTCTTGGTATCCACTATAATTTTAAAGTCTAGTCCATTGTAATCTGTGCGCGTCTCCTTCTCCCCGGGCTGGATGAGGGTGTTTAAGGAACTGGTACTTCGGATGCTGTCTATGGAATCTACCGAAGATGCTGACAAAAAAACAATAAATTATAGAATTAATACACTGAGTTAATTAAAAGTATTAACCACATTTGAGGGCTAACGATAAATAGAGTTTTACAATAAGACACTAGAAACTCACTGTCTGGGTCATTTATAAAGGGTTCTGCTCCAGGATCCTCTATCAGTGTACAATCAATTAGGGGGATCTTCCCATAGTGCTGAAATACAAACATAAATTACATACATTATCTATCAAAACAGACCTTAGACATGTATCAATTCAATAGAAATAAAGATAGTTTCTTGACTAAGTCTATTATGTGAGTGTTATTTGTATCAAGAAATCAGAGCAGTAGATACTGCATCCTGGCTATAAAATTAATGAAAGAACTGAGATTATCATTTTACAAGGGTATACTCCAACCATGCTGTGTAATCTATAAAATGGATCTGAAGAGTAGTCTTGCTTCCTACATTATTTTGTATCCTGCCAAGATGCAGTGTAAAATTCATCTGAAATACTGCCTCCCTAGAGCTACAAGTTAACATGTTTAGTCCAGTGTCACTGTAAAACTCCACAGCATTATACTTCGAAGTTGTGGGCTGATGTATGAATGAAGTGGACCAATCGTATCAGTTGTGGACTGATGTATGAATGAAGTGGACCAATCGTATAAGTTGTGGGCTGATGTATGAATGAAGTGGACCAATTGTATACGTTGTGGGCTGATGTATGAATGAAGTGGACCAATCGTGTAAGTTGTGGGCTGATGTATGAATGAAGTGGACCAATCGTATAAGTTGTGGGCTGATGTATGAATGAAATAGACCAATCGTATAAGTTGTGGGCTGATGTATGAATGAAGTGGACCAATCGTATAAGTTGTGGGCTGATGTATGAATGAAATAGACCAATCGTATAAGTTGTGGGCTGATGTATGAATGAAGTGGACCAATCGTATAAGTTGTGGGCTGATGTATGAATGAAGTGGACCAATCGTATAAGTTGTGGGCTGATGTATGAATGAAATAGACCAATCGTATAAGTTGTGGGCTGATGTATGAATGAAGTGGACCAATCGTATACGTTGTGGGCTGATGTATGAATGAAGTGGACCAATCGTATAAGTTGTGGGCTGATGTATGAATGAAGTGGACCAATCGTATAAGTTGTGGGCTAATGTATGAATGAAGTGGACCAATCGTATAAGTTATGGGCTGATGTATGAATGAAGTGGACCAATCAAGTAAGTTGTGGGCTGATGTATGAATGAAGTGGACCAATCAAGTAAGTTGTGGACTGATGTATGAAGGAAGTGGACCAATCGTGTAAGTTGTGGGCTGATGTATGAATGAAGTGGACCAATCGTATAAGTTGTGGGCTAATGTATGAATGAAGTGGACCAATCATATAAGTTATGGGCTGATGTATGAATGAAGTGGACCAATCAAGTAAGTTGTGGGCTGATGTATGAATGAAGTGGACCAATCGTATAAGTTGTGGGCTGATGTATGAATGAAGTGGACCAATCGTGTAAGTTGTGGGCTAATGTATGAATGAAGTGGACCAATCGTATAAGTTATGGGCTGATGTATGAATGAAGTGGACCAATCAAGTAAGTTGTGGGCTGATGTATGAATGAAGTGGACCAATCGTATAAGTTATGGGCTGATGTATGAATGAAGTGGACCAATCGTATAAGTTATGGGCTGATGTATGAATGAAGTGGACCAATCGTATAAGTTATGGGCTGATGTATGAATGAAGTGGACCAATCGTGTAAGGTGTGGGCTGATGTTTGAATGAAGTGGACCAATCAAGTAAGTTGTGGGCTGATGTATGAATGAAGTGGACCAATCGTATAAGTTGTGGGCTAATGTATGAATGAAGTGGACCAATCGTATAAGTTATGGGCTGATGTATGAATGAAGTGGACCAATCGTATAAGTTATGGGCTGATGTATGAATGAAGTGGACCAATCAAGTAAGGTGTGGGCTGATGTTTGAATGAAGTTGATCAGCAGATTTCAAAGTTGTAAACATCTTCACCACTATTTATTCCTGAAGATTATTTTCATTAGTTTATGGGATTATAGATATCGTATTAATTTGATGAAGAAGGTTACAGATGAATGTAAACACAAAAGGGTATATAATTTTGACAGAGGTAGAGATCATGCTTTCTGGAGAAGGGTTGGTTTCTAATTTTATTGATATTTTTGTAGATATTTACAGGTTTGGTGATCAGAAAAAAGAACAGTTGACAGAGAATGTAAGAGAATGGCTAATAATTATATCTCTACATCACAACAGTCATACATTTGTGTAAGGATTTCTTTTGACTTTTGTGTTTTAACATTCTTAATTAACATAAACAATTGCATTGAAGTGATAGGTATTCATACTACACTAAAAAAGGTGTTTAATTAATAATTATATACACAATCTTATTGAACAACAGAAATTCAGGTGTGATTCTACAAAAACCCTAGAGATGTGTCAGTGGTGAAAAGTGTTGCCATAGAAACACCAGGTACGAGAACTTTTTCCTTACCTGCCTTTTAGGCAAAGTCTGAAGTTCAAATTAAAGTACAAGACTTAGGAAACGATTTAAAAAATTGATAAATTAAAAGTATATTTTAAACTTATATATCATATCAATTACACTACAATCCTCATTCATTTAACATGAAAGGTTTAGTTACAAAAAAGATCGAAAACCAACTCTTTTCTAATAATTACATCACACAGTGAAATACACAGAAAACAAACATTTGCAATCAAAATTACAGGCACATATTGAAGCACTTTATCTGACTTAGCCTGCGTCTGAGTTTCAGAGACTTTAGAACCTTTACCTGAATTAACCTGTGCCTGAGTCTCAGAGAAGTAGCACCTTTACCTGAATTAACCTATATCTGAGTCTCAGAGACTTTAGAACCTTTACCTGAATTAACCTGTGCCTGAGTCTCACAGAATTAGCACCTTTAACTGAATTTACCTTTGTCTCAGTCTCAGAGAAGTAGCACCTTCACCTGAATTTACTAGGGATGTCAATGGAATGCAGAATTGCTAATCGGTTAACCACAAGACGTTCCGACAGATTAACAACTTAATCATTTCAAAATACACATTTTCAAAGAACATGTACCTCTTTCTGTATTACATAGAAAAACTTAAAAATGATGACAGAAGTTAAAAAGATTCCATTTGTCTCTTTTTTGTATCAGAAAACTTCATTTTTTATTTCAGTTTCAAAATAAATGAGAAAAAAAAACTTAGAAAATTCTCAATCTCATGCAGGGTAAAATTGTCAAAATAATCAAAACTAAGTCTGAACTGTAGCCCTTAATTTACAATGTTTGGCAAATAATTTAATTAGATAGAAAACTAAATATGACAAACATACCATTTCACAGTGTTCTCATTAAATTAATCATCATGATTGAAGAAATACAGGACAGCCTGGGTAAAGGCATGGTGTTTGCACAATAATTGCATACTGCTACGCAAATTGTCCTATAACTCCATGGTCTAGTCAATACGGAGAGCCATAATTATCTCCAAATCAGTTTGAATAGTTTTTTAAAATGCCAAGTTTTCAACCACATGTGCAGCGATTTCTTTTTTAAAAATAATTTTAAAGAAAATAATATTCAATTTTATTTTTCCTGACCGACTGATTACAAATTTTCTAACCAATTAATTGCCATCGTTCCCACCGAGTTATCAGTTAACCGCGGATACAAATTGCCATCCCTAGAATTTACCTATATCTGAGTCTCAGAGAAGTAGCACCTTTACCTGAATTTACCTTTGTCTCAGTCTCAGAGAATTAGCACCTTTACCTGAACTTACCTATATCTGAGTCCCAGAGAAGTAGCACCTTTACCTGAATTTACCTATATCTGAGTCTCAGAGAAGTAGCACATTTACCTGAATTAACCTGTATCTGAGTCTAAGAGAAGTATAGTCCCTTTACTTGAGATAGCCTGTGTTTTTAGCTCACCTGAGCCGAAGGCTCAAGTGAGCTTTTCTGATCACATTTTGTCCGTCGTCCGTCTGTCTAGCTGTCCGTCCGTCCGTCTGTAAACTTTTCACATTTTCGACTTCTTCTCAAGAACCACTGGGCCAATTTTGACCAAACTTGGTACAAAGCATCCTTGGGTGAAGGGGAATTTAAGTTGTTAAAATGAAGGGACATATCCCCTCGCAAGGGGAGATATTCAAGAAAAGACAAAAATAGGGTTGGGTCATTAAAAAATCTTCTTCTCAAGAACCACTGGGCCAGTAAAGCTGAAACTTATATGAAAGCATCCTGGGGTAGTGTAGATTCTAAATTGTTCAAATCATGACCCCCGGGGATAGGGCGGGGCCACAATGGGGAATCAAAGTTTTACATAGAAATATAAAGGAAAAATCTTTGAAAATCTTCTCAAGAACCACTGGGCCAGAAAAGCTGAAACTTATGTGGAAGCATCCTTGGGTAGTGTAGATTCTAAATTGTTCAAATCATGACCCCCAGGGGTAGGGCGGGGCCACAATGGGGAATCCAAGTTTTACATAGAAATATAAAGGAAAAATCTTTGAAAATCTTCTTCTCAAGAACAACTGGGCCAGAAAAGCTGAAACTTATGTGGAAGCATCCTTGGGTAGTGTAGATTCTAAATTGTTCAAATCATGACCCCCAGGGGTAGGGCGGGGCCACAATGGGGAATCAAAGTTTTACATAGAAATATATAGAAAAAATCTTTGAAAATCTTCTTCTCAAGAACCACTGGGCTAGTAAAGCTGAAACTTATATGAAAGCATCCTGGGGTGGTGTAGATTCTAAATTGTTCAAATCATGACCCCCGGGGGTTGGGCGGGGCCACAGTGTGGAATCAATGTTTTACATAGAAATATAAAGGAAAAATCTTTTAAAATCTTCTTCTCAAGAACCACTGGGTCAAAAAAGCTGAAACTTATGTGGAAGCATTCTAGGGTAGTGTAGATTCTAAATTGTTCAAATCATGACCCCCAAGGGTAGGGTGGGGCCACAATGGGGAATCAAAATTTTACATAGAAATATAAAAGAAAAATCTTTGAAAATCTTCTTCTCAAGAACCACTGAGCCAGAGAAGCTGAAACTTATTTGGAAGCATCCTGGGGTAGTGTATATTCTAAATTGTTCAAATCATGACCCCCGGGGGTAGGGCGGGGCCACAATGTGGGTTCAATGTTTTACATAGAAATATATAGAAAAAATTTGAAAATCAAAGTTGAAACTTATATGGAAGCATACTGGGGTAGTGTAGATTTCAAATTGTTTAAATTATGATTAGTGGGGTAGGGTGGGGTCACAATATGTATTACAAGGGGGAAATCTGGTAAAGAACAGAATGGCCAAAGCTTCTCAGGTGAGCGATGTGGCCCATGGGCCTCTTGTTTTACTTAACCCCTTTCATGGCAAATACACATTTCTACACATCTGACTTGAAAATCGAATATAGTTTGAACAAACATTCATAACTTCGTTAATACTGCAAATATCAGAATAATTCTTGCACCGTTAGAAAGAGAAAATGGTTACGATAAAATAATATACAATTTTTTTTTATTGATTGTACCAGTTTTTTGCTAGCTTGAATTAAACTTTGGGCACTATTTAAGCGATTTTGCCATTATCGAAATCAATACAGGGGTAACACGTAATATGTAAAAATGCTAAATTCTGATGATTACCTCCCAACCCCACCCCATCCTGCCAAACAACTTAAAATTAGTTTTTATAAAAATGTACAACATGCCCATAATTTTCAACCCAACAATAAAATATATATTTTAAAAGAACTCAAATAAAACTCATTCTTGAATAAATGAAATATTTTTATAATCATTTTCAGAAACTACACAATACCTGCATTAAGAATATACAAGTAGAGGTAAACTTTTTTCACTACCAATTCCTTTCAATATCCATTTCTAAGCATACAGTACTATATTTCCTTCATATTACTTTACTTTAGTATAAAGTAGGGGGGGGAGGGGCAACCAGCCTTTCAATGAACATTTTCAATAGTAAAAGTATTGTTGGCAAAAAAAGTGGGAGGCAGCCCCCCACCCCCCGTTGCTACGTCCCTGAAAATTAAAAGAAATAACCCCAAAAAATGCATGTTAACCTGTGTCTAAGTCTCAATGAAGTGTAAAAAATTACATTTCCCATTATAACAATTAACTATAGCAAGAAAATCTTACCTGATGTAAAGACTTAATCTACTCAAAACTATACATCTTTTAAATTAAAAATTAATAGAATTTAAAAATCCATTATGACACTGATAAAATCATTGTCTAGATATCCTGTCTGTATGTGCAGAAGTGAAAGTCTCTTTAATCAAGCCCTGCCAACTGTTACCTCGCTCACAGGAAAAATATCTCAGTTGTACAGGATCACGATCATCCCGTGTCCTTGAGGGTCTACCTAGGCCAGCCTCCAGCTGACCTCAGACTGCGAGCGGCTGCTCTGGTTCACCATATTGGAATCCTTCCTGAAGCAGGCCATACAAGGTTATACAGAATGAGGGGATGTGTAACACATACCCTGGCAAGGCTCTTCTCAGAAAAAAACAGATCAATGAACGATCAGATCTGTCAAAAACAGATGTCCGAGAAAAATTAAAAACACACACACACACTGTGTCACATCAAGCCAGGTATTCTGTTAATTAGTCCACAACAATCAATAAAAATCGCAGCACGATGACTGAGCTAGTGTATATTATCCAAAGATTACTGTAAACTGTATGTCAAATCTTTATTTACGAATCAATTATAAATTAAAATTGATTCTTTTGAAAAAAAAATCTATTTTTTTGTTTACACTTTCTTTATATTCTACCGACATTAGCTTTGAATCCAGAAAAAGAGAGGAATTTGCTTGAGGTTTTCTATTGACGTCAGTTTGGTGATTTTCCTATTTAACTTATTGTAGCTGACCAGTATAAAAAAAAATTAGTAGGACTCAAAGTTCTACAGATATTTATACTACCTACTACAACTCAAAATCAAGCCTTATGAACTGACATTGCTGCAATTTTATGTCTACTTAAAGTATTCAAGCTTATTACGTTCATGAGTAACCTCCGAGTTTTGTAAAATTGAAAATTAGTGACCCGTTAGTCTGTGTGTGACCATCAGTTAACTAACAGTGTTAAGTAAGAAAGCAAGACCGACACGGAGACTTACTGATTTCAATACCCCTATCCAATATACTGTATTTGTACTTAAAAAAGCAGTTTTCATATATTAGCAGCTTTGGTGCAGACATCGATGTGCTAATTCATGAATACCACTAAAGAAAATTTATAAATATAATACATGGAACTGACATGCCTAGCGCTAATTCCTGATTACGCCAAAAACCCCATACTCTGCGATTGCGCTAAAAGTTCAGTAACCCTTTCTGCATGAAGAGGTTTATTAAAATCTCAGTACACATGAAAAAAATCATCTTTAAGAAATCAGAACAACTTGTTTTAAAAAGTCCTGATCCAGGAAAGTAAAGTAGGTGAAAACTGTAACACCACACACTCTTACATCAGTACTAAGAATCCCTTTGTAAAGGTAAAGAAAAGGAAAGCACTAGACTGGACAAATCCTGCAAACAATCCAAAATGTGAATAGAGCAAAAAACATGGACCCCTGGAATCAGTTGGGATCAGGGCAGGTAGAGGAGTAAGCTTCCCCTGTCAACTGGTCACAACCAGGAACCCTCAGTGTTGTAAACAAGAATTATCTGTAGTCAAAGTCACTTGTAGTAAGAAAATAATAGCCTGACACTTGGTATGAAACATTCCAAAAAAGATATATCCAAACAATTTGTTGTAAATTATTGACCATAGGCTTTGCAAAATACTGACTTTAAAACAGACTGTCAAAAAAACCCAGTAACATCAATTCATTTGACGGTAGCCTGCTATGATAAAAAAGTTGATCCTACACAGAAAATACTCTTGTGTGCCAATAGGTTGGGAGACATGAGCACAAAGTGCTGAATATACTGTAAATCTGGAAATTTTTGCTGTAGATAAATTTTTAGCAAGTTCATTGCATTCGCAAAAATATTTTTCTTAAAAATAAATTGCCAAATAAAAAAATGTAAACAAAGCAGTGGTCATTTGCAGAATTTTGAAACATAAAAATTAATCAACAGCATTTTGAACTGAATTCGCAAAATAAAATCAATGTAAAAAATTCCAGATTTACGTTATTCATTATAGGAATATTAATGGGGAAAGATGATGAATCGGTGAATTCAACATTGGTAACTTGTAACAATTTCTACCTGAAGTATTCACAAACATTTTATAAATATATTTTAGCCACCACTTTTCCCAAAATAATGCACATTAAACAGGACTGAAAAAAGAAAAATCTAACAAATGACATTTCTATTGAACTGGATTCACAAATTCAGAGAATGGTATATAGTAGTTGGTAAAAGATATACAAGTCCCTTAATAATGTACCTATAGCATATTTTTTTTATTTTGTAGTCTACAGTGGGGTCAATATGATCCAAACTTATACTTGGTGACTATACTACATAGAAATACTTTATACTATATAGACTTACTTTGTCAAGACGAAGCTTGCAATTTGATGCTCGGGATGTTATACTTGGTGATTACACTATATAGACTTACTTTGTCAAGACGAAGCTTGCAATTTGATGCTCAGGATATTATACTTGGTGATTACACTATATAGACTTACTTTGGTGAGATATAGCCATCCGTTTGATGCTCAGGTTGTCATTCTTGGTGACTAAAGTATATATACACTTGCTTTGGAGAGATGGATGTAGCCGCCCATTTGCTGCTCAAGTTGTCACTCTTGGTGACTACACTATATATAGACTTACTTTGGCGAGATGTAGCCGGCCGTTTGATGCTCGGGTTGTCAGAAGCATATGATTGGTGAAGAGGAAAACCTGACATATCACCTCCTTCTCCTTCCGATCTTTGATGGGCCACAAACTGGACTTACTCTTCTCATTAAAGACTTGAATAAGGGGACCTGTGTAAAAAACGTACAATATGAAAAGAAATCAAACTGTATCAATCAATATAAGATGTCCTATCCAATTGCTTGTCCCTTTTTTGTAGGTAACTGACATTGACATTCACAAAAGTTCAATGACTGACAGAAGAGTGGCATTAAGTGGTGTCTCTTGGGCATGTGCAAAGGATATTGGGAATAGGCCTGCCACCTAGTGGTCACCTTTGACCTAATGGCCATTCTTTACTGAGCATTATTGTCTCCCCTTTTTGTCTGTGCACTCTCTAAATTCCTGATGTGTTAGATATGTTAGGAATAGATCTTCATGATCAATATAATGAGATTTTCCAATACTTGGTTTGTGTGAGGATAAATCTGTCTCATGATTGTGAAGCACACAGCAGACTCTACATAAAATCAATAGTGTTAAATCTTAATTGGGATGGCCTTGTTTGTGGTTCGGCTACAGCCTATTTGTAGTAAAGAGCTAGGCAAGATCACCAGTCAAGCATCAACAAATCGGCAATTCTACCAATTCTATCATAGAGCTCTGACTACAAAAATCCTGATGCAACATCTCACCTGTGTTAATGAATCAAACTGAGCAATATATAGCATTGATCTAATAACCTTTCCAGAAGAACAAAACTCAGCATATTGCTCAATCTCCATGTACCTGGTCTGTAGGGTTTTTGTTTACACAAGTACTTTTAATCATCTGTCTTGTATTCATCTCTCAACAACATAATAAATCATAAGTCTAGAATAATTTGAAAGACATGTCTTGATTTCAACATTAACTCAATAATAAACTTCATTACAGGAAATGGGCTTACAGATGAAAAAATGTAAATCTTACCAGGAACCAAAACAAAAGGAAGCTTAATTAAAAAAAAAAGAAGTAAGCACTTAATTGTGAAACACCCGGTGCAAAAAAAGCCATTTTCTCATTTTTTTTCTCTGGCCTGAAAACACAATGAAAATGGAGTATTTATGCAATATAACAGTACATACCCTGGCCAAGTTGAAATTTTTATGACAAAATCCACTGTTTATAACAACGCACATATCTCAAATAACTAGGGCTAATTGTAACGGGAACCGTTACAGATGTTCCCCAAACGCTCCCCAACTCCCTTTTGGTGCCTTATTCCCTGTAAGCTTCATTAAATAAGACGAACTCTATCATTTTTAGACTATAACAATGTTTCCCAGAAGTATATTCAGTATATTCAAATTTATGCATTGCACGCATGCGCATTTGAATGCATGTGCGTAATGACCATATCATCTTGTCTACACTATAAATATACTAGAAATTACAGTGTTTTATCCAAAAGTATTAAAAAATACGTTTTAATCTAGTGTATTTGTAATTTTACTCATTTCACGTGCACGCACGTGCATGCATGTGCATGTCGACTGTATCTTCTTGTAGGAGTCTGTTATATTTGTCTATGTTCTAAATCCCATCCTGTTTGGTTGAAAAACGAGGAAGTTATAGCCATTTTAAGTTTAAGCCAATCAGATTGCAGCGCACGTGTATGCACATGTTTTCACGACAACTGTTATATGTCATATTGTAGGACATCCTGATGCATGATTATGTTAAAAATTTTAAAGCATTTCGTCAAAAATTAAAAAAAGATATTGCGATTTTTGTTTCAGCGAATCAGAGCAAAGCACACGTGCATGCACGTGCATGACGACCATACCTCCTTGTGGGAGTCCATTATGTTTGTCTATGTTCTAAATCTCATACTGTTTCGTTGAAAAACAAGGGAGTTATAGCCATTTAAAGTTTAAGCCAATCAGATTGCAGCGCACGTGCATGCGCGTGTTTACATGACAATTGTTATATATCATATTGTAGTACATCCTAAAGTATGCCTATATTTTAAATTTCATAGCATTTCGTCAAAAAACAGAAAAGATATTGAGATTTTTGTTGCAGCCAATCAAAGCGAAGCGCACGTGCATGCGCGTGAGTTCGTGCTAATTTGACAGTGTCACATTATCTACACTATTAATATATCCTTAATAAATGAGTTTTAAAATATTTCATCAAAAAATGTTAAAGTTATGGCTATATAAAGTATATCCGTCATTTCACTCATTTCACGCGCCCGCACGTGCATGCGTATGCGCGCAAAATAACCTTCGTGTTGCACACCTACACTACACACCTATTAACCCTAAAAAGGTTTTAGCTCAGTTGGGTGAACAGTTTCTGAGAACACAAAAAAGTACCGGAGAACAAAGAAGAAAAAAAAGAATAATAATAATAATAATAATAATAATAAGAAACCGAGTAAAAACAATATGTTCCCAAACTCCGTTTGGGGAACATAATTAACATGGTTTAGTCCATTTTACACCACAGGTAAATAAATAATACAAACCTTAAATGTACAACACACAAAGAAGACAAGTGTAAGGTACAGCAGGGGAATTATTAAACAAGTGATGGGATCCTGTCACCTCTGAGATATATCTCACGTAACTCAACTGGTATCCTGTGATGAGCAATGGTCACTGCATCTCAGCCTCCTGTTTGTAATCACTGCTATAACTGACTGGTGGGTGTATGTATAAACAGATCAATACTTTTTTCCAATATAACATTCAAAAGGATGAACAGCTAGGGTTTCCCTGAGGAAATTGATTACATGGCAGGAGACATGCTGAACTACAATAGACAATTTACAAATGTGAATCTCCTGACCCAAGCAGTGGACTAAATATGAATCTCCTGACCCAAAAAGTGGACTTGATGTGAATCTTCTGACCTAAACAGTGGACTTAATGTAAATCTCCTGACCCAAACAGTGGATTAATGTGAATCTCCTGACCCAAACAATGGACTCATTGTGAATCTTCTGACCCAAACAGTAGACTTAATGTGAATCCCCTGGCCCAAAAAGTGGATTTAATGTGAATCTCCTGACTCAAACAGTGGACTCAATGTGAATCTCCTGACCCAAACAGTGGACTTGATGTGAATCTCCTGACCCAAACAGTGGACTCAATGTGAATCTCCTGACCCAAACAGTGGACTGAATATGAATCCCCTGACCCAAAAAGTGGACTTAATGTGAATCCCCTAACCCAAAAAGTGGACTTAATGTGATTCTCCTAACCCAAACAGTGGACTCAATGTGAATCTCCTGACCCAAACATTGGAGTTCATGTGAATCTCCTGACCCAAACAGTGGACTCAATGTGAATCTCCTGACCCAAACACTGGAGTTCATGTGAATCTCCTGACCCAAACAGTGGGCTCAATGTGAATCTCCTGACCTAAACAGTAGACTTAATGTGAATCTCCTGACCCAAACATTGGAGTTCATGTGAATCTCCTGACCCAAACAGTGGACTCAATGTGAATCTCCTGACCCAAACAGTGGACTCAATGTGAATCTCCTGACCTAAAGAGTGGACCTAATGTGAATCTCCTGACCCAAACATTGGAGTTCATGTGAATCTCCTGGCCCAAACAGTGGGCTTAATGTGAATCTCCTGACCTAAACAGTGCACCTAATGTGAATCTCCTGACCCAAACATTGGAGTTCATGTGAATCTCCTGACCCAAACAGTGGACTCAATGTGAATCTCCTGACCCAAACAGTGGACTCAATGTGAATCTCCTGACCTAAAGAGTGGACCTAATGTGAATCTCCTGACCCAAACATTGGAGTTCATGTGAATCTCCTGACCCAAACAGTGGGCTTAATGTGAATCTCCTGACCTAAACAGTGCACCTAATGTGAATCTCCTGACCCAAACATTGGAGTTCATGTGAATCTCCTGACCCAAACAGTGGACTCAATGTGAATCTCCTGACCTAAACAGTGGACCTAATGTGAATCTCCTGACCCAAACATTGGAGTTCATGTGAATCTCCTGACCCAAACATTGGACTAAATATGAATCTCTTGAACCAAACAGTGGACTCAATGTGAATCTCCTGATCCAAACAGTGGACTCAATGTGAATCTCCTGATCCAAACAATGGACTTAATGTGAATCTCCTGACCCAAACAGTGGACTCAATGTTAATCTCCTGACCCAAACATTGGACTAAATATGAATCTCCTGAACCAAACAGTGGACTCAATGTGAATCTCCTGACCCAAACATTGGAATCAATGTGAATCTCCTGACCCAAACAGTGGACTCAGTGTGAATCTCCTGACCCAAACAGTGGACTGAATATGAATCCCCTGACCCAAAAAGTGGACTTAATGTGAATCCCCTAACCCAAAAAGTGGACTTAATGTGAATCTCCTAACCCAAACAGTGGACTTAATGTGAATCTCGAGACCTAAACAGAACACTTAATATGTGAATCTTCTGACCCTAACTACGCACTGAATATGAATCTCCTGACCCAAACACTGCACTAAATGTGGATCTCCTGACCCTAACAATAAACTGAATGTGAATCTTCTGACCCAAACACTGCACTGAATGTGAATCTCTTGACCCAAACATCTCAATCAATGTGAATCTCCTGTTCCAAACAGTGGACTAAATAAACTGATGGTTTTACTGTGTCGACATTGATCATTGTGTCTGTGAAATTTTCCAACAACTCTTGTATCATAATACACAAATTTCAGAAGCTTTTTATACACAGAATTTCTGTTCAAAAGAAAATTTTCAAACAGCTTTCCAATACTGTATATCACTTTTATTTACAAGGACTTTATTTTCACGTAATTCAGTGAGGCAGTTTGCTCAAGAAAATACCATTCTTGTGTATACAGATTATATTATTTTGTAATTTTTTAATTTGTAACAAAAAATTCTCTTATAAGAAGTAAATGGTCTATCTTGCTAAAATAAGAAGAGGGGAAAATTGAGTAATCTACAGTATTTCAGTGTTCCTCAACATAAAGTCAAAAAGAAGACAATCACCTGAATATCATATAATGAGGATTCACTTATTTTTCCTATTCTAAAGCACATATTTTTTCCCCTCAACCAAACCCTTTTACGTCTTAATTAAATTGAATGCGCCCTCTCCCCCCTTGGGAAGCCACCATCATCCTTCATTAAAGTTAAATCCTTCAGCAGTGATGATATTTGATCACTTGACCAACCTATATTTACAGGTTTGCCTCAGCAGATGTGTAAGAAGGATACCCTTTTCCTTAAAGATTAACTAAAACATGTCTTACAACAGAATATAACCAACCTTGTCTGACAAATGTCTGGTTAACATCCAGTAAAATGTCACAACCCTCAATGATCATTCGCTCAATGGATAGATTCTTTCTGATGTTCTCTGTTTCACTGACTTCATCATGCATAATCTGTAACACAAATATTCCATAAATTCAAATTACAATAGCAGTATGACATATGTGGAGATAACAGATAGTATTCAAGCTCAAAAGTCCATTTAACATTTAATTTCAGCGAAAACAATGAGAGAATTTTTCCACCAGAAAATGTCTTCAAATTGAGCATATTTTAAAAGTAACGTCAAGCAGAGTAATACATTTTTGACATAACTAATTGTGACGTAGGCAAGATATGTTATACCAAATGGATAAAAAATCTTTTACCCAATCAAATTAAATGTTACAACTAAAATTAAATTATTACAAATTAGGAGCAGAGCAAACACGGACCTCAAAAACATTAGAAGTGGGATTAGGTGTCAATGCAGGAGCGAGCTTCCCCTGCCGACCGGTCACTACCGCCGTGTGCTTGTTGTCATGATTGGGAATAATGAGAAAATCCGTGGACAACTAAGTGTGTAATAATGGCCTAACAATCAGTATTTCATATAATAAATTAATTATGTCAGCAAAACAAACAAGGCATACACAGAATAACTCTATTGACAGCGTACTGCATGATCACAGAAAGAACGTCCTCTATGTTCAATTGTGGATATATTATATCATAGAAACAGTATGTACAACTGTTAATGGTAGGATATTATTTCTACACCACAGAAACAGTATGTCCAACCAATTAAGGTCATACACAATGTACTAGTTTGGGGTTCATGGGGTTCTTTCCTGGAGTTAAAGAGTTCCACTAAATGAAGGACCTGTGTGCAATTCTTTTAATGTCTATAAATGGATTTGTACACACCTCTTCTAAAACATTTTTTGATGAAAAAAATCTAGACTTTATGTTTTGTAATTTTTGTACATTTTTTTTTTTGAATAATGCAAAATTTTTCACAATTTGATATCTTTTTGAAACCCCTGGTAACGCATGTGATTTTTTGTCTAAGAACATGTAATGGTATTATAAGTTTAAATTTAGAATGTCTTGAAAAACTATCAGTAGGTAAGGTACCTTGCATATGTTCTTAATGGTGGATATACATGTATCTCTACATCATAGAAACAGTATGTTCTACCATTAATGGTGAATATATTATCTCTATACCATAGATATTGTATGTAGTGGATATATTCTCTCTATACTATAGAAACCGCACAGACAACCCATAATGGTGGATATATTATCTTTAAACCATAGATACATTATGTACAACCATTTAATACAAACAATTCCTATACCATAGAAACACTAGTATTTACAACCATAAATGGTGGACAGATTATCTCTATACGGTAGACATCACACAGAGGGCATCTATAAAATCAGTCTGTAGACATCTTCCTTGACAAACACACACAGTATGTTATCAGTCTGTAGACACTCACCCTAGACAATCACACACAATATGTAATCAGACTGTAGACCCTTATCCTAGACAATCACACACAGTATGTGATCAGTCAGTAGACACTCACTCTACACAATCACACATTGTATGTAATCAGTCTGTTTTTATTAGACAATCACACAGTATGTAATAAAAAATCACTCTACACAATCACACACAGTATGTAATCAGTCTGTAGACACTCACCCTAGACAATCACACACAGTATGTAATCAGTCTGTAGACACTCACCCTAGACAATCACACACAGTATGTAATCAGTCTGTAGACACTCACCCTAGACAATCACACACAGTATGTAATCAGTCTGTAGACACTCACTCTACACAATCACACAGTATGTAATCAGTCTGAAGACACTCCCCCTAGACAATCACAAAGTATGTAATCAGTCAGTAGACACTCACTCTACACAATCAACACAGTATGTAATCAGTCTGTAGACACTCACCCTAGACAATCACACACAGTATGCAATCAGTCTGTAGACATCACCCTAGGCAATCAAACACAGTATGTAATCAGTCTGTAGACACTCACCCTAGACAATCACACACAGTATGTAATCAGTCTGTAGACACTCACCCTAGACAATCACACAGTATGTAATCAGTCTGTAGACATCACCCTAGACAATCAAACACAGTATGTAATCAGTCTGTAGACACTCACAGTATGTAATCAGTCAGTAGACACTCACTCTACACAATCACACACAGTATGTAATCAGTCTGTAGACACTCACCCTAGACAATCACACACAGTATGTAATCAGTCTGTAGACATCACCCTAGGCAATCAAACACAGTATGTAATCAGTCTGTAGACACTCACCCTAGACAATCACACACAGTATGTAATCAGTCTGTAGACATCACCCTAGACAATCACACATGGTATGTAATCAGTCTGTTGACACTCCCCCTAGACAATCACACACAGTATGTAATCAGTCTGTAGACACTCCCTCTACACAATCACACAGTATGTAATCAGTCAGTAGACATCACCCTAGGCAATCAAACACAGTATGTAATCAGTCTGTTGACACTCCCCCTAGACAATCACACACGGTATGTAATCAGTCTGTAGACATCACCCTAGGCAATCAAACACAATATGTAATCAGTCTGTAGACACTCACCCTAGACAATCACACACAGTATGTAATCAGTCAGTAGACACTCACTCTACACAATCACACAGTATGTAATCAGTCTGTAGACACTCACCCTAGACAATCACACACAGTATGTAATCAGTCTGTAGACACTCACTCTACACAATCACACAGTATGTAATCAGTCTGTAGACACTCCCCCTAGACAATCATACACGGTATGTAATCAGTCTGTTGACACTCCCCCTAGACAATCACACACAGTATGTAATCAGTCTGTAGACACTCACCCTAGACAATCACACACAGTATGTAATCAGTCTGTTGACACTCCCCCTAGACAATCACACACAGTATGTAATCAGTCTGTAGACACTCACTCTACACAATCACACAGTATGTAATCAGTCTGTAGACACTCCCCCTAGACAATCACACACAGTATGTAATCAGTCTGTAGACACTCACTCTACACAATCACACAGTATGTAATCAGGCTGTAGACACTCACTCTACACAATCACACAGTATGTAATCAGTCTGTAGACACTCCCCTAGACAATCACACACAGTATGTAATCAGTCTGTAGAAATCACTCTAGACAATCACACACAGTATGTAATCAGTCTGTAGACACTCACCCTAGACAATCACACACAGTATGTAATCAGTCTGTTGACACTCCCCCTAGACAATCACACACGGTATGTAATCAGTCTGTTGACACTCCCCCTAGGCAATCAAACACAGTATGTAATCAGTCTGTAGACATCACCCTAGACAATCACATACAGTATGTAATCAGTCTGTAGACATCACCCTAGGCAATCAAACACAGTATGTAATCAGTCTGTAGACACTCCCCCTAGACAATCACACAGTATGTAATCAGTCAGTAGACACTCACTCTACACAATCACACAGTATGTAATCAGTCAGTAGACACTCACTCTACACAATCACACAGTATGTAATCAGTCTGTAGACACTCCCCCTAGACAATCACACAGTATGTAATCAGTCAGTAGACACTCACTCTACACAATCACACAGTATGTAATCAGTCTGTTGACACTCCCCCTAGACAATCACACACAGTATTGTAACGGGACCGAGGGTATCGTGTAATAAACTCGTGGGCCGCTATTAGTTTTCTGGTTACTTGGTCGAGATTTGATGGTTCCGTTGGTCACAGTTTATGTAATGGTTAATAACCAATTTTCGGCCACTTGATAGGTTAACGTAATGACCAACTTTTGGTTACTTTAAATAATGTTTGTTAGGAATAACACTTGTTAAAAGTTTATAACATTTATTAAGACGATCAAATGGTTCACTTATAAACACACAAAATGGTACACTGTAACTTGGTTGGTACAACGTTATTTGGTTAACAAAAAAATGACCAACCGATGGTCAATCTGGAACGTTCCTAAAAACTTGGTTCCCCTTAATGGTTTCGTATACATAGACTTGGTACCGTCTTATAACCGAAGTATACGGAGTCGTTCCCCAAAGTGACCTAACCAAAGTGACTTAGGTCACTTTTCCCTTACCAGGGAAGGCTGTGTGCTGGTCGCTAACAGCCGACTGAAGTAAAACCCCAAACAGCTGGTTTATATAGACAAAAGTTGTTATGATGACGTAAGAGACAATCAGATACCTAAATTACGTCACAATCAATGCAATCAATAAGTTAGCGGGTTTTAACCATCAAAATTACCTACTTAATTAATAACGTTGTACCCATATAAAACATACAAAATACACCACTTTGTCATTAAATTACACAAATAAATTAATAAAGTAAATTCAAATTATTGTTCATTTCTTATGTTAACTGTTCATTGACAAATATTTAGTAGATAACATCGGGTTCAACGTCCATTTATTCCGAACTTGTAAACAAGAGTTAACCCGAATTTCACAGGTACACTTCGTGAAACGTAACAGTATGTAATCAGTCTGTTGACACTCACCCTACACAATCACACACAGTATGTAATCAGTCAATAGACATCACCCTAGACAATCACACATGGTATGTAATCAGTCTGTAGACACTCACCCTAGACAATCACACACAGTTTGTAATCAGTCTGTAGACACTCACCCTAGACAATCACACACAGTATGTAATCAGTCTGTAGACACTCACCCAAGACAATCACACACAGTATGTAATCAGTCTGTAGACACTCACCCTAGACAATCACACACAGTATGTAATCAGTCAATAGACATCACCCTAGACAATCACACACAGTATGTAATTTAATCACCCTAGACAATCACACACAGTATTTAATCAGTCTGTAGACACTCACCCTAGACAATCACACACAGTATGTAATCAGTCTGTAGACATCACCCTAGACAATCACACACAGTATGTAAATGTAGACCTCACCCTAGACAATCACACACAGTATGTAATCAGTCTGTAGACAATCACACACAGTATGTAATCAGTCTGTAGACATCACCCTAGGCAATCAAACACAGTATGTAATCAGTCTGTAGACACTCACCCTAGACAATCACACACAGTATGTAATCAGTCTGTAGACACTCCCCTAGACAATCACACACAGTATGTACAGAAAATCAGCCTGTAGACACTCACCCTAGACAATTCTTCCAGCTTACTCTTAGCAAACTCTAAACTCTTCCGTTCGACGTGATCGTGAGGGGTGTGGGCCAGTAACTCATGGAGGGTGATGATGTATCGAGGAATCTAGAAAGGAATATGCAGTCCTAAATTAACCTTCACATATATCCTGATTAATCAATATGGTTAAACAATTTTTTGTGAAATTTTTGGAGAAAATTAACAAACAGTTTTTTGAAGGATTAAAACAATATTTAACATGCTGAATTTAGATTTGCAAAATGTTTATGTATGTATGATGTTGATAAATGGAAATTCCATAGGCCTGAGTATTATTAGTTTCTCGATCAGTCTATTATCCATCCCAGCCCAAGCACTAGAAACTGAAACTCTGCATCAATGTGACAAGAGATTAACAATTTGGAATAGGATTCTTTATCCCATAATCAAATTAGTCCCTTTTAATCATATTCCAAAGTTTTGCCACCATGTTTACTTTAAATCTAAGGTCAAGGTTATGAGTTTATAGGACACCCTTCCCTTTCTTGATCTCAGTTTTATCAGTACAGTTACCACCAAACAGTTTCACCTGATGCATAGGGTAGGTGAGAAATATTTCTAGGGTTCTGGTTTCACACATTGGTTTTTCTTCGTATCGTTTCAGGAGAGCGTTGAATTCTGGTCGTTGTTTATATTCTGCTAGGACCTGCAGACTGTAATGATGATTTCTAACGTATTCCTGGTAAATACACAACATTGGCAGGAGCATGTCAAACAAGTCACCTGCAAAATAAAACATTCAGTCCTACACTTATAGAAATTCTCATATCAAACAAGTCACCTGTAAAATAAATAGAAACACTTAGTCCTACACTTATAGAAATTTTCATATCAAACAAGACGCCTGTAAAATCAAAAAGCATTCAGTCTCAAGCGAGTAGAAATTGCATGTATACAAGATATGATATACATTAACATTATTAGTTATGTTATCACCAAAAAAATATACTTTCTGAGAAAAAATTGTACTAGCAAAATTTCGGTCGTAAAGAAAAACCTACCTAGAACAAGGGTTGGCCAATTTTCCAGTCGGGCACATAATCCCTTCAGGAAAATTTGATGTAAAAAGAGCAGGGTTTCACTGAAAAAAGATGCAGATAAATAATTTAGTGTTACTCAAAATACAAACAATAGTTCTATGGACAGTTTTCTCACCTGCATCAACACAGATAAATTTTCAGTAAACTCCCCTCACCCCTCCTGACATCCACTGAACAAATCAACAATATATCCAAACATAATGTATATAACAAATTACACTTACAATGAAGCAAAATCCCCTGCCCCTAGCATTGTCTTCTTTACAAGCATGTTTTATTGTACCTGTTTAAGAAAATGGAGTTGACATCTTCGTGGGTGATTGGTGGTTTTTTGGATGAGGCAGCCATTCTGAGAGGGTGGAGGAAGCAGGTGACGAGGGTGGACAGCTGTCTGTTGTACTCCTCCTCACACTCCACCATACTGAACACGATGCTGTTCCTCTTCCTCATACTCTCAGCGTGGGGAGATCGAATATACAACTCCACAATCTGTTTCCACCGTCTCCGACACAACCAACCACGGAAAAAACTTTGAACCTAGAATTATTAAAATATTTAAAACAATTACGAAAAGCAGAATCAATAATGTCTTTAAGAAAAAAAGGACCATGGGCCACAAAACTCACCTGCATCATTTTTTTTATATGATTCTTTATTGATGTCCCAGATCCTATCATTAGAGGTCAAAAACTTAAATCTTTATGACCTGACCAAATGTGCTGCTAATGGAAAAATGCTGTAAATTTAATTTTCATAAAATGTTTATTTTTTTCAATCGTGTAAACCCCCGATATCTTAACCATGTACTCATGGTACGGATGGGAATTTAAAACGCTATTTCTGAGTAAACTAAATAAATATCGAAGTCATGGTGCCTGAACATTTCTTGAATATATAATTGTACATAATCAGGGTCACGCCTTTTTCATCATCTGAATACATAGTCAGCACATGTTTGTCGGCTGTTCTTAAGAAAACTGTAGTTGTATATTGAACAAAATAATGTTATATTAAAAGGAGAAATGCCGACAAACGTGCGCCCATACTTAATTTAACAAAAAACATGTTCAAAACAAACTTCTCGCTTCCATTGTTATGACTGCGATTGACCTGTTAAACATTACAATTCATCACGTGATGCCCACCTGCGAGTGTACTCGTGAAAGCAATTACATTGTATACTTCTATCTGACCTCATTGTAAATCATATCTTTGAGCGTGTTTGGTTGCCGTTTTGAGAAATTAGCAAAACATATTTTGTTTTAATTTTGCGTGTCACCACTATTTTTAAATAATTTCATATTGACATCGCTGTAAAATGCTAAACACATATTCGTTTTTTTTAGAGAGAGAGAGAGGGATAGAGAGAGAGAGATGTCAACAATGACGCGGATCGATAGCCCCGCCTTCTATAAATATTGATTATGTGACCTAAAAACCTCTCCGGGTACGTCAAATTCCGGAGGACGACACTTACGTTTCGTTGCTTCAATTTTGATACATGGCAAAATTGTATTTGGCATTGCATTTTGAATTTCACAAATGTAACCACCCAATATAACCAAGTATACGTAGCTCTGTGTGCCAAGTTATATTGAAATGCTTGTCATGTATTTTGGATTCACTTCATTTACAAAAAGCTTGTGAAGAGGAGTCACAAATTAAGTAATCCAAAATAGAGTAGCATTTTGAAAGAATTTCACAGAATTTTCTTTTGTACATTATGAAATCAAAAACTGATATAAGTAAATCTTTTGATACCTTACTTGTGTGCCAAGTTACCTGAAATCCCATGGGCCAGAAATTTTTTAGTAACCAGAACTTGAATCAAAAAGCATACACGAATTGGGTTTGTGTACACTTGTGTATTATATCTTATCATGGTCCTGCTTTTGAAAAATTGTTTACAGAAGAATTGTGATTTTAAATTACTTTTTTCTTATAATTTACATCGTAAAACTTCTTGTTTCCCTATTGTAGCTTAATTCTACTCCCAGGGGGTTATGATAAGAACAAATTTAAAATCTACACTCTGTTAAAAGGTCTTCACATAATTATAGTTTATCCTGCAACTACCCCTTGCATTGACCTAATAAAGGTAACCTAATAAACCAAAGCTTTATCCGGTCACTGCCCTAATAAAGCCTTGTGCATGTGTTCCGACGTTCTAAAAGCATTGTGACGTCATGTATATTGCAATGTTTACGCCATGGCGTCATAGTTTCAACTGCAGAGATGTGCCTAATAGCTAGTTTTGGACGTTCAAATGTAAAATTTTGTTTCAGGATAAACAAAATACATAATAACTGTCTTGAAATATAAGCGATATTTGGGCTCAGGTCAAAAATATAAGAGGGCTCGGTAAGCCTTGCCTTCTATCACGTTTTCTTATCCTCGCCCAAATATCGCTTATATTTCAAGACAGTAACCATGTATTTTATATTTATTCAAAATATATAACTTTAGGTTATGCAGCACATCAGTTTACAAAAATTAAGATTCAGCATTGATGGCCCCATGGTTTTCATGGGCGTTTTTTTTATGACAGCCACCCTATTTTCTGTCTTTTCTTGAATATCTCCTCTTTCAAGAGACTTTGGCTCTCTATTCTGAACAAACTCTAATTCCATTCATCCACTGATACTCTAGCTGTGCCAAGATGTTTGGTTGAGAATGGTCGATTGATTCCTAGCTGAGAGGATGAAATTGTGAAAAGTTGACAATGACAGCAAGAGCAGAAAACAGACAAATTCTGATCAGAACAGCTCAAACACTTGAACTTTTGACTTTGGGAGATAAAACTTAACCCTACAAACGTTATGTTTTCAGTCTTTTCAAATAAATATACCTGACAAAGAGAGATAACTCCTGCCAGGTTTGATCAGTGTAATAAATCTTTCAGTTTAGCATGCTTGCTGCCATATATATCACCAATCTGTTTAAAATCAGATCTTTGTTATGCTCCAAAATTCTGATGGTTGTTGTGCAGCAACTAGCAGAATTTTGGAGTGTAACAAAGATCGGATTTTAATCAGATTGCTATATTTAACAGATTTAAATACTGCTACATTAAGGTTCCTCCAACCTTTTTGATTTTCTTGATTTCGTCAGTCTCCTCCTCTACTTTATTGGTGGACACTCTCTCTTTCTTGTACTTCTGTAGCTGAAAATAAATTATCTATTCAATAATTTTACCGTACTTTAATAAAGTACAAGTTTTTTTTAATAAAACAAGAACATTTAAGCTGGATTCTTAAGTTTATTTAAACTTTAATTATGCTGTGTCCATCTTCAATAAATTGAACTTAAATTAAAGACAGTTCCTGAAAAAGAGTGCTTTGAAAGTTTGCAAAAGGATAAATAATATCTAAAAATCACTTTCCTATACATGTATTACAAAAATATGTACAATGGAGCCTCATTTATCCGGACGCTTTGGTTCCAATTTGTCCAGATATGCGAAGCGTCCGGATACCTGAATCACCAGTTAAACAACAAAATATAATATTTAAAAATTCTGTTCCTATGAAATATCGTCCGGATACTGAAGCATCCGGATATCTGGGGTCCCGATATCTGAAGGTCCACTGTACCTTTGAACTGAGATAGGTACATGATATTTTAAAATTCTGAAAATGCTAGTGGATGTCAGCTAATAAAGCTGTATTGCAAATTCAGTAAATCAGTCTAGTTTCTAAATTATCATAATATTTTCCCTCAATGTCCTGATTGTGAACTTTGTATGCATGTATCATGTGTAGGAATTTTCCTCATATATGTATTATATTTGGAAATCCTTGTATGTGTGTATCATGTGTGGGAATTTCCCTTTTATATCCTTGCATTATTTATCATGTGAGGGAATTTCCCTCATTCATGAATTATATTTGGAAATCCTTGTATGTGTGTATTAAGTGTGGGAATTTCCTTTTTATATATGGATTATATTTGGATATCCTTGTATGCATGTATCATGTGTGGGAATTTTCCTCATATATGGATTATATTTGGATACCCTCATATGTGTGTATCACCTGTGAATTTCCCTCATATACGGATTATATTTGGATATCCTTGCATGTGTGTGTATCATATGGGTGGGAATTTTCCTCATATATGGATTATATTTGGATATCCTTGTATGTGTGTATCATGTGTGGGACTTTCCCTCATGCACTGATTATATTTGGATACCCCTGTATGTGTGTATCATACCTCTGAGGATCCCCCCAGTACCTATAGATTGGCCCTACCTCTGTCCTCAGCTCCTTGACTGATGTGGCCAACTCCTCAGTCTGCTGGACATAGTGCCACTTGGCTTGTCTCTCACTGTCCAAAATCTGCAGCAGATGAAGATGCTTCTGCTCCAGTTCCTCTCTTTGCTCCAGTACTTTACTATACCTGTTAAAAAATCAATAAACCCTTACCATAACTGTCAAAGAACTCTAAATCCTTAGAATAACTGTCAAAAAATCACTAATTCCTTACTAAACCTGTCAAAGAATCACTAAATCCTTACTTTACATGTCAATGAATCAATAAATTCTTACTTTACGTATACATGTCAAAGAATCTGACTTACCATATCTCTCCGATAGCATATGGAATCATTTAAAGTCAAGTGAGTTAATGTTTGTGGGTAGTCAAAATTTTGTTCACTTGTGGGAGCATATAAATTTCATGGGTAATTCATATATTCACATAGTGAATAAATATATTGACAAGATAATACAGGCATCGGCTAAACCCCCCCCCCACTTTTTTTGCTAAGATAGACATAATATAGGCATTGAACATTGGGGTGAAGGTGTAGCCCCCCCCCCCCTTTCAAAAGGCACAGTACAGTATAGGTCAAAAAAGGGTAAGTAGTAGTTTTTTGGTGGAAAAAATTTTGACTGAAAGATGTCGAGAGATGTTGGAACTATTACTCATTTACTCATATTACCAGGAGTTGTCTTTCTTTGAATATCCCAAAATCAACTAGAAAAAATGTGATCTTTCAAATTTTCAAAATCTCAGTAACTATGCTTTTTTACTGAAAGGCAATCACTCCTAATATATAGCATTTTATATCAGTTACATAACAATACCGTACAACAGCCCTGTTACAGAATCAACAGTGACACTGTACATTGCCACAATTGAATGAGCATGCTTGAACAGATTTGAATCTAATTATGAATAATTCATAATTCTCTGATTGGCTGAGATCTCACATTGTAGAACCATTTTAATTAAGTTATTCCTTTTTAAGGTGGCATTTTAATTTTTCATTAAACTGGTCTAAATACCCTTGTATAGATTCATACATTATTCTACTTTTACTCTACTTTATTTTTCTACTCTTCTTCTAGAGATTGAGAACTTTAATGAAAAAGTTATTTTACCTGCCTCTTGTACTAATACCAGATGAACATATTAACATTAATTCTTCGTTTTTAAACCAGAACTATGAAGCGCTGTTTTGGTAATTTATTGTCATTTAGTGGTATCAGTCAATTATGTGATTTTTTAAATGCATGGTTTTAATTAGGCCAATCTTTTTTCCCATTATCTCTCCACATTTAACTATAAGTGACAAAAATTTAGTGACAAAAATTTGGAGTCAACTGACTCCAAATCTGATTGGATGAAATGGTACCTCTTTACACGGTAAAACAGTTTTTTTATTTGAAATTTGATGACTACTGATTGAGTTAAGCAAGTAACCGCTTAACAGAGTTACATTATATAGGAAAATTCATTGGGAGGAAATAAATTAAATCAATGCATAGGGCAGGTAACCACTGGATAAAGGTGACCACTGTGACATTAGTTTTACTGTATTTAATTTGAATAGATGATACAATGTATCTCCTATATCACCAATTCTTAAACTGTATAGGTGATATCACATACAGTTGAACTTCAGTATCTCAAACTCCGGTATCTCGAATACCATGGATATGTCCTAGTGATTTGGAAGTCCTAACCAGTCATATTCTATAACTATATTTAACCTTCGATATCTCGAATCCTCAGACATCTTGAAGTTTTTTCTCAGTCCCATCAGGTTTGAGATAACAAAGTTTGACTGTATTTGATATAACCTAATCAAATAAGTGTGATATAACCTATTCAAATAAGTGCTATTTCTTATTCGAATAGGTGATATCACCAATTCATAAAGAATAATTAGTGATATTACAAATTCAAATTTAATATAATAATAATTCATTTAATATAAATAGAATATACTGCAGGAACAGGTGTAGCACTAATCCATGATAATGCCAACATTTTACTCTATATCCATTGATTGCACTAAATTTTGAGCAATTTACATTATCTTCTGTGTAATGTTTTTGACACTTGATGATGTTTTTTTTAGTTTTAATGGGTAGTTTTAAGCTGTAGTTCACATTTTTGTACAGATATTTTAGATTCTATGTCTCAAACCTGAGCCCATCGTCTCAAGCCACGGTCCGGAGTCCGCATATACCTCTCTCCTACCCGTGGCTGCTTGATCACAAAAAGTGTCGTAATCTTGAATATTTACGCCTCTTTATTGTGACGTCATATTCAGTCAGTGGCAAGTTTTGTTTCCATCGCAACTGAAATCAATAACTGACGTCAACAGTATACAAGAAATATTTCCTTTACTGTGATTGGATATTGAAAGGTCGCGATAAAGTTCATCTTCCGACTATGCTTTACTCGCATTGGTCAATATTTTAATGAGGTACGAAGAATTCTCGCCTCGTTCAACCACGGCCAGAATGGGAGAGGATCGTACATTTTGACCGTGGTTTGCGACGATGACCTGAGCCAAAACCTATGCAAAATTATGTACACAGTACAGTACATATGCAGTAGATGATATTGCTTATTCAATCAGGACTGATATCACTTATTTGAATAGGTGATATCCCAAATTTAGAAACTCCCTCAGAAAAGGTGATATCACTATTTGAATAGGTGAAACGAATTCATGACAGTAAATGCCAAAACGGTGCCTCATGTAGACCCTCACCCCCTATCCCCACCCCACCCCAAAAAAAACAAGTATGTCTAATTTTCGGCAACTGATTATAAATCCTTATTAACTGGCACCTGATTTTCAAGTGACAATTAAGCCTGCATTCTTTTCTATATCACACCACAAAACAGATAAAAAAAAATTAAATTGATACAGCTTTGGGTGAGGTTTATTTTAATCCCCTTCTGTCGCCGCACTTGACTTGGACTTCAACAAATTGTAAACAACCAAGAAAGAAGCAAAGCTTGCTTTACTGGGTTTGTAAATTACTTCATCACTAAATAATATAATAAAACAATTACTGCTGGTTTTTTCTCAGTTACTGCAATTATCTAACCACCCGTTGAAGTGCAATATTGTACTCATCTGGTCATTAAATCATCATACTGACCTCAAAAACAGCAATAATTGTAAAGTGACCATTTATAACATGTCATTCCACATATACTGTATACTATGACCAAATGCTTCTGTTTCTAAATACTTACGGGGCACGCTTGACATGGTCAATCCATGCATTACATTCCACCTCCGTGTCCGTCCGGAAATCAATCTGTCGTGTGATCTCATTTTTTTGGCTCTTGTATGTAATCGTAAAGCAATACTGAAATAAAAAACAACAGCAAGTGATCAAAGTCAACTGCAATTCTTATAACTAAACTTTCTTCTCCATCTGAACTGAATAAATTTCAAGTAAAAAATATAATAATTTTCTTGAAATATCACCTAGCTAATTTTTTTTAAAGTTTCTACAAGTAAAATTTTACTTGAATCAATAACAATTTTGGGAAAAAGGTTAGCAAATTATTACACAAAATTCTTACAAAAATCTGAAGTATAGCTTACAAGCATTATAGCTAATTTATTTATTTATGTCAAAGGTCAGGTTGTCGTCAGTGACAGAATCAGCTGTTTTTACCAGTCTAGTTGATCTTGTCAAGTGTCAAGTTTAGATACAGTTAGTCTAGTATGAAGGCCTATGTATTACATAAATTTTTTCATTGTATAAAAGTCATAATGCAAGGTGACAAACAAATAAACCCTAATTAACCTTCGGCTTGACCTCCAAGTGGAATAAACAACCTATTAATTTATTTCTTCACCTGCAAGACAAATAACCCACATTGATGTGGCTTGCATTTGTACAAGAAGACATTATTAACCGCCACATAAATTTTATTATGATTCACAGAGCAGTAAACAGTAAATCAAGTTGTGTTTGAACATGCTCAGATAGTGTCCATTTCTAATGATAGTTAGACTTGAATGAACACTATTTCTGTCAGTGACCTCGAACTTGCCAAAATGACCTTGACTCAAGGTTCTAACAGTCTCAGCTCAGAATTTCAGAAACCACATCTTTGCATAGGATCAGCAACCAAATTATATATTCTTTTGTAATTCTTAATGAAAATTTGATAAAATATACACTAAATCGATCACTACAAACATTATCTATACTTAAATCATTAGTGTAAACTAATTCATTTAACACTTAAATTATCAATTTATTCCATCAGATAACAATTAATGGATATTTATAAAACTTATAAAACTGTAGCATGTCAATAATGTTGATAAAAACACCATTTTCAAAAATCGGATAATCCTACCTTGTATCAGGTACCCTTCAGTTCTATCTTTATATTACACTAAAATTCTTGTGTAGAGAGGGTATTCATCATTGTTTATAGGCATTTTGCCTGTTGCCCATTCTAGTCAGTTTTCTGAATAAATATTTATTGAATCAAAATTTTGCTCTATATGGTACACTAAAATTCTGCCCTTTATGGTTCACTAAAATTCTGCCCTGTATGATTCACTAAAATTCTGCCCTTTATGGTTCACTAAAATTCTGCCCTGTATGATTCACTAAAATTCTGCATTGTATGATTCATTAGAACTCTGCCTTGAATGATTCACTAAAATTCTGCATTGTATGATTCACTAAAATTCTGCATTGTATGATTCACTAAAATTCTGCCTTGATTGATTCACTAATTAACGATTCACTAAAATTCTGCCCTGTATGATTCACTAAAATTCTGCATTGTATGATTCACTAAAATTCTGCCTTGATTGATTCACTAATTAACGATTCACTAAAATTCTGCCCTGTATGATTCACTATAATTCTGCCCTGTATGATTCACTTCACTATAATTCTGCCCTTTATTATTCACTACCATTCTGTCCTGTATGGTACATTTAAGGTCCATTTTGTATGGTACACTAAAATGCTGCCTTATATGATTTACTAAAATTTTGTCATGTATGATTCACTAAAATTCTGCCTTATATGGTATACTAAAATGCTGCCCCATTTGATTCACTAAAATTATACACTAAAATTCTGCCTTATATGGTTCATTAAAATTCTGTTTTTTTTATACTCATGATTTGTGGTTGGATATGAATTTTATCCAATGAGTTGTGTAGGTTTTTATCCTTTAGCCTTGGGGTTGGATAAAAATCATATTCAACCACAAAACATTGGAGATAAGTCTTTTTATCATTTTACACATCACTTAATTATTGTTTTACACTGTTTTTATAAATTAAGGACTCTGCTTAATTTTACTTCATCACCTTAACACAAAACCCATTGTGACATCTGAACTGTGTGATATCAAAGAAATATCTATAATGAGTGACATCTACGGGATAAAGAGGATAAACAGGGGATAAATTAAAATTCTGCTTTGGTAGACTAGAATTCTGCTCTACCTACAAATACACTAAGTTCTGCGATACACTAAAATTACATCTTGTATGGTAAAATTCTAGCTGCCATATGTGGTCTGTACACTAAGATTTTGCCTTGTAAGTATTAATATTGTACACTAAAGTTCTGTTTTGTATGTTAACAAATACACTAAATTGTTTACATTCATAATGTCATATTCTGGTGAGAGAATTCAATTTTTAAAAAATCAATTCTGTGAAGATAGAGAAACCCTATATTCCAACTTTAATCAATTTTATAAATCTTATAATTATAAGATATGAACTCATAACACATTATGCTACAATTTAATTAATACTGAGGACTTTGTTTAAGAAACAAAAGAAACTGCATAAAATGTTCACTCTTTCTTATGCAGATTACTTATATCCTTCTATATGGTGTTTCTTTCTAAAATCTATGAAATTGGATAAAATTTTTCACATTTAGAATTTATAGATTGTTGATAAAAAGAATATTATAAAAAGAAGAGTGTTTCTAATATGAACTAAATTAAAATTAGTCAATATTCACAATAAACAATTTATATATACCAAAGATGTCCTCTAATTTATAAACTAACATCTAGAAATCACCCAAACTGAATCGAACTGAATATGAAAGTGAGGCTAAAAGATCGAGTGTTGAAAATCAGACACTTTGTCTAAAGGTGCTCTAAGATTGGAAATAAAAAGTATAACCACTAATGTCCTGAAAGCCTGGTCACTAAAAGAATAAAAGTTCAGATTTCCGAGGTTCAGATTAATTTACCTCCAGTTTGTGAAATATTCCAGCCCAGTGTCTTGGGAGAGTCTGCAAAATTCATAAACAGCAAAGTCTACATATAAAACACTACAAACAGTCATTTGTTGCACATTTCTTTGCATAACATTTTGCTCTGCCATACATGGAATATCTTTTTAGATAACGTGGCTCATAATAGATGCAACGTCACAACTTTAATCACAAATGTGTTAGAAACTTAATTAATTTCTATTATGATAGAATCATCTACACTGTATTCACAGCGCAGTCTGGTCTCTTAACTTAGCTCAAAAAGAGCAAAAGACAAAATGGGATGGACTAATTAAGGGCTTGAATTTGCTCCTAACAGTAACAAAGTTGATGTAGTAGGTAATTTAAACTTACTCATCTAATGAGAGTTTAGTGTGTATTTAGTTACCATGACAACATTATAACTGTAAAGAGACTATGAATAGCTCCAACATCTCAGTTATTTAGTTCAAAAGATTGTCATAAAATACAAGCTTAGATCCCCAAAAGTCAACATGAATATTTTATACCAAAATCTGTCACGTTCACAAATAATTCTGATCAGATGTTAGGAAATGGACAGGAAATTAACGTTAGAAGGATAAATCTCCCAGTTTTTGAAAAATCTCATCAAAAATTTGGCAAAGTCTGATCAATACAATACTCTGTGTATTATATTATCAGGACTATGTATAAATTATTGAACTAATTGTCGCTTTATTCTGTCTCGCATCTCGGTGATCATGTCCGCACATTATAATCACCACATAAAATGATAAAATAAAGGGGAAAACTATCCACTTTATAGATCATCATGTGCAACAAATAATTCTTAATTTGTAATGCTATTATTCTATAGAGAACATAGATTTGTACATTTCTAACTCAATACAAGCTTTAACAGCATCATAAAAAACAAATTGTTTTGCTGGAACCTGACTTACACATTTACAATACATTCTGTGGTTTAATCCCAATTTATTATTTTTTTAGTGAAATTCAGTTTTATTTTATTAATTTATTTATTAATTTCTTTGCTGAATACAGAATATGACAAGGTAGCTATAGATACTGATGTGAGTCTGAGTCAGGTCAGGCTAATCGGTTTTGATCTTGACCTCTCATGACATATTAAACCTGAGATTAATATGTTAATGAGTAAAACTGATTCAAGTGCTGAAATGTATACACCAGATATTATAGGTTTAACAGATCAAGACCACTAGTTTATCTGGAGTCAGCAGCATTTTGCATGTAAATTAGATTTCTGTTTCCTATTTACACACTGATGAATGAATCGCAATGCATCATGGGCTACTACAAGTATCCTCAGTTGTGTTGAAAATAAAGGGCAACTTGAATTGTCCCTGGGAAACGTTTTTTCAATTCTTTTTTGAGATTTGAAAGAAATATTTAAAATGATGCATAAATCTTTCATTTCTATGCTCACATTTACATAATTTGCTTTATGCGGCTAATTTATATCAACTTAATAATACATCGGCCTTAAAACCATTGTTCAGAGACGTAGGTGCTATCATGTTGACAAAGCATTGTGAGTTTTTTCACATCATATATGTATATATACATACATAGATTTAGAAACAGTGCAAGGTGCGCAATTATCATTTTAACCCCTCAACATTATCAAAATGTTTTTATGTACCTGAAAACGTCAAAGTGTATGTAACATCTTTTTTTTAATTTATTGTAAATTTCAGTAAAATAAATGATAGGTATGCAAACTCCTGTGGCCTAACATAAGCTGACTACTAAAAGCAACATGACAAGTTTTTTTCCTAAAATCAATGGCTTTTATATTGTATAGTAGCAAGTGTAACATTATAGCAAGCATCGCCTTTACTTCACAACTCTCACACCTTTTAACTGGAAATCTGTCGATTCAGGTATCATCAAATATTACATACATGTATTTCTAAATATTTCTGGTGACCTTTGGTGAACTTTTAAAATTTACAATATGATCTGCAAGGGATGTTAAAAAGATTCGAAAATTCTAATAGTAATAGTTTGTATATGAAATCATTGTAATGCATAGTCATATGATAAATAGTTGCAATTCAAAAACAGATGATTATTTCAAA